TCGGGCCATCCAGCATCTCCCTTTGCAGATGTTCCGGAATGGAGGGCAGGGCCTTCAGCCAGATCGCTCGCTGGATGAGGGTCTGCCAGGCAGCGATGCGAGCAGAACCGGTGAGCACAGCAGCACACAGATTGAGGATGGCATCAGCAGTCTTAGTTATGACGGCTTTCGACTCCTCGGGAGCTTCCAGCTCCTCCATCATCTTGGAGACGCCGAAGGCAAGAAGGGCGATGTTATTCCCTGCAGCGCCGGTCTGAAAGGCACACTGATGTGCGCGGTCGGTGAGCCGCGTCAGCAGCTGGTCATGTTTTGAAGCGGGAACAGCTCGCGGGCCAGCGAGGTGGTTCTTGGCGCCGAACAGCGAGGCCAAATCCGGCTCTAGTGGAGGAACGGACGGCCAGCCTTGGTCGGAAAACCCCTCGACCTTGGTGATGGGCGCATATGTGGAGACTGGCGCCTTGAGCTTGGCAGGCTCGGAGAAGGCGGCAGACCAGCAGCTCATAGCAGCGGGGAAGCGCGGCCAGACAGGGTCTGGACAGCGTGTCTGAGTTGCCCCGAAAATTCCCGCCAAATCATCCGCTTCAGGCAGGGCCGGTTCTGGCACAGCTAGCCCCTGGCGGGCTGCTGACGCAGAAATGATGGCGGGCAGCTCCTGGAGCAGTGCTCTTACTGCTGGCAGGGAGGAGCGAGAAGCCACTGGGGCAGAAGGACCCGCTGAGCGAAGCTCGTCGACCTCCGTTATGTCTAGGAGGGACGCCGCCTCATCGTAGTTTTCGCTGTCAGTGACGTCATCCAGCCGGTTGAAGCCAGCCGGCTCCTGACCGTCGTCGAAGAAAACCAAAGCCTTGTCCAGCGGGTAGGAGTCAGCCACCGGAAATTCTTCGTCGGCGGCGGGAGTGAAGTACTCGACCCGGCGAATCTTCTCCGCCACGGGCAGAGCGGCACAGAACGGGCACGAGGCCTGCGGGGTCAAGGCCAGGCCAGCGTGGTGAGCCCCGAGACAGACCTCACACTTAGCGTGCAGGTCGCCGCTGGAAATGGAGCCCGTCTGGCAGGTCGGGCAGGGTCTGGTGTCGCTGGACATGGCTGGTAAGTCGTCTTCGGATAATTTGCTCTTTTGAGATAATATTTGCTCTTTAATAAAGCTCTCAAGCTTGGCATGAAGAGAAAAAGGAGGTGAGCAGTGGGGTCACTGCGGTTATATACCACGAGGGGGCCCACTAATGGTGGGCGTACATTTAAGCTCTTCATGATTGGCTGATGCGGAGATCATCCTTCCAATAGCAGCTAGCTTAAGGGCTAAGACTAGACGAAATAGAACATCTTTTTATTTTTTACATCCGTCTGCCTGCTCATCTGCCTCCGGAACCCACCACCACACATGGTCTGCCACCTCCACCCGCAGAACATGACACCAATATTCCTCGACAGCTCGTTAATTTTACGGTACGCCAGGTAGCCTCCAAGGCCAATGAGCAGGAAACCTGACACCAACACCACGAATATCCACACGTCTTCAGAGTCCTCCACAGACAGCTGAGATAAACAAATCAAGTTTCACTGTTTCCAGGAGTCCATGATGTGTCCAACTGGGTCTGTCCCGGAGTGGCATCCGGGAGCCCCTTCTCCCGTTCTAATCGTTGAAAAAATTGTATCAATCGCGTTGAGAGACCAGCTGACAAGATCCATTTAAACGTATTTCAGTTTCCAGTTTCCAGAAAAATGCAGAAGCAGCTGTGCACCCAGCACACAGAGACAGACAAAGGGCCTTGAGGATAAGATATGGAGGAGAGGAGGAAAAAAGCGTCTGCACCCTCCAAGAGCCAGAAGAAGATTCTCTCAAAATTCAGTTTGTATTATGTTACATTTTTAATCACAATTTTTTACTTCTCCTAATTTTATGATTATTTAATCATTTTTTAATCTTAGTTGTTTTTTTATCTTTGTCCTTGTGAAGTGCCTCGTGATTTTATTTTGAGAGGCACTATGTAAAATATTGTTTCTTCTTCTTCTGTTTTGAGCTAGCAACCTCCTGATGTAAAAAAAAGACTCATTACTGAAATAAAAATCAGACACATTTCAGACAAAAGCACCCCCTAACATCTGTTCGAGCCTCTGCAGTAACCATAGTGATGGGCCAAACAAAGGGCCAGGAGAAAGGGATGAAACTGCTTTTGTCAGAAGGAGAAGGTGAGAAGAGGGTTCCATTAGAGGAGCAGGCTCATTGGAGTGTGACAGAAATGTAGCTGGCAGACAAGTTGAGCGAAGAGTCATCAATATCCAGTCTGTCAGGACATTTTCATCCACTTCACCTTGGAAATCCTCTTTTTCACAATCACTCACCCTAAGAGGACATTAATAAACAACCCAGTGGAGGCTTGCACAACGTCAGAGGTCATTGTGTATATCAACTAGTTTCACTTTGAATAGTTGATAATTCGTCCCTGAATTCAGCTTCTCTGAGGCCTCTCTTCAGATCAGTGCAGGGCCCGGGTGAATGTTGGAGCCTCAAGTTGTTTAACAGGTTGGACTCATCCAAAATAAAATTAGTGGTTTCTTTGTGTGGCAGAGGAAATTACACTAGCTCACACATTTATGTGAGTCAGAGATAAAGTGGGAGTAATGGTGGAGTAAAGACTGACAAAAGACTGACTTCAGTAAAAGCTGAACTTTTCTTCTGAATCACTTCGATTGTCTCGTTTCTCTGAAAAACAGCAACAGCACACAGACAGCTGATGGGCCAACTTTCCTGACACAAATGCAGATTGATAAATACATTCTGAAGTGTTGCTGAAATTAATCAGGCGAGAGGGACACCACAGGCCTCGGCTTTAACGGTGACTGATTCATGCTGACTGAATGATTGATCAGCTCACAAGAGTAGTGAGCTGGCATTTTGTGACACTCATAAGGAAAATTTGACCTGACAAAGATGTGTAGAAAATACAAAACTTTGCCTCTGGTCATGAACAGGTGCACAAAGCAGATACGTGCAAAGCAATTCACTTTCTGCCTTGTTCTTGTCTTGCGTGATTACTTTTTGTTTTATTCTCATGAGAGCAAAGTAGTTTGTTTACTCATTTTCCTGACGTAATGTCTCGGGATCAATGTTTGCACTTCTAATATTCTTGTTTGTCTCATAATCATTCTGTCAAGTCTAATTTATGAATTCTTCAAACAAATAATCTTCCATTGCCGCTGTCTGGAGTGTTTTGTTTATCCTAGAACTCCCCCTCCAACAGACAAAATCTTTGTGATCATTTTCTGCTGATTATCGCACAAAGATGAGATTTTGAGATGTTTAGGGCTCGTGTTTCTGGTCTAAAATGTCACCCTCAGACGTTAATCAGACCTGCAGCTGTTGCTTTCTCAGCTCCACCTCCATGGGGCGCCATGCTGCTGGCTGTAGAGATGTGGGTGTGAGCGTGATGGGAGAGAGTGAAATCTAATGTAGCTTGTGTGTGGCAGCTGCTCTTTTAAGCCCACACAGGAAATGCACATACACACCCAAGCGTGGACAAGCATCAATCTCCTCTGTCACAATACCCCTTCCTGTCACCATGGTAACACCCTTAAGCAACAGCTGTCTGCTGGAAGATTGACTTAACTTGCTCTGATTTGTGTATTTTTCACCCAGAGGGCTTCACACACACACACACACACACACACACACACACACACACACACACACACACACACACACACACACACACACACACACACACACACACACACACACACACACACACACACACACACATACAACCTCAATTGGCAATCAGCTGAAAAGACGCTGAGCATTCTGCCTCTGTTCAGAGCAACTGAATTCAGCAATCAGCTCTTCTCTGAATACAGTTTAATGAAGCCAATTTCTTGAAACATTAACTATTTTTCTGACCCAAATGCATTTTCAAGTGGTTTCTGTTTAATCAGACTACTAGACCTGCCCCAGGTGTGTTTCTGCTGACTGACATTTTTGTGGGAGAACATTTGACGCCGTTTATTGATTTTTAGCTGAGACAGGAGAGGGGAAGATCGATCGTTTGTTTGACAGCCACGTTTCCCAAACTTGTAGTAGTATCTTTCTGCCTCAGGTCAGACTGGTCAGAAATTAACGGTTTTGCAGAAGCCTCTAAAGCTGCTTCCAGCATTCAACTGTGAGATGAAAGTTTCGTGGCACGGCAGAAAAATTAACTGTGAGCACTGAGAATCATGCTTGAGTCTCCTCTTATCAAGAAATAAATGTATTTTATTAACCACTGACGCAACCAAGGGGGATTTTATTAAAATGTTCCATTCATCCACATGTCTGAGTGGGTGCTTTGACACAGAAAAATTTGACAAAAAAAATCTTCCTTTTGAAAGGGCTTTAGCTGTTACAGTATGTCAGATCATGAGTAAACGTGATATTTCTTTGGAAACTGGTGGGTAAGTGGCTGGACGCGTGAGCCGGACTGGAACCTAAGCTGATAATTGATCTTTCTGGGAAAATGTTAATCACACTGCCTAAATGATATGTTGTTATGGTAGATTTTATAGCATATTAAAGTGGTAGTGTGTAGTTTCATGCCACTAGGGGACAGTATATACAGTTCAGGGAAGTTTTACACCATATCGCCGTGACTGTTGCTAGTTTTAAAAAAATTACAGTTAATGTTATTAAGTGGGGAGCAGAAAGCGTGCGGCCTTGGCATGGCTCCTCAGATTTTGATGGTACTTCAAATAACTCTGATAGGTAATTAGATTTATCCCACATTACCTTAAAGGACGACACACCCGGGGAGAGAGAGTAAACTGATTATTTGTAATGTCCATGTGGGCGAATCAACATGCGAGAAGCTGGGCCCAACCAACCAGCCCCCACTCTGCTCCAGCCTCAAAGCCTTCACCTCTTACCAGCTCTGCCTACCCTCTACCAAGATGTTTGGTAATTAAATGTTAAGTAATATTTAATCTCCATAACCCTGGAACCTGAAATAAACACACATGACAACAAGGAAGACATTTTACCCTGAATCCCCAAAACATGGAGAGTTAACGCAGAGAAACCTCCTCCGAGGCTTCCCCACGTCACTCCCGTGTGCTCCTAGTTGGTCAGGGGCTTTATTCATCAAGGATGGGGGAGAAGGCGGGCCTTCTCAGGTTACAGAGGTACAGTTCAGTTGGAAACCCACAATCAACATCTTGCTCAACCTTTCATGAACAGCAACAGTTGGTAAAAACAGAGATTCATGAAGTGTTAATAACACAAAATGGGCATCTTTTAGGCCTCAAAAAGGTACAATTATAAAAATACCCAACAAACTCCATCGAGAGAGTTTTCTGGTGCTTTAGTTTCTGTATCTGCTCGAAGAGTCTGACAATGACGTCATCATTCCACTACGGCAACACCGCTTGGTTAAAATGTATTGCATCTCTTTTTTGAAAGAGTTTAGCAGTTTTGTTACTAAATTCATGTTTCTTACCGCCTAAATGTTCTTGAACATGGTAATGTACTTCCATAAGTCGTACATCCAGCCACTCATCTAGTGTGACATCATCAACAGGCACAGTAGCCCAAGCCGGCCAGAAGGAAACATGGCATCTAATATGGCATCCCCCTAAAGATGCTAGACTTGCACACTATGTACTTTAGACCTGATGTGTATGGTTATATGGTACGAAGCTGCCAATATTTGCAACAACTGGACATCATTTTATTAATTTTCAACAAAGTTTGAATGGATATTTCCAGAGATTAAAGGTAAAAACTACACATTGTACCGAATGAAGAACAGGTGAAGCTTTAAGAATCATTAAATGTGAAAGATTTAGTCGTTGTTATATAATTAACTTCAAAGATTTTTAAGAAGAAAAAAATGCAAAATAAAGGTTTGCCTAAAAACCTGCACGTGACTTTTGTCATAGCATGAAGCAGAAGATATTTCAAGTGTAGAAAAATAGAATACATTTTTTAAAACACAATTTTTATTGAAGAATGCATATTTATTGTTCCAAATACAAAAGGCAGAGCTACAATAATAAAAATGTTTTTCATAAAATATTACTTGTTTTAACTGATTTCTATGACTTTTCATACAATTAATGTTTCAAAAGACAGATGTGAATAAGACAAAAAATGTTAGTGAAGCAATTTGTTACAAATTGTTTGACCTTCTATTAAAAATAAAAATTTAAAGAGATAGTTGAGATATACATAAGTATTTTTCTGCAAAAAAAAGTTCAAAAAGCTCTTTGAACAACCTCCATTTGGAGAAGGATTTCTTTTAAAGCAATTAATGTAAACATTATAAATGTATACACCACCATGAATGTCATATTATGATTATTTACATGGATGGTTTTTGTTTTGCACTAGAAATCAGCTGAGCTGGCTACTTGTGCACTTGAAGTGGTCATTTTTAAAATCATTTTGACTAAATTATCATAAAATGGGAAATTTATGGCAAAGGTTACAAAACAGCTTTTTCATAAAGTGCTATAAAGCTTTTGAGATTGAGGCACTTGTGAGTGTTAGCTCGTCTTTCTGGTCAGAACTAATCTATAGTTATTTAAACTGTTCAAGGAGCTACAGTATTTTAAAAAATACAAGATTTGTATTGCTGATTAACATTCTATAGAATTCCACTTGAAAAGAGATAAATTGCTTTCAATCAACCCAGTTCAGGTCTATATTTAGAGCGAAAATCATGCTTTCTGTCCTATAAATTGTAATTAGTTCATTATATGTTTGCTGGGGTATTGCACAATAAGCTCAAGGTATAAAATTGTGCTCGTTTTCTCTCACAAACATGGTAGATATTTCATAATTTATGCTTTTTGATATTGTTTTTTTTTTCTTTTTGCCAGTTTAGAATATTTCAGTACTGTAAAAGAGAAACACATTGCTGCAGTTTCAGAATCAAATGGTGACTGCACAAGTTGTAATTCTACCATAAAATTCCCATCATCCAATAATAAGGTTACACTAAGCATGAAATTTTGTTCTTAAAAATGCCATATATAAGAACAAAGTAAGAATGACATCCTGTGGTCAAATGTGGTTACTGCAGGCCACTTTTCGAAGCAAAAAATCACTTTCTCACTTTCGTTCAACAAGTTCCGTAGCTGTTGCCAGTTACGGATCCGTGCCATAACATTCTAGATGACAAGCAAAGATGAGTCATACACAGTAAGTTGATAAGTAGTTAAATACATATCTGGTGTTAGTACTCCTGTGTGTTTTACAGTAGGGAGCACTCACTACACTTGTTATGGTAATTTGTCTCCTTACACATTTCAGGAAGTGTCATTGTTTGCCGTCTTGCTGTTAGCTTGCTGTTATAGTTCTGACGGACTCATTAAAGGGAATAAAACGCCACAATTGACTTAGTATTCACGTCACACACAGCCTATAGAAATTAGACTGCCTGTTTGCCGATGCAAAAGGATGATGAAGCCTTGCTACATTTGAACCTCTGCAGCTGTAGACAGGCTGGTACCAGTCCAATCACAGTGCTCTATCTGTTTGGTGGGCAGGGTGTTGCATCTTCTTCGATAGTGTATGGTGGACTGCCCCGTGACTGACTTCTTTAACGGTCCAATCACAACGATCTTTCTTTTTGGTGGGCCAATCACAGCACTCTATCTATACTCTATCAGTCCAGTAGGTGGGATGTACTGCAACTGAGCAAAACTAAGATGGTGACGGCTCCACAGCGTTCTGATCACAGTGTTCTATTTGTTTGGTGGGACAATCACAGCACTTGGAGGGATGCTACTGAAAAAAACTAATTTGGCGACGACTCGTTTGAAGTGGCTTTGGCATCAAATTTGGACTATTTTGACTTGGGCTTTCCTTTGAATCAATTTATCTGAGTTGGTGAGTATGTCACATTGTTCCTTATCAATACCATGCAGAGACAGACAAAGCACAGATCCCACCAGGGGTGCAGCTACCTACTTTATGAGGGGTATACAACCACATAACTGACCCCCCCCCCCCCCCCCCCCCCCCCCGAATCATTTTCCTTTTCCCTCTTCCATTTTGGCCCCAGAGAGCTTTTTTTTTTTTTTGGTCTTTCTATCGCTAGCTAACCTAGCTAGCTGATCAGATGACAGTAGATATCATTCAAATGAGAACACTTGCGACCCCAGTGCGTATTCGCGGGCGCACGCGCTGGACTCGTCAAGATTGTTCACGTTCTGCGTGTGTCTGTGAGTGTGGGGTGGGGGCGTGGAGCAGGGCTGCGGAGGGGCACCCAGTCGCTTGCTTCTGTTAATAATCATTTAATTTACACATGCACAAATAGCTATGAAACACAAAAATGCCCTTTTCCCCATCATTGCTTAGGCGCCCCCACCAGCGTGGTACCCCTCTGCATCGCATACACTGCATACCCACTTTTTGCGACACTGGATCCCACCCCACAACTAAGAGCTGTGAATGGACCGAGGCCAGACTAAATACTAACATATTTAGGATGGCTTGCCAGGTTACTTCACACATACATTTTATTGTAATACTCAGTTGTTGGTAGTTGAAAAAAGTAACTTGAGATATTTTGAGAGGCGACCAGTTGCTTCAAATTCACCGTTAGCATTGTTAGCTCAATGTTAGCCTATAGCCTGCTTCACCTGATGTTAGAGTAAAACAAAAAAATGTCCCAGCTTGTTAGGGGTACAAGAAATAACATCTAGGTCACTCCTGTTTACTGGTTTTGGTTCTGTAAACAACTGTGGAGCTTTTTGCCAGCTGGTGTCGAATTATAAATGCCGGAGCTGCAGCACGAGCTCGGAAACCCCACAGGCTTGCAGATTGCAAACAGTGACTACATCCCTCTTTGGTTTTTTTGAAAGGAGAAAAAAAAACAGCCGGCTAAAAATGAAATTTGATACAATGTAGTTTTCTTTCCAAGATGGTTGAGACATTAGACTGTTTTGTGATTATTTCACTGTAGAATTATATTTTGCTCCTTAAAGATTGCGTTTATAGTTTCATGGAAGAAGAATATTACTGTACCACACATGTATGTGTTCTTAAGCATCTAAGCAGCCATCTGGAAAACTATTTATATATTTTTTCCTTGTATTGACACTAAAAAAATGTCAACTACCTTGAGCCCCACTTGTACTGTAGTTGGGTAGAGTCAACAGCAAGCGTATCAGCCACAAAAGATACTCAACATAAAGGTGGCAGGAAAAGATAAAGCGATGCACACACATGGGTTCGACAGAGCTTCGCCTAAATGGCATCCCTAAAAGGCTGCATCTGCCATGTCCTAATCACAGTAGAAGTCCATGTCCTGAAACAGAAGTGAAGCAGATGTTGATCATTATCTGTATATTAATTATGAAAGATTAGGAAATAGCATCAATTTGTCTGTAAAAGACAAATATACTCACAGTTGTTGGCATCTGGATCGTGTTTTCTGTGAACTTGTGTGTCTCCTTCACCACAGGTGAAGGGAAGTATCCAATCCTACCCATCTGGTCCACATACTGCTCACTGTAAACCTGAAAATAGTAATAATAATAATAATAATAATAATAATAATAATAATAATAATAATAATAATAATACATTGCACCAGTTATTTTTTGTTTGTTTTGTTTTGCAAAATACTTTTTTTCACTAAACTGAAAATAATGCAATGCTGGCTGTTTTCTGTCTAGTTTAACCCTTTGATGCGTAATGGTCACTACAATGGACAGGTACTCGAAATTGTTTTATTTCTTTATTTATTTATTTTGCTATTAAGCACAGCTGTTGAAGACTTTATTGCATTTGAGCCCATCCATTTGGACTTCAGTAAGTCAAGCCATTTCGTGTTCAGAATGCACGCTGTCCACTGAGGTGGACATGTAATAAATTATTTGTAAATTATTAAATGTTACAAAAAATGTTTGTTGAAATTTGCTTCATTCACACCTATATATGAATGAAAAAAACTGTAAACAAAAATCATGGTTGAAGATTTCATAATTCATGCATCAAAGGATTAAAATAAATATTTAAGCAAATATGTTTCCAGAAATGTGGCTTTCACAAGCATCTAGAGGAAACATGTTTAAACATGTGCTTCTGTGATCAAATGAAAAAAATGTACATACACTTCCGGACCAGAAGACTCCAGTGCCATCTGGAGGTATGAGTTTAGAATACACATACACCATTTGACCTTTTTTGATGTTGATGAATCTGCAGTCCGGAGCTATGAAATCATCCAAAGCTGTGGCCATGGAAAGAACATCTATTGAAACAAAGGAAACATCTTTACTGTTTCAAAAATGCCACGTGCATTTTACATTTCTAGATTTAAAGTAATACTTTGTACACATAACACTGACTCTGTAATGCCCAGACATACATGAACATTCTGCATCTTTGCAGATCTTACTGTCTGCTAGTTTGCCCATGAAGACGGCTGTTGTGCCCTGGTGCAGCAGTCCCACACAGAACAGAATCTTCAGAGGAAAATTCATTCTGATGAAAAAACAAAACAATGGAGAGCTGTGTGTAAACATGATTAGGTTTGAAGAAGCTAGAGATCACAATACTTCAAAACATTTCTTTCAGCCAAGGCAAAATGGGCGGAGCCCTTACATCACATGAAACTTAACCAATCAGAATTGAGCTTCAGAAATTCCAGACTCTGGAACTGCTCATTACTGGTGAGCCTGACCTTTTCACATCCCACTCTCTTTGCTGTATGAAGCATTTACAGGCCACATGCAAGTTTGGAAAATATTTTGGTTGATTTTATTGTCTTTTGCTGTAAATGAGCTAAACTAAAAGCTAACGCACATGAATCAAACACAAATTTAAAACTGCAGACAGACAGCTAAACATTATTCAATTAAATTCAATTTTATTTCAAGCGCACAAAAAGAAAAAGAAAGAAAAACAATCCACAATGTATCGAACATAAAACATTTTGTAAAAAGAAAAAAGGAAAACATGACATTTTTATAGTCACTGCTGCTTGAAATGGAGTGGGCTGAAGTTTAACTCTTATTACTTCCCACCCCCTTTCAAATTCTAATATAAAATTGTAGTACATTAATTGTATCCATACATTTTACAAAACCAAAAACACTATTGGGGCGACGGTGGCAGAGGAGTTAAGTGCTCACCCGTAATCGGAAGGTTGCTGGTTCGACTCCCGCTCAGTCTGTCGCTGTTGTTGTGTCCTTGGGCATGACACTTAACCCACGTTGCCTGCTGGTGGTGGTCGGAGGGACTGGTGGCGCCTGCTGGTTCGAGTCCCGCTCAGTCTGTCGCTGTCATTGTGTCCTTGGGCAAGACACTTAACCCACGTTGCCTGCTGGTGGTCGGAGGGACTGGTGGCGCCAGTGCTCGGCAGCCTCGCCTCTGTCAGTGCACCCCAGGGCAGCTGTGGCTACATTGTAGCTCATCCCCACCAGTGTGTGAATGTGTGTGTGAATGGGTGAATGACTGATTGTGGTGTAAAGTGCCTTGGGGGGTTATAGGACTCTAGAAGGTGCTATATCAAATACAGGCCATTTACCATTTATATTACTTTATACAAATTTTTCCAACAGAACTTTCTCCCAGTCATACATCCTCATTAACTTTACATTTCCACTTCATTGCCCTTCATTTTTATAACTCAAAAAAAAATCTTTAAATCTCTCCCTGCATTGTTTTATGCTTATACATTCCTTACGCTTTATATTTAAGTTATTCCACAATTTCACCCCATGTACAGAAGCACAAAAACTCTTCTTCCTACTAGGTGCCATTGGCAATATAAAATTTTGTCTTCCTCTTAACACGTACTCTCCTTCCCTCTGAGTAAATATTTTTGAACATTAAGAGGTAAGTCATTACACTTGGCCTAAATGAAATTTGAACAGTCTGTAGATCCACTAGATCTTTAAATTTTAATATTTTGGACTCCAAAAAAGTGTATTGAGCTGTAAAACCCGCTCCATGAACAATCCTTAAAACTCTCTTCTGTAAAATAACAAGTGGCTGCACTGATGTTGCATAATTATTTCCCCAGACTTCTGCACAATACGTGAAGTAGGGCAAGACCAATGAACAACAGAGCATACGTAGAGACTTCTGATTTAAAACTTTCCTTGCTCTACTGATTATTGCTATACTCCTGGACACCTTGCTCCTTACATGGCTAATGTGAGGTTTCCAGTTCACTTCACTATCAGTTAGAACTCCTAATAATTTTATTTCCTTAACATTTTCAGTATTCACTCCGCCTATTTTAGCTTAAATTTTCAAATTGTTTCAACCACTTCCAAACATCATTAATTTTGTTTCTTTAAATTTAATGATAATTTGTTTGTATCAAACCATAATTTGATCTTTTCTAATTCCGTATTTATCTCCTGCACTAACAATTGAAGATCACTGCCTGAGCAGAAAATATATGTGTCATCGGCAAACAACTTCAGTTTAACTGATACTGACACTTTACATAAATCATTAATATAAATAAGAAACAATATTGGACCCAACACTGCCCCCTGTGGAACACCACAAGAATTTTCCAAACTATCAGAACAATAATTTCCCTATTTCACAAACTGCCTTCGCTTGGTCAAATAACTTTTAATCCAATCTAAAGCCTTTCCTCTAATACCATAACATTCTAGTTTTCTTAATAAAATATCATGATTAATGGTATCAAACGCTTTCTGTAGATCGAGAAATATTCCAATAGTGTGCATTTTATTGTCTAGTGAGCTGGTTATTTCTTCTGCAGAATCTAACAATGCAAGTGATGTTGCTCTTTTTGCTCTAAAACCATACTGGCATTCATTGAGTACACCATTTTTTTCTAAAAAGTAATTAAGACAAGAGATAAAAAGTTTTTCGAGAATTTTTGAAAATTGTGGGAGCAGGGAAACAGGTCTGTAATTTGTACACTGATGTTTATCCCCAGATTTATAGAGTGGAATAGCCTTAGCTGTTTTCATTTGATTAGGAAATGTACCAGATTCAAAAGATGTATTATAAATGTAGGCAAGAGGTTTCGAAATGGCATCAGTAACATTTCTCACTACCATCATATCAATATCGTTGCAATCATTTGATGTTTTGTTCTTACATTTCAAAACATTTCGAATTATCTCGCTTTCCTCCACTGGAGAGAGGAACATCAAATTTAAATTTCTTTCAATAAAACTACAACCATATTGATCATTTATAGGGTCAGAAATTGTTTATGCCAGCTCTTTCCCAATCCATCCATCCATTCATTGTCGGAACCCGCTTGTCCATGTGGGGTTGTGGGGGGGCTGGTGCCTATCTCCAGCGGTCAATGGGCAATCAGGCGGGGTACACCCTGGACAGAGAGCCAGTCCATCGCAGGGCAACACAGAGACACACAGGACAAACAATCATGCACATACACACACACTGAAGGACAATTTAGACAGACCAATCAACCTAACAGTCATGTTTTTGGACTGCGGGGGAAGGCCGGAGTACCCTGAGAGAACCCACGCATGCACAGGGAGAACATGCAAACTCCATGCAGAAGGATCCCGGGCTGGGAGGCAAACCCAGGACCTTCTTGCTGCAAGCCAACAGCTCTAACCACTGTGCCACCGCGCAGCCCCCTCTTTCCCAATATTTTTGAAAAATACATTGAAAGTATTTGCCACCTCATTCATATTATAAGTATTATTGTCTCCCATATTAAAATATTTAGGATAACTTAACTTTCCAGAAAATGTATGCATTACCTTATTTAATATTTTCCAAGTTTCTCTTACATCAGATATATTGCACTCTATTAATCTATGATAATAATCTTTCTTAGCATTTCTCAAAATGTTAATTAATTTGTTTTTATATTTTTTATACTTATTTTCTGCCTCTTCTGATCTATATTTCAAGAACAACTTATAGTAATTCTTCTTCTTTTTTATAGCATTTTTTAATCCCTTTGTGATCCAAGGATGTCCTTTGTTCTTTGAACTTAAACATACTTTTCTCATTGGGCAATCCTTATCATACAGTTTTTTAAATATTTTCATAAACTCGTCATAGGCCTCATGAACATTGCTCTTATCATATACCTCATCCCAATTTTGTGCCAATAAATCATTCTTAAATACTTTCATAGATTTCTCTGATCTTAATCTTTTATAGGTAGTTCTTAATGAGGCTTACAGTTGCTGTCAATCCCTGTAAAAACAGGCGAATGATCACTGATGTCCCCTATTAATATTCCACTTACTGCATCACTGAAGATGTCATTTGTTAGAATATTGTCAATTAATGTAGTACTGTATGTCGTTATCCTCGTAGGTCTGGTGATTTTGGGATACAAATTTAGGCTATGAATTGTGTTAATGAAATTCTCTGTTAATTTATGTTTATTTGGATTAAGCATAAATTTAAATCTCCACAAACAATAATTGTTTTGCCTGCTTTTTAGCATATCCCGACGGTGACCAAACTTTGTTTTCCAGTGTTATCTTTTGTCCTAAAGCATTTGAATAGAAATAGGTGGTGTTATTTCAGAAGGTGTGGAAAATAAACTCAAGGTGTATTTGTTTTTCAGACTTGTATTGTTTAGAGTAGGATTGGATTTTTCTTTCTGTGGTACATCCATCCATCCATTTTCGGCCGCTTACCCAGGGTGGGGTCACAGGGGCAGTAGCCTAAGCAGGGAGGCCCAGACTTCCCCCTCCCTAACCACTTGGACCAGCTCCTCCGGGGGAATCCTAAGGTGTTCCCTGTCCAGCTGTCGTGTCCAGGGTCTTCACTTAGGCCTTCTCCACTTGGGGCAGCACCTCGTCCCTGACCCGGAGAAGGCCTTCTACTCTTTTCTGACTCAAGACCATGATCTCGGATTTAGAGGAGCTGATTCTCATCCCAGCTGCTTCACACTCGGCTGTGAACAGCTCCAATGAGTCGGAAATCACGTTTTGATTAAGCCAACAGGATCACATCATCTGCAAAAAGCAGAGACTCTATCCTTAGGCTACCAAAATGGATCCCCTCAACACCTTGACTGCACCTAGAAATCCTGTCCATAAAGGTTATGAACAGAATCGGTGACAAAGGGCAGCCTTGGGGCCCCCGAGGGATGCGGTCGAAAGCATTATTTCTCTAGTGTTAGAAGAAATTAAGGTAAAATAATTTTAGCAAGAGTTATAATAATTTTAAACATTTAAATAGTTTCAGAAAACTACTGAAGCCACAAATGAGAATTTCTACACATAAAAGTACATTTGACACGTTTCGATATATTTTATATTTGTAAACTCTTGTCTGCGCGCGCATGCTTGTGTTTCTGATGCAAACCTAGGTAAATCGTCGTGCGAGCGTTTGGGGCTGTCGTGTAAACTTTGATAAGAACCAGTTGGGCGGTGTTTAGTCTAACCTGTAGTCAAATGAACGGCACGAACGAAAGCAGCCGCTCACTCGGGATTCGCAGTTGTACAAATCAAGCGCGTCGTGATATTTCTTGGTGACGTAGGTGGACTGTAAACTTAAACGAACTGCTGTGTAGCTGGGACGCCGCTGTTTGTTATGTTTGATGAGTATTAGGAAGGTCGCTTTGTTTTAGTAATGCGGAACATAAACTAGCCGTGTACTTCTATAGCTCACACATGCCTGGCCTGGAAGGGTATTTTAATATTAAAGCAGCATATTAGCACGAGTAGAGGCAAGCTAACAAGTCAGTAAGGTCCCAAAGAAGCCGATGGATGCGCTGGTATCGGAGTTATTTGGGTCAGGAAGTGGGCACTTCTCTGGATCTCAGGGAACCGCGTCCAACCACAAACCAGGAAATGGCAACGGAGTTATTTCTAAAAAGGCTAGTTCAAAGAACAAGAAAGCAAAAGCGCGATTCTCCCGCAACTTTAAGCTAAGCAATAACACTCCTAATCTTCCTCCAGAGGTAAGACTGTAATGATCCTTAACTATTAATAATAATAATAATGCCATTAATGAAAGACGATGAAGTCGGTAAAGCAGCGGACAAGCGGTTCTTTATTCGCTAGCAGGACGTGTTAAGACTTTGTTGGATTTCATTGTGTTTTCTGTCGCTGGGGTTAGCCTTTTATTTTTCTTTGAACCAGTGTGTGACACGTAGCTAGTTGTTAAAGGAGAATGAATGAGAGTGAAGGAGCCGTGGTGCTGTTAGAATAATGCTCTTTCTTTTTTCATAATCGACATTGTTTGGTTAACACACGTTTCAGCATCAGGGGCAAATGTGCTCTTTAAAAAGCCCCTGTTGTAGTTGTGCGGCGGCTATTATTATGCTAGCTTAGCTAGAGGGGAACAGCTGTGTTTGTAAATAGGAGGGCGGGCGCGCGCAGGCAGGGGACGTGTCTGTAGGAGGGTTAGCGACTTTTGCATTTATATTTAGCATTTATCAATGTTATACTTTATCAATATACTTTATTTAATCACAAACTATCCCAAAACACCACAGGAGGAACTGTTTTGATACTGAACCACATACGTTCAGTTAAGCTGTGTTTACCGTCGGTGTTTAAATGATAAATGACCCGCACTTGTATAGCGCCTCTCAGAGTAAGGACTCCAAAGCGCTTTACACTACAGTGTATCAGTCATCCATTCACACACACATTCACACACAGATGGTGATGAGCTACGATGTAGCCACAGCTGCCCTGGAGCGCACTGACAGAGGCGCATAATACTGACCCATAATAGTGGTTAGTACTAACACTATTTTATTTAGGTTGCAAAAGACAGGTGCTGTTTTAGTAACATTTGTGTAAAGCTGTCAGCAGACTGCCTGTCCATTCACATCACAATGCTCATTCAGTCAGATTGCTTTGCTTTTTAAAACGTCTCACACTTTTCTGTCTGACGTCCGTTATTCCTCTTCTATTTATCTTTCCCTGTCTCTCAGGCTGAAGAGGGTAACATTGAGTACAAGGTATGTAAACCTGTTTAAGAATGTTGTTTAGCTGCATATCTGTTCGTTTTGGTTTACTTTAAGATATCTTGTAATTGTCGCTGAATACTTAGGAAGTGACTCACAAACATGCCAGCTGCATCCTATCAACACTATAAACAATATAACGGCATAAAGGCATAATAATAATAATAATAATAATAATAATATATGTATGTATATGTCAGAAGGTTAAAGTTGAGCGTCAGGGTAGATTAGAGAGCAGTTTTATTACCCTAGAGATGTCTGATCTCCTTAGATTTAGAATTGCTGTAATAAACATAACATTTACAAGTATAATCACTTAATCAGGCTGACTTAACTTTTCATCGTTTAAGTTTTTTTAAAGTTTGTTTTTTTCACGATTTTTAGTTAAAGCTAATAAACCCAACACAAAACCGCTTTGAGCACCTGGCAACACAGATGAAATGGCGACTGCAGGAGGGTCGAGGCGAAGCTGTCTATCAGATCGGTGTCGAGGATAACGGCATGCTGGTGGGGCTGTCAGAAGAGGACATGAGGGCATCACTAAATACCCTACATAGGCTTGCAGAGAAGTACGTCCAGGACTTGTCGGCATTATTCCTTGTATCAACTTGGTTTGACAACATTTGGACTCACAGCAGTTATTTCCACGGATCTGACTTCTGTGTTGATGAGACTGTTCTGATGAGTGGGTGATATTTTATGCAACAATCCTACAACCTTTTTCTTTAACCAGAGTTGGAGCTGACATTGCTGTTCTCAGAGAACAGGAGGTGGATTACGACTCTGATGTGCCTCGGAAGATCGCTGAAGTTCTTCTTCGAAAGGTGCCCGACGACCAGCAGGTGAGCTTTGCAGTTACCAAGCCATTTTTTTCTTAACTTATTTTCTTTTGGACACTTTTCTGCTTTTGTTTACCTTTTTTCCTCCTGCCTCCATAGTTCTTAGACCTGCGAGTGGCGGTCCTCGGTAACGTGGACTCTGGAAAGTCCACTCTGTTGGGTGTTTTAACGCAGGGCGAACTGGACAACGGACGGGGAAGAGCGAGGCTCAACCTCTTCAGACATCTACACGAGATCCAGACTGGACGCACCTCAAGCATCAGCTTCGAGATTCTCGGCTTCAACAGTAAAGGAGAGGTGAAGAAAAAAACACGGCACCTGATTATTTGCAATTACCTGTGAAATCTGTCAGTTTTATCTCATTTGATCTTTTTTTTTTTTTTGTCTAGATTGTAAATTACAGTGAGTCTAGGACTGCGGAGGAGATTTGTGAGAGTGCCTCCAAGATGATCACATTCATTGATCTGGCGGGTCACCACAAGTACCTGAAAACCACCATTTTTGGCCTCACCAGCTACTGTCCAGACTTTGCGATGCTGGTCGTCAGCGCCAACACTGGCATTGGTGAGCAAACTGTTTAGATTATTCAACTTTTTTTACTTGCTAACCTTTATAATCATTTCCTGTACACGACTTTCACTTGACTTCCAGGTCACATTAATAATACATTTGTGAGTCTGGTAATGCACACCTCCACTCTGCAGTGGACATAACCAGCTGTAGCTTGGTACATTGCAGACGTGTGATATCTGAGCTTACATAACAAATCTGGCCTCCCTCCTGCCTCCTCATCTCTGGCTGGGACTGCTGTCCCCAAATATCTAAAATTGAATAAATGAATATAACAGCTGCTTGTCACTGGAGGTAGTTCTGTCTCCTCTGACTCTAAACCTTACTCCTGGAAATAAATCTGTAAATTGCTTTGCTGATTTTCCTCCGTCATCTGAAGTTACGTAGACAATGATTATCTGATTAGGGTTTTAGTTTTCCTGGACATTCAAAGGTTGTTGCTTCTGAAATGTAAGCCTTCCAGTGCTTAAAACCAAAAACAATTCATGGGACTGGAGTTAAGCACTAATTATTTCTTTACTCATAAAATGAAGTACTTTTAAATTATGTATTAGTACATTTTAATGCTTTTAGTCAGTCGAGCACTTTATCCTAGTGAGGCGGAGAGCAGGAAGCTCTGAAACCTGAGCTGCTAATGGAGCATGTGCTTTGTTAATATTAACCATCTGCTAGTTTTGTGTTTTATTGGGGGGGGGGGGGAACACATTTTGAAGATGTTAATTGCATTAAAGTGGCCATATCATGAAGATTACATTTTTGGTGCTTTTTAGCATGTAATATTATTGTTTCCTCATAATAAAAAATACCCCCAAATCAGTTTTTGGCTGCATTCATGCATTTTCTTGTTGAAGCTGCAAATTTAGAATTTTATTTTGAAATTCTTGAAACAGCCTAATGGGAGGCTAAGCCTCCTCCCGTTACAGTTGGCTCATGGGTCCCCGGAAGAACGAAAAAAAGAAAGCAAGCCAACGGGGCTAAAAGAGCAATGTTCCAATCCGCTTTGCCTTACGCCCTGGATCACACGTATGTTGTACACATCCCAGTCTCACCAGTAACTCTTTTCTTCTGTTTTAGCTGCACTTGCTAGTATGATAGTTTCAACCCTTTATTGGTAAGCTGTTCAAAAAGTAAGGACTGGTCTGTTTTTTGTTTTTACTTTTTTGCTTATTTAGCCAGTGTGAGTCCATGTGAGGTGAGCGGAGTAAATCAACTAAGAACGACCAAATTCAGAGATGTTTAGAGACACAAAATATTTTGCAGGAAATAATCAACAAAAGAAAAATATTAAAACAAGAAATCTGCTTCAGCTGGCAAAGTAAATTACTGCCAACACCACAGAAATTCAACGCTTTTACCATTGGACCACCACAGCTGACATAGCAACCAAGTTGGCTAAGCCGCTGTTCTAGGCATGTTTTGTCGGAGCAGGCATGGGCAAAGGCCCACTAAAACTAAGCCTTTTATTTCCGGGTATAAATTCAGGCTAATGAAAATAACTCATATTTAAGATAAATTACATCTCAATAGTGCCAACGGTAATAGTTTATCATGCATGGTGCCTACCTTTGTTCTCAAAACTGTAATAGCATGATAGGGACTTTACAGAGTTTTGAATTTTTATGCTTGCGATTGCCCCCTCAGGTCAAAAGTGTAACGGCAGCTTCAATAGTAGGCTCGTGCACGAGGCGCGCATGCTGTACGTGCACACTCCTTAACAAAAATAACAGCTGAGACAGTCCCGTGTGTGTGTGTGTGTGTGTGTGTGTGTGTGTGTGTGTGTGTGTGTGTGTGTGTGTGTGTGGCCCAGAGGATAGAAGAACGCGCAGCTAATTAATTAAATAATTTAGTTCTGTACCTTTCTCTTTTGCACAGCCGACAAGGGTTTAAGATTGGTCAGTCTTCCTGCATGCTCTTGAAAAATTGTTCCAAAATGAAAGTTGAACCCACATCTTTTTTATCTGTGAATTCAATGCCGTTTGGCGAGTCTCAAATAAAAATTTGGGCATCTTACTGTAAAAAAATACACCATTAATGTAAAAAAGAAACTACATAAACATGCTCACACCCAGAATCGAACCCAGGACTTCTGCATGGGAGTCCAACATCTTACTGGGTGAGCTATAGTGCCAGTGACGGCTTCTTGTATCTGTAACATTTATATCCTTGATGACAGCTGAAACAGCGTTCAAAGGACGGTTCGGAGCGAAAATGGCTATTTTGTTGCTAATTTGCAGGAAATATCTAGAAGAAAGTTCTACAGAAAGTAGCTAAGGGTCCTCAGAAATGTAGCTAGGTTCATCACTAGGCCTTAGGAACAGCGACAAAGTCGCTGAGTTGGCACTACCTCACTCTCTGCTGCTAAAGCTACGGATAGCAAATGCTACGGGCTATGCCTGAGCGTGAACGAGCATGAAGCAGCCTGCTCGACCCGAGCAGCTCTCTTTTTCTGTGATTTTACAGAAAAACAGGCAATCACAGTAAAAATGCCAGGGCTCATTCTACAGGACCAGGGCATTGCAGGAGAATGTATGAAGAAGAAATGTATTATTTCTATACATGTTTTGGCTGTCAAACTTCCATAATGCCCCTTTAAGTATTTAAACCTATACCATCAGAAGACACAGCAGCCTTAGATGTAGCATACCGTGTTTCTGCTTGTGTCTATTTAAAGAAGGGGCTTTGATATGAACGCGGACATTAGTAAGAACACGATGTGAAAAGCTCAGGACATTCTGTAAATATCTATTTGAAAGCAATACACCTAAAATAACATTTGGTTGTTATGTGTAATGAAGTAGATTACAGGTTATAATCTGTAATCACGTGTTTCTTTTGCAAATGGCAAAGGATGCTAGTACAATTTAATGAACTGTGAGCTGCTGAGACAGCAGTTGCACTTCAACCTGCTGAAGGTTTTAACTCTATGTTTACACCCTGGTGATGTCAGGAAACCTCATAGTTTGTTTTTGTGGTAAATTAATAAGCAAAAATAATACAAACCAACAGTTGTAAGTTGGCTAATGAAACACAAATGAATTTCAGCTTTTTATCGTTATTTTGTCTTTCAGAAATAACATTTCATGCTGTTCTTGATGCACATCTTCATGAAATAAGCTGCAACTTATTTGCATTCACGCAACAAAAATGTAGAGTTTGATGAACAGAAAATGACCAAAATGGATGTAAATATTGGAATATTTCAAACCCCTATCACCATCAAAGTAAAGAGCAGCTGCCCAAAATGTTTGGATAAAAAAAACTGACAAATGTTTCATCAGAAAAAAGTCCATTGCTGATGTTTGATGGGGGGGGGGGGGGGGGGGGGGCATCTTCACAGATTTAGCTGCCATAAAAGGACCACAGCTGTGAAATTAACTGAGATTTTAATAATCTTCTGGCCTCCAAGTGGTTTGTGAATGTGCCTTAATTCCCTTACCTGTGGCACTTTGTGCATTTCAGTGTTTGTTTGCTATAAAAAAAGACTACGCTGTCAAAAATGGGGTCGAGAATGAGCACCGACTCAGCTGCTCCAGACACGATGGGACATGCCGTCTGCAACCCAAGAGCTATGGCATTAATTATGGAACGGTGTAACAGATCAGGTTGTATGTGACAAGCCAAAAGTCAAAGGACTAGTAAACTATCCCTTATCTGTGTTACTATTTATGGGGTTCATACATCACCACTTCAGCCACGTTTACATTTATGAGGGGGGCCTTATTTATTTTGCTCTCGATTATTTACTTTGGATGTACTAAAATTAGACTTCTGCCAGTCAGACAAGAGGTCTGGATATTTTAAGACTGTCGGCTTGTAAAGATGTCCCCCGTAACATTACCTTCACATCTAGACCTTTATTTGAGCTGGTATACAACCTACTACAAGTGTCGCTTTAATGCAAGTGTCAGCTGTGTTTACAAATAAACCAATGATGAGGCTTCTCCGTCCATTTTCCACAACTAGAGAGATGGCACGTGCAAGCTTTTTCTATATATTGCTGAATATTTTCTTGCATCAACAGCTTTTTGTGTTTTCAATCAATCAATCAAAAAACTTTAATCATCCCCGAGGGGCAATTGTTTCAGGGTACTGTGGTCATTCGCAACAAGAGTTGTGCTACCGTTAGATAATAGATGAAGAGGGGATTTCATGAGGAGAATTGGGGGAGTGAAAAAAAGGCCGAGCAGAGTTACACCCAGCAGGGAGTAGCTCTACTATGGAAAAAAACACCTCAACATGTAAGCAAGAACGTCACAGTTCACAACATGAGACCCGGGGGGGGGATTCAAGTCCTCCAGTGAAGCCAATTCGGTGATTAAACATCTCCACACCGTCCGGTGACCCTTTCCGAGATGACATCCATTTTGCGCACTAACACCGGTAACGCAGCTAAGACATTGTCCAGCTTGCGATTCACCTCGAGTAACGTCCCAGTCTGTGAGGTCTCCGCCCGGACGGTGCCGTCCATGGGTGCGGGTCGGCCTCCAATCGCTCCCATCATCCCAATTTTTTGGAAAACCAGATATCCTCCCACTCCAATCAGAAGAAATCCAGTGATCAATTTTTATTAATCTTTTCATGGTGTGGAACACCAAACAAAATGGTGTTTTTAAATGACTAAAGGGAACTTTATTTTAAAAAAAAAAAAGAAATTCAGTTTAATATTTAACACACTTTCCTTCTAACTCTGTCAGCTGGAACAACACGGGAGCATCTGGGCCTCGCCATGGCTCTGAAGGTGCCCATCTTCATTGTCATCAGCAAAGTGGACCTCTGTACACGAGCTACCGTGGAGCGCACAGTGCGCCAGTTGGAGCGTGTCCTGAAACAGCCGGGCTGCAACAAAGTTCCCATGGTTGTGAGCAGCACAGACGATGCCGTCACAGCAGCACAGCAGTTTGCCCAATCACCCAAGTGAGCACCAACCCGATTCCCTGTTTGTAACCATGTTTTCTCTAGATCTAGAGTCATAATTAATGCTCATCTACTTCCCTGCAGCATTACACCTATCTTCACCTTATCCAGCGTGACTGGCGAGAGTTTAGACCTGCTCAAAGTCTTCTTCAACATCATCCCTCCTCTCAGCAACAGCAAGGAGCAGGAGGAGCTCATGCAGCAGCTCACCGAGTTCCAGGTAAACTTAAAACCAAACTTCTCACCAGGTTCCTGCTGGTGCTGTTTTATATGTAAGGGTCATTTCACTGCGATTGATTATAGGTAGATGAGATCTACACGGTGCCAGAAGTGGGAACGGTGGTGGGAGGGACTTTGTACAGGTAAGAGTGATTAAGAATTAATGTATTATTCAGGTTTTATCAGTGAAACATCCCTGACGTGCGTTTTGTTTTGGTTGTGCAGTGGTATTTGCCGTGAGGGGGATCATCTTGTGGTAGGGCCCACAGAGTCGGGTCAGTTCCAAAAGTTGACCATTGGCAGCATCCAAAGAAATCGCTCAGCATGCAGGGTACTCAGGGCCGGCCAGGCAGCTACTCTCGCCCTGGGCAACTTTGATCGCTCTCTACTACGCAAGGTCAGGCTGGAGCCTGTCCGATTTGGTATTCAGTGCCAGTTATCACATGGTTTTATTCATATTTGATCAGAGTTGGTGTGTTTTGCACCTACAGGGCATGGTGATGGTGAGTCCAGAGATGGATCCTACCATCTGCTGGATGTTCGAGGCTGAGATCGTGCTGCTCTTCCATGCTAAGACCTTTCACAAGGGCTTCCAGGTTACTGTGCACATTGGCAACGTGAGACAGACCGCCACAGTGGAAGCAGTTTACGGCAAGGTTAGTTCATTCAAAGGCATTTCAATAATTTACTTAGTGATCACTATGTTATAACGCATTCATTTACAAGGTCTGTTATAGTTTTTGACCTCAGATCTACACAGACTGACGGTTGACTTTAGGGAAGTGGTAACCAAAAGTGCTAAAAGAGTACAGTTTATTTATACCAGAACTACATTACAGTAATCATTAATCATATATTTATTTATACTTAATGGATTCTTGTGCAACAAAACAGAGTGAACGTATCCCAGTTTAGTTTAGAAGAAACTTTTGCAACACTCTGCCTTAGCATGGGCTAGGCTTGGGCGGTATCCAGTCCAACTTCCTCCGCGTTACCAAGGTGTACGGTATCACCGTGACTAATTTAAAATAGACGATGTAAGCCTCAAGTGGAATTGCCAAACTGTTGGTTCGGACCTTCACCGTTCAGAAACTGAATAACAACCACTATTACTAAAACAATAACAACATAACACACATCATTTTAACAACAAAAAAAAGCAGCTTATCAAAAGATTTTTCACTGGAAAAACCAGCATGATTACCCTTTTCTGGCTTCGGCATGTAACGTTGTGGACCGACTGCTGAAAACCTGCTTCGATGAGCTCGTGGCATCGACATATGGGTACTTTGGGGCTAGTTGCGACATCTGGAGAAGACTGGCAGCTTATTTTCCCAACAGAAAAGTGTGTTGTCGTGCCTTATACTAACAGGCAACAAACAGAAGGCTGCTATTTCAGCTCCGGTTAGCTTGTCTGCAGTTCCGACGGGGCCTGCATTTGTCGCGGTCATCTTTTCTTTGCACAGCTTACCTCATCAGTGTTTACCAGCTCTCCTTTTAAGTTTGCTTCGAACTCCAAATACTCCCAGACTGCAGAAGTTGTGTTTTTTTTTAGACACCTAATCAGTTGGTGTATGAGCTTCCATTTCTCTCTGGATGCGTCGCCGCGCTGTTGCATGATGACATTGCATTCATAAACTTTTTGGAACGTCTCTAAAAGTCTAAACATTTGAACTATTTATCTAAAACTGAAAATTCAACCACACATCTGCTTATACATTTAATTACTTTTTTAATCCTTGTCTTCTACATGCAGTTTTTTTTTCATGGCGGTGTTCGAACTGACACTAGCCACGTTTACATGCGCACAATTATTCGGATTGAACGCCCAATCGGATAAACGATTCTGCATGTAAACGTGTCAATCGGAAAATTCTGATCAGATTCAGCCCGATCGGGATGAAATTTCATTCCGATTGACACAGCCATTCTGATTGTTGGGAGTAAAATAATGCCCACTGTGCATGTGTGCAACAGCTAGCGAGCCTCCCCGCTCTCATTTGGACTCCCTGACTTAAATAAATGAGGGCTTAAATAACGAGCGCCGGCTTTTAAGTATGATGGCAAGCCGTCCCTGTTTCTGTAATCCAGAACTTGCATTTTGTGGAAGTAAAATAAAAATCTGATTATTGCACAAATCATTCAACAAATGTGACAACTCTGCACATGCTCACCCTGTTTAATCCGATTGAATACTTGGTGCATATAAACTCACGGCATGATCGGATCGTTTCAGTAGGTGTCCATGTAAACAGATTCAGGATTTCTGATCAACCATGATTTGAATCGGATTGGGGAAATTTGGAGTATGTAAACGTGGCTAGTTGCTATTTGTTAACGTTTTTTTTTTTTTTTTTGGCTTGTTTGTGAACCCCAGCAGCCACCTTTTAATTTCTAATAAATAAGGATCTGTGATACAACACGGCCTCCACTAACATTTTGTTTTGATCTCCTTGTGCTTCACCGCTGCACCACAGGAGGAGCTGAGGACGGGGGAGAAAGCGGTGGTTCTCTTCAAATTCATCAAACACCCAGAATATCTAAAAGTTGGGGCTAAAGTGCTCTTCAGGGAGGGCCTGACCAAAGGTATTGGTCATGTCACCATGCTACACCCCATCGCCCAGTACCAACCATCCTAGGACGAGGAGGAAATCTAAACTTCCCTTTTAGACGACAAAAAAACTGTTTTCATAAAAGGTGCTTCAGAAGCAACATCTTGCTTTTATCAGATGCTCAGTCCAGCCCCAGCAAAGCAAAACTCTTCTACAGAATTTATTTTTGTATTTTCACCTTTGTCCAAAGCCATATCACCATCCGGTTTGTTTCTCTTCTTCTGCCTTTAAAATAGCCGATGACATTTTAAAATTCTGTTGTTTGGTGTTGATGTTGAAAGAGTGTGGTGGCTGTTACGGCGGCGATACAAGGAACTCCCTCAGCCACCCGTGCAACACATCACCACTGAAACATGTCAGTGATTTTAAGAGAGGAGGCGATTGTTTGTGTTGGAATTGCTGCTTACCAAGTTTACAACTCAACCCACTCCTAAAATATTTGCACGCACTTTTGCACTGAATTACAAATGCCAGTGTTGATGTCCTTGTTTGCAAAGGAGGTGCTTTTGACATCGGGAAGTGATAGCAGGCAGTGATCCACAGCAGCTAATCTGTTTTACCAGCATTGTGCCTAAAAGCCTCTCATCGTATTTGAATAAGAGCTTTTCCAAAAGTAATGGCCGTCACTTTAAAGTTGGTCGGATAAAAGTTGGAATGTTTTGCCTGCAGGCTGTGCTGTTGACACTTTAAGAACGTAAAAGAAATGACAACTTGATCTAGATTGTAAGTCTTTATAGTACATACATGTCCATGAAAATGATTGTTTCTATTCACTAATAATGCCTCACGATAACTTGGTGAGATGGTTAGAAGTCTCTTTGGGTATTTTTCAAGTGCTTTAGTCACTCAGGGCAGTGTAGATGATGTATTAGACAGCATTCCACATTCAGAGCCAGCGGAGGGTTCTGTTGCTGATTAGGGACGTTTTTAGGGAAAGTCAGTTTTTTTTTCCCTTCCAAAGATGTGTGTTAGATGAGGAGTTGGTGTGTGAAGCTGGATACTGACACAGCTTTGCTGATAAGTACTGTTGGACGTAGTCGATGTTGTTTGTTGTTACTGACGTCATGAGCTTTGTAGAGGTTCAACACAGTGCCTAGAGAAGCTACGGGAGTAGCCTTCCATTACAACCCAAAGTTTCACAACTTAGATTACATAAGTTAAGTTGGTGCTACGTCTAAAAACAAGCTTGGGTTTAAGAAAACTTGATAATGTTCTGTTCGAGGCAGTTCCCGACCACACCGTCGGTCCTGTATGCATGGTGGACCTGATGTCCAATGTTGTGGTACCCGTGTTTTGATGCACAGAAAACTTAAAGAATAAACATCAACCAAATGATTTTGTATCATTTGTAGAGTTCAGGTGTTTGGTTCAATGCACCGTGGTTGTATTTGATAGATTTCTAGTCGATTTTACAGTTATTTCACAGTTTTTATAATCTTCAACCCTTTAATATCTTAATTCTTTAGTATTTAGGTTCCAAACCTGGTTCCCTTTTTAATTCAAAGTATATTTGATAATTCTGTGAGTGAAATGCAATATTTATGTACAGATCCAATTTGTGTGTCATGAGTACATAAATAAATTCTTTATTAGCTCCTGAGCACCTGTTGTTGATCTTTTTTAGTACATCTGTAAAGGTTTGGGGTTTTAGCCGTGCCATCACAAACCAAGACTTGGGACTTTAGCGTGACTCACAACAAAAGGTGGGGTTTGTTTACAAGTGGCCCATCAGCTGATGCAAGAGGAAGCAAAAGCTGCTTGTTTGTGTTTTACAACATACCAACACTACAAAAAATTTAAATATTAACCTAAATGGTTTCAGAATTACACGTTAGGTCTTGAGATGATTTCTAGAAACAGAAACTAAATACAACTACAGTTTAAATCTTTTGTAGCATAAACATTAAAGCTGGTAAATTGTAGTTTTGTGTTGTTTCCTCTTAATGATCTAAAACTTAAATTTTTGTCCCTAAAAACACAGCAGGTCCATCTCCTCTGAGATGAAACATACGTGGTCTTTCCGATACATTGCATGGTGTTTCTAGAGACTGAAATCAACCTAAAACTTCCTCTTTGCAAAGGTGTTTTGTACTTTTTAATTTGACTTAATGTCAGAATTGATGACACCAGATTGGAGCTTTAGGATTGATTCCCTTACTGCTTTTGGAGGATTTAGGGGGGATTGGTGGTGTTTGGGCATGGCCTTTTACATTTAGAAGAACTGATCAACTAATTGTCCAAGGACCGTGTAGGAATGACTCATTTAATTTGACTTTACAAGTTATCTCAAAGACTAACTGCTGTTGAATTTGTAATCAAGATTCACACCGACTCCTGAACCACACTCGTCTGCACACTACTGCCATCTGCTGTTACGCCAGAACACTACAACACACTCTCTGCATGAAGTTGAAAATATTTTTTATCTGTACAGGTTTACAAAATAAAGCTCAACAACTAGAAATGCCCTTTTAAATTAAAAATAGGACCCAAAATACACATGATGTTAATATCCTCATGAAGCACAAAAACAACTGATTCAAAACAAGTCTTGTTGTATTCTGGTTGTCTGGCTTTCCTCTGGTAAAGATAATATAAAAACATCTTTGTGTGTGTGTATAAATATATATACATAATGTTCAGAAATAAATACTCATGCCCTAAATGTTTAGTTCTTTTTGAAGAAAGCATCTAGAGTACCCACACTGCCCCCTAGTGAGCGTTGTCTCTTTGGTGCAGGACCTGACTGACCTCTGGTTTTTGTTTTGCCTCGGGACGACCGAGCGGCTGCTGTCCTGAGAGCAGATGGAGAACCACTGGAGGAAGATGAGACGGTTAGATATGGAGGCATGCTTCCTGAATTTGTAGATGAAGACAGTGAATTCTGGAGGTCCAGGGCGAAGTGATAGTCACGATGCTCAGGCATTTCCCACACCAGAACCTCTACACCACAACGTTCACACTTTAAAAGGTCTCCTCCTAGCGCACTAGAAGTACTGTCCAGATGGCTTTCCGGTTCCTCCCTTACCTCTTCTTCCCGTGACTGTGTTGGTATTAACTCTGGGATCATTTTTAACTGCTGGCCAGATGCAAAAGCATCAGTGCCTCTACTGGCACATGCATCATTGTGACCTGAAGACACGTTAGAGCTTTTTTCAAGACTCTTCCTATGAAAGAAAGAGGAGATGCCAGGATGGGAGCTAGCAGAGTCAGTTTTAGAGTGGGAGACACTTTTGAAAGGAGATTTTTGTGAGTCACTTGCCATCTCCAGCTGGCAATCGGTGTCAGACTGATCACCAACAAAAGGCGGGAGAACTTCCTCTTCTGTGTCGCTTTTAACTTGCTTTTGTTTTCCAGCTGCTTTTTGAAAGAAGGACTGAATGGTACCATGCTGACTACATGGAGGCTCTGTTTTTACGTCACAGGATGGCTGGGTGGAGGAGAACAGAGTCTGGGTTGAAGTTCCTTCACTGGACAGAAATCCAGCAATCCCCCCAGCAGACGGAGCATCACTGAATTTACTAGCAGAGATGTGTAGCAGGGTGAGGGGGGGAGACCTGGAAACATGTCAGACACATGATCTAAATCATGCAGCATTCCCTCAAAACATACAGCCTTTTACGTCATCGCTCTTTAATTACCACGCCGCCTGGTGGTTTCCTGCTTTGTTGAGACTCTTGATCAGAGCAAAGCTGTCACTTGATATTTTGGTCGCCTCGTAGCGTGCTAAAGCACAGCATCGAGAGAAGCCGGTCGGCCGCTTATCGCCAAGCTGACGCACGCCAACCGTCAGCTGCTTTGCCACACGATTATTCTGTAGTACAGCCAGAAAACACGGGTGTGAGACTAGTGGCATGCTACAGGAATACGAGGACACAACGAGCCAAGCTGTAATGAAAAGAAGCGATTACATTTAAATAATTCTCACCACTTCTTTGTCTTTGGCCAGCCTCTCCTCCAACTCCAGGGCCAGCTGATGAAGCCAGTACTGCACCTACACGGAGGTTTGATTTCAGCATCAGGACAATCTTTGCAAATAATAAATTAACTAAATAATGACATTTCTCATAGTTCTGGTGTCTTTTCCCCCCACGTCAGAGGCATAAACCTTTCAGACAGTAACAGATTATGTTGAAATACTTTTGACAGTCCTGTACCTGATCCTTAGTAGCCAGTGACGTCCTCCCGGGAAAGTTTTTACTGCAGCCAATGGACTTGGGAAGCTGTCTGGGTTTCACAGGTTCAAACTCGATCCCCCGACACAGGTCAAACAGCCACTGGCTGCAGCGTTATGTTGGTCATAGAGAATTTAAAAAATATGTCAGCAGTTAAGGTCCATTTCAAATAAATACAATTCTGTGTGAAAAATGTCAACCAGAATGTCAGAAAACTTAAAATGGTTATTTGAATTATGTTTTATTTTCACACCCCAAAGTCCCAAATCTCTAAATCTAGTCTCGAACGGTCCTACAAGTAGACCTTTTATTCGCCAGTAATCCTGTGAAACTGCATTTTCTCACCCCATTTTTTCTCCAAAGTGCTGCCCCAGTTGAGCCTGAGAGAACCGAGTGAGATCTCCCATGTTCTCCACTCCCAGGGTTTCTGTAATCGACACGCCCAGCTTACCCCCCAGGTTTCGACTGCACAGGAGAAAATAAAAGTACACGAGTACAGACTTGTATTTTTCCACTTCTACATCAGAAGATCGGCGTTTTTGTGATGATTAAATTCTTGTGAGACTTTAAACTCACATTTTACTGACAGGCAAAGAGCTGAAAAGTTCCCCCACAGAGTCCAAAGGTAGAATGGTTTGTCTGTTAGGTTTGTTCAGCCCACAGGCCAGCTTTGCCAACACCTTAAAAGTAGATGGTAGACCATGATGGCTGCAATAAAATAAATGTGGCGTCTGAATTGTAATAAGAGAATTTACCGTACCTTGTTGTGTGATATTCCCGCTGAGCAGCGGAAGCCTGTGTGTTGTTCCACAGCTGCTCTCATTTCCTCAATAATGAGAGCCCCCACGGTTAGCTGCAGCTCTGCAGAGCTGTGCTCCCCCGAAGATGGAGCAGGTAAAGATGCCAGCCACTGAAGGAGACCTCTGGATCTCTTCTCCTCTGCGGATAAAAATCAAGACTATTTACACAAATTCAATTTATAGTTTTAACATTTTAGATGATGTTACTTCCAACACAGAGTTTAATGAGTAACAGATTAGTAGTTTACCTTTACCCAAAACAGGATCTTCAGGGCCACCTGCAGAAGACGGTTCTTGGCTACTTTGTGGAAACCCCTGGATGTAGGTGGTTTTAAGAAGGCTGGGCTCTATTTGTATGTCGGCCATGTTTTTCAGCCTCTGCTGAACAGCAGCTGTCAAATCCATGTAGGCCTCGTCAATGCTGGCCCGCTCGATCACAGCGAAGCGAGACATCACCTCTATCACCTCCACACTAGCGTCCCTGTAACTAAAACAAGTGACTATGTTTTATTATGTTTTTATTCACAAGTAAGGTTTAATAAAATATGGATTTACTATTTCAACATATAGCAACAAGGAAATTTGAGGTGTGTATGGTCATCTACACTTACGGAGTTAGATCTGCTTTGCCACGAGACTCGCGAACTCTGGCTACCTGGAGATCTGTACACAACTGCTTAGCATCATCCACCCACATGGTCTTGGTAACACCGTGAGCCCTGGCCTCGTAGCTCACAGCTATAATACTAACAGAACATATTATCAGGAATACATTTTTAACATTTGCACAAATAGAGGCTTCACTTTGCTCCTGCTTTTGCTACAATGACATGTATAGATACGTTTTGAGAAGCGTGTAATGTTTACTAAGCTGAAACTAGACATTGTATACCACGCCAAATAGGAAAATAAAACACAACTTCCGGTTTCAATAGGCGCAGCGTCAACTTATCCAGATGAGGTTTATTTTATGTTAAAACACATTTTGTGCCGGAAACTCACCCGCCTCCTTTCCACGTCTTGTATTGTGCCACCACGCAGGGAGTGTTCTTCAGGGCTGGATTCAGTCGCTGTTCCACCTGGACGTAAAAACAGTCCATGTCGACCAGCGCCACCACTCTCTCCTTCCCGTATTCCATTAGAAACCTAAAGACTTCGTCACTTAAAATATACCAGCCCGTTACGTAGGTCAGGTACAGCTGGAGGAAGGTATGTATATTAAGAACAAGTAAAGAATGCGTCTAAATTCAACACTTTAGATTTCGCGCAAAAAATCCCAATCGGAAGCAAACGTCATCAAACGTGGACAGACAAGGAAAATCTGTGTGACGTTGAAATATGTCCCCCGCCTCGAAAAGTGCGTATATTTGTTCCCCTTTGATATTAAAATCAACGTTTATGATTAAAATTGTGTTAAATTATATTTATAACGTTTAACCTATTAAAATGTGTCATTTTATCCCTGTGGTAGGCGCATTTTAAAGCAACCTCATCAAAACACCGTAAAACAGTAAAAAGAAAAGGTAGGAATTATAATAGGATTCTGGAGATAAATATCAGTAAAATATAAATATAAACATAAAAATCTAATATTATTAATGATAAGAAAACATTAAACAATACGGCCAAAAATAGATTTCTGTTGTGTTCTGACTCTTGAAGGCAGCAGAACACTGCTGATATAGGTGCTGTGGAGAGTTCAGGGAGTTCCCATAGACTGTAGTTCCAGAGATGTGCTGAGAGAAAAAATGAACGTCACTCCTCCCTGTAATAAAGAAAGTTCATATAGACAAAGTTATTGCCTACCTGCTTGCCACCAACCTCAAAACGTAACAGCCTGCCTAAAAAATTACACTAAAAGAAAAAAGGTGATTTGAAATAGGCAAGTGTCTTGCCAACACTTGAAGTACTGGAATGCATCATTTAGTGGTAAAATCTGGAATCACTATTCATAGAGTTGTGCAAGTATTTTTTTATTTACTTATTATTATTATTATTCTAAGTAATTTGGGGCTGATTGTTGCACTTTATGAACTAACTTCAATAGCTTTTCTTTTATTTGGGCAAACAAGTCAGAAAATGAATTCACAAAATTTGGAAAGTGAGTTCATTAAAAGATAATTCAAGTTTAAATGTTTACTGAATATTGCACTTTGAGGAACATCCTTGTTTCCTTCGACTGGTTCTCTTCTCAGATTGTTTAATATTTTCTCTTTTAAACCAAAATCATTCCAACAGCAATTTTTTCCTAAAGTTATTGAGAATATACTGTATGAGTGTAGATTGAACAGATGGCAACAATTGGAAAATGTCAGTTTTCTGAGGGTAATAGCTTGTCAAAACATATTGGAAAAAATAAGTATGCACTAGTTTTTTTTTTAACTATGAACCTAATTTTAAAAAATCAATTATAAACTGAAGTAGTTATGAACTGAACTGTGAAATAGCTCATCTTTAAAGCAACGTTCCCCCACACTGATAAGTAGTTTGTATAAGTGAAGACATTCTGGCTTTATCTAAACTAGCTATGCTGTTAATGCTCATTTTAAAACTGTAAGTTTTATTTTGAAAGAATCTATAGGAAGTGGTAATGAATAGCCTACTGACAGTAATTAACCCGGAATATCAGTATATTATATTTTCTGATAAAAATTGGTCACCTGTATGCTATAACATACAAATTGTTGTGTTACAAATGTAAAGATGTAAAGATAGGTCTATCTTGCTGTTGTACTTAAACCCAGTTTGATAAACATGAAAAGGTCATACGCAGTGTGTGATTTGTGACAAAAGCGGGGTGGCGGGGGGTAGGGGTGGGGTGTGTGTAATTTTTTTTCTGTATTTTATTTATGAAAATTACAACATGCTTTTGTCAGCCAATTGCAAGGTATTTTTTTCGTAGGTGAACCCTTTTGAAACTGACAGAGATAAAATACACAAAAAGGGAGAGTTATGTTGACATCCATTTCATCTTTGTGCGCATGCAAACCCTAACTCTGGTCATACATGATAAAAAAAGGATAAAGGCCCCTGAAAATACTCTTCCTTCATTTGTAATTTAGTTCCCTGTGAATGAGTATCAGGTACAATGAGGAAGTAAATTCGACTGAGGATCACCAAAACTGTGAGAAGGCTTGTTCACAAACAGTCTCCATGCCAAAATGATGTTTCCAGTTGTTCTTCATCTCATGCTTGCTGGACTCTTGGGTAAGTCAGAGAGGCTTTTTGCTCTAATAATATTAAGGTGGAGAATCACTGCTGAAGTAACCAATGCATTCGAATGTCATATCCTGTCGCTCTGCAGGAGTTCATTGTAACATTATAACTGTGACTGAAGTGTCGGTGCAGACCGGGAGCTCCATCTCAATCCCATGTCTCTATACGGAAAGGTACAGAAACTCTATTAAATACTTGTGTAAAGGAAAACAATGGATCTCTTGCATCAAAGTTGCTGAAACGACGCAAAACAGATGGCAAAGATTTTCCATTTCTGACGACACACAGCTAAACATTTTCACAGTGACGATCAATAATCTGACGAGTGAAGACAAGCACTTCTGGTGTGCCGTGGACAGATTTATCCAAGATATTAAACAGCATTTTACGCTATCAGTTACTTCAGGTAAATCCTTGTTAATCAAATCATCTAATCAGTCTAATCAATTAAAAAAATGTTTAAATATTGGTGTTGGGTTTTGTTTTACTCTATTCAAGGTACTCCAAGTCTCTATGTGAATCATCAGGAAATAACGACCTTTGAAAGAGGAAGTGTGACCATAACTTGTCGCTATACTGATCAAAACGTAACTGGCTGGTGTAGGCTAGGTGGCTCCTGTGTAAGAGATGATTCTGGATCGTTGGATGGAACAACTGTGAAAATAACAAGAGTCTCTGATGTCTATGAAGTGACCATGACCAACCTGACGACAGAGAACAGTGGCTGGTATTGGTGTGCCAGTACAGACCTTCAGATACCCGTGCATATTATTGTTCATAACTTAAGATCAACTGTGACTGTACCTACACTGAGCTCCTTTCCAGCAGGTAAGAAACAAAAGTAACCCATGTTGGGTTTTCATATTAAATGTTAATAGACTGGCAACACCAGAAGGTTGATTCAAGGCGGATTCAAGCAGGGGAGGTTCTAGAACTACATTAAAGGGGGACCAAGGAGGGGCCACTTGCTCTGTTCAGCCTGGGGCACACCGGAGGCGGACGCGCCACGCGGCGTCATCATTTTAAATAGAAGCCATTACAGTTGATGAAAGTGGACACACGGGGAGCACTGCACCATGTCCCAGAAGCGCCACGCCGAGGCGCTTGAGATAGGTGCCAGCTCTACCAGAAGTGCCGCGGATGCTTACAACATTGTGGAGAACTTTACATACAACAGACATTACGACACAAAACGGTTTCATGGCACAAACCCAGCCACGGTTTGATAACTTTAAAGTACTAATGATCTTAAAATATTTTAATAAATAGCGTACTTACCCACTGTTAATGAATTAGAGTCTCACAAAACACGACAGCAAGTCTGATCAGGTATAAACAATAGAGTCACTTCCCGCTTCCTGTTACGATGTGCGTGATGTTGTGAATATCGCGCGACTTTCCAAGTGGCGCGTCTGCCTCTGGTGTGCCCCAGGCTTTAGAGAGGCACGTTTGTTAACAATACCCCCGCCTTTAAGCATTTCAAATATAGTGAATAATTACAACAATAGAGGGACTTGTTTTAAATATGTTTTTAAAATATGTCTCAACCTCTCTTTTCAACTTAAGATAAATTCATGCCTGCTATGGTTTCACATCTTCCATTAAGTGATATTAACACCAAAAATATGTGCTTTTTAATGCTTAAGCCTGATTTATACTTCTCAGTCAGCTCGAATGTGGAGTCACGCACATGTGTTGACGGAGATGTTTTCCCTTCAGACTTCTCCGTCTCCTGGGCAATGTTGCAAAGCAGTTCCCCACCAGAACAACAGAGGGTGTAGCGCTGTATTTACTAATGTGTTTACATAGTTTTAATGCATTTCAGAGACTTTCTAACACAGACAAATTTGTCACTAAATCTGCTCTACCTCTTCATGTGATTGGTACCTCTAAACCCACGTGTCTTGTCTTTTACATCCACGAATAAAATGCTTGCTACAAATCTTTGTACTCCTTCAACCATGGGTAAATAAACGCGGATATTTTCAGACTATTCCCATGAGGAGTTCTTCAATCTGTTTCACATCTGCCGCTAAATATCTTATTTTTTTATAGGGAAAGGGCGGTGTTGTTCATGAATTTAAAGGAACCAGCTTCCTTCATAAGCTTGCGGTTTCTGTCACTTCGCGTGTCTCCACACACATGCAGACAAAGAAGTATAAATTACGCTTTAGGGTCTGCCTTCAGCAGGGGGGCACAGGAGGAGTCCAAGCTAGCTGTTAGGGTGGCATTGCCCCCCCCCCCCCCCCTCAAGAAACACCCCTGGATTCAATTTTAACATTTCAAAAAAGATGTTTGACTACTTTGAATTTTTCCACATCAACAGACATCACTGGAGCCTTTGAAGATGTAACATCTGGAAAGAGGTTAGTGCCCTTTTATCTATTTAAATGTACATTCTTAGTTTGTCCAGATTTGATCCAGCTCACGTCCAACAACTGCTGGAGATAGACACAAGACGCCATGAACTGGAAGAAGAAATTATTAGCCATCAATAAAAAAAAGTTTCAGTTCTTTTTCCCTCAAAACCAAAAAAATAAAATAAGTCGTGCAACAGAGTTTAAAGTAATGCTTTTGAGTATGTGTAATGTGCTCACTTTGATCTCTGCAGTTCCGTGAAGATGATTCTCATCACCATCCTGATCGTGCTTCTGTTTATCTTTCTGGCTGCCCTTTTGGGATGGAGGATGATAAAACAAAGTAATCACATGGGAACACAGTTAAAACAAATGAAACAATATGTTATTTTGACTTGTTTTTGTTTTCTTTTGCAGGAAATAACAAACTAGATGTGCGTGACATCCATATGGTACGGTGGGACTATGTCTTGTCTTTAGGTCTGCTCGACTTCTCAAGAGACTTCTGTTTTCAATTAAATGTGAACATGTGTCAGACACTTTGATGATTTCAAAATTTGAGTTTGGAAAAGTGAATTGTTAATAATAACGATGAATTATTTCTATTAATCCATTACAGAGTTCACAGACGGTTGTGTTCTACGCTACCGTCGATCACAATCAAAGACCACAGGCCCAAATAAAGGTAAAGACTGCATAGAATGAGAAAAGCAGGGGGATGGATGAGGAGTATGGCTACATTTAACACATATATCTGTTTATAAATTTTCCAAAAGGACCAAACACTCACAGAAGATGTGACGTACACCACCATCCAAATAAATTTGAAACAGGTGGTAAAAATTGAGTTAATTTCACAAGTTATTAACTGAATTACTCTGTGTCACACGTTTTGCTGGTTTAAATGTTTCTCTGTGTTTATTTTTATAGACAACATCACCAGAGGGAGCTGTGATCTACAACACTCTGCAGTAAAACAAGGCCAGATGAAATCATTCAACTGTGGACTTTGTTTCTTTTATTAGTACGTTTGAAAACTGTTCAATGCAGATCAGAAAGAAACAACATGTATAACTGCTTGAATCAACAAACTGAATACTGATCTAAATCAGATCCCAGTCATCGGACAAAAGCAAAGGAAATAATTTTACATGTTGTAAAAACATGGTTGAATATACAATTCCATTTTTTTTAGTTCTTCACTAATACACAGAGTAAATAAAGCTTGTTTTTTACCTTTTTTCTGAGAGTTAAATATAGTTGAAAACGTTGAACGTTGTTCCAACAGTATAATGTTTCATTTATACAGGTTAATGCTCATTGAGAAGGACTCCATTAAAGCTGTTTTTGAAACAACTGCTTCTGTATTATTTTTTAACAATAGTGCACTCCTGTTTTTGAAAAATTGGCTATACACACATTCCTCATTCGGAGAAGAAAAACGGAGTTGTGGCTGAAAAAATGCTTGTATGCAAATTAAAAGGGCCCCATAAAGTCATAACACTCTTCCTATTAAATATAACTGTTTTAAGGAAGTCACAGTTTCTGTGCATCACTCTTTCCTGTGTACCAGAATAGCTGTTAACGTGTGTGTGTTAAAGTGTTCTCCTCAGTTCACCATCTTGTATCTGGCTCCATACTTTCCTTTCCTCAACCCTTTTGAGGAGTGTTTCAAAGAAAATTGGCAGGATGATAAAATACAGTGAGCCAACAGGGAGCCCTTCATAAACAAACAAGTAAAGATGCATGAATGAATTTTTTATGGAATTCAAATTTAATTGTTATTGTCTGGATTAAAATTATTTTAGGATCATGCAGCTTATATAATTTAGAGTAATTAATTTGCATAAATTATTTATTCAAATTAAAATTGTATTCAGAAAGGTAACAGAAATAAGAGGCTTAAAGGAAAGCCTTTCCCTACTACAACGTTGTAGAATCTCTGAACAGAAATAAATCTGATTATCAATCAAATTAAAAAAATATATTTTAATTCTTGAAATAGTTGCACTAACTTGTGTGGGGAAAGGGCTAACAGGCAAGCTAATAATAAAGCTTCAACTGGCATTATGCTATTTTCAGAGGCTCCTGATAACGTAGCTGTTACGGCCCTGCTAAAGGGAGAGACATCTGTCTTGTGAGCAAACAAATGTTGCTGTGCTTGTGCAACCAGCTGATGGGTGCTTGGGATTTTCCTGCTGACGTCCCTCTGGTTCATCATTGATATGTGTTCAACCAGCAATTGCTCTGAGTGGCTGCACCTGTGAGTGCTGCATAAAAGGCTGCTTGGTGCAACATCTGAGGGTCTGATCAGAGGGAGCGCTTGCCTGTGTGGCTTTATAAAAATACTCCTAACTCACACCATGCGTCCAGACCTCCTCCATGTTGTTGTGTCCGCAAGGATTGTTTTCTGTCTGTTTTTCTTTCCATACTGTCATGTTAACATGTAGTGTCAGTGCACAGGTGTCCTCCTGTGATTGGAAGAGGAAGGCATGGAGAGATCCTGATTGGGTGGCTGGGAGGAGCAGACCTGATAAAAAGAGCCTGATGAGGAGCAGTTGTGTCCCTCATTCTCTGCCCATCCCAACCAGCCACCATTTGTTTTTGAGCTTTGTGACTAGATTGTCTGTAAAATAACTATCAGTGTGAGGATTTGTAGGGGTGAACTGCCTTTTGCTTGATCCCATTTTTCTCCTGTTTGGTTAGCCAGGGAGTTAAGTTTGGTTTGTCTTTTGGTTCCTTTCATTTGTAGGTAAGATGGTTGTTTAAGTTAGAGGTGTTTTGTTTGTTACTTTGGCCTTGGTCCACCCTGAAGCTTAATCCTCCCTCACCCTTAGTTAGCCCTTAATCCAGTCTCTGGTTCTTCTTGTGTCAATGAATTATTGTAAATATTCCCTTTGGTGTGGTTGCTTGGGATCGGTGATTAATGGTGGTGGTGACCCTAATATTAAACACATTATGGTGATCATTGAACCTCATTTATTTTGTGTGTTTTAGATCTTTTATTGTCTTAAACAACATCATACGTCTGAGTTTGTCCTTCCTGATTGTTCTTGTAGCTGTGTTCATCTGGTTTAAAGTAAGACAAAGTAAGTCTGCACAAACTTCCTTATTCTCCAACTTGGGCTATTTACAGCTTAGACTTAAACCAACAGCTTTATTTTTTTTATCAGAACAATATAAAGATGCTAAAAATGTAACACAGCTTATCTTTGAGCTTTCTTGATAATTCATCAAAGGTTTCACTAACAGCCTCAGTAAAAAGGTTTTACACTTTGATCACAGCCTGATCTTTTTGCAGAATATTTCTAAACAAGTGGTATGTTTTTTTTAAGTTATGTTGTTCTTCTGAAATAGTAAAGTTCTCATGCACTTTTAATTTTTTTTATTGCAAAATTTGAGAAGGAAGCAAGGGGAGGCTGTAAAATTTGGCTCCTGTTTTCAGTTGTTTTTAATGTTTTACTGTCTTTATTCCCTCTTTATACTTTTACTTTTTTGTTTCGAACAGCATGCAAACAATGCTGTTACCAACCAGGAGGACATCTAAATTTTAAATCTCTTGCAAGTTCATTTCTAAATAAGCATTTTGTTATTTTAGATTTAGTTGACCTTTCTCCATTGGATCATTGTTTGACAAAGTAAAAGCTTTGTAAAAAAAAATCTAACCAATATATGAAAGCACGAACATATTTGTTTACTTAAGCAATTTCAAAGTGACTGTTATCAATCAATCAATCAATCAATACTTTATTAATCCCAGAGGGAAATTAGAGTTTCAGTACACACAATTCAGAGATCAGACTACATGGGCAAGACACATGACAAGAATAGGCGACTGTAGTCATTCGCAACCGGAGTCGCGCTACCTTAATAGAGATAAGAAGGTAACGTTAGGATTGGTTCAGGTGGAGGGGGAAAAAAACACAGCATCTGTCTGCATTTCTTCGTGGGGGTTTTATTTGCTTGCAGCTCAAGGCTACCAGGGCATCAGATTCAGATAACAAGAATTGGTTTGGGTCAGACTGAGATAATTTTCCTCTCTGCCGTCAGTCTTTAAACTGATCATTTCCAGTCCTTCAGTGAAGCCAATTTTGGGTTTTTTAACCTGTCCATACCATCCGGTGACTCTCCGAGATGACATCCATTTTGCGCACTAATACCGGTATCGCAGCTAGAACACTGTCCAGCTTACGATTCACCTCGAGTAACGTCCCAGTCTGAGAAGTCTCCACATGGACGGTGCTTTCCGTGGGTGCGGGTCGCCCTCTTAGGGTCTATTCTTGCTAATAATCAGTTTGATGCTCACACATGGAGACATAATACCCTTTTGATATCTTATAATCACGTTTGAGTATAATTTTTAATTTTTTTGAGTTGATTGAGAAGTCATTCTCATTTACAACGATGATCTGGCCAAGAGGCAGCAGCAACAGGCACATAGTTAGCTTCACATCAAAGAAACAAAACAAGATAAAAACAAACAAGATCAGAATAAGAAAACAATTGGACATGAAGACAAAGGAGTGTTCTCATATGTACAGGCTATAAAAACAGACTTTAAGTACTCAAACACATTGATCAGAAAGTATTGACTGCAATGAATTATTGAAAGTAGAGAATAGAATATAAGTAGTGAGCTTTAGTGATTTTTGCAGCTCATGCTAAAGCATTGGAAGCAGCAAACTGGAATGATGAGCGGCCGAAGGAGGTGCAAGCTTTGGGAAAAACCATAATGATTAAGTTACTGGAATGTAAATTGTGCTGGTTGTTGGAAGTATTGAGTAATGAGTGAAGATATGACAGGTTCTACCAATGATTGTTTTGTATATGAACTGATACCAAGGTAGCAACCTGCAGGAATATAGTGATGGGCAGTTAACGAGTGAGTACAGATCACAATGATGAGTAGTGAAAGGGCACCAGTGATGGAACGGATTTCTGAGTGAAAAATGGCATCGAGTTTTTGGGAAGCAGTCCTATAAATGATGCCACCATAGTCTAAGATGGGAAGGATTGTCATTTTGAGCAAGGTTTGCTTTGCAGAATGAGTAAAGGATGACTTGTTGTATAGAAACCCAATTCTTGACTTGACTTTAGAAAGTAAAGAATTTATGTGAATGTCAAAAGAAAGATTGCTGTCAAGCCAGATACCCAGATACGTATAGGAACTGACAAGTTTAGTTCTGTACCATCCAGGGAAACAAAACTAGGGTGGAAAGTTGATTGAGGTAAGTTACGGTTGAAGATCTTGAACTTTGTTTTACTTGTGTTTAAATGAAGATGAAGGTTGGAGAAAGCATGTTGAAGACAAAGTTCTTAATAATCACTTAAGATGCTGTAGCATCACGGAAGGTCCTCTAATTTGTGGCAAAGGTCACATTTACCCAGCTGGGTCAAGCTGGGTCAAACAATACTTTTAAATCCACAGATTAACCAAGGAGCCATGATGTCTGCTAAAGAACCATCTTATCTGCTGCTGTTCCATCCCAGGAGAAGGACACTTCAAGTTCACGATGATAATAATTAAATAATATTAACAAAACTCTTTCACTTTATTACTGTTTATTATAATCAGCATGTATAATCACTTGGTTCAGTATAAAGGTATTTTAATTACATGAAATGAATTATTATGCTTTGGGTATAATGATTAATTGTAATTATGATTGACAGTAATGTGTTCAGCAAAGAAGGTCACTTCCACCTTATCCATCTAACTCAGAGTTCATTTAAACAATAACTGCCAACACATGTTTTTGACGCATGACCAAAGCTTTCTTGCTGAGAGAGTGGGAGTGTTCTGAGAGCTTTGTAAACTAACCATCACCAGCTTCAAGTCAGTTCTTGAACCAACAACATCCTGAGGAGACGGGTCAGCCGCCCTGATCCTCTGCAAGCTGTTCTGTCACGCTGATCAGAATAGCTAAGAATAAACGTAACCTGTAACCAGCTGACGAAAACTTCTTCCAGAAGTTATTGATTTCTGAGTTAAGTTAAGGCGAAAAACTCCTTCAGAGCTACGGATGTTGAGACGCCAATAGTTCATCAGTCGTGTGACCCACAGAGACAACCCAGGACTGATTTGGTCGCATCGAGGTCCTTCTACCATCCTCGTGCCCGGAGGAAATCATCTCCACTTGACATCTCGGATCCGAATGGGGGTCTCCGGAAACTGGGTGAGGTAGACACTAATCGACAGATGACGTTTGATGCTGTTTCCTCTAAGTAAACGACTCAGGTAGCCGCAAAACATCATTTTCATCCAGAACGCTTTTCATCTCTCTGAAAGAAACCTGAGAATTCCATTCACGCATCCAAACTCGCATTTCCAATTTAGCTTTCATCCAGCCACAGGTTTGCCTTTTAAAACAAGTTTAATATCAAAGCTGTTAAAAATTGTCATTAAATTGTCATCCGTGATTTGTCGTTTATAATTGTCGTTCAAATCCTTAAGTTTATAATTGTTAGTGGTAAAATTTCTTCATTTTTAAACTTGCCTCATTATTGAAACGAAACACAGAAAAGGTATATTTCTGGTTATTGAAAAGCAAAGATTCCTAGCTTGATTCGAAAATAAACGCTTGCTATAAAATTTAATTATCTTAAATTAACCATTAATCTTTGGATTAAAATGAGACCAAGTGAATTGGTGTGTGAGCTTCTATTGATCATATAAGTATCTTGGATATTTATACATGATATAAGCTCATATGCTAATAAGCTCGGTCATTCTCAGAATTAACAACTGATAGCAAACAGTGTTGATTCTAGTATGTATTCATCTCTACAGATGCATAAGGTTTAAGGATTTTATAATTACACAATGCAACAAAAAACACCGATTCTGTGATTCAATCATTTATTCAAAGTATTAAAGATATCTGATTCAGAGTCTCGTATTTTATACAATTTAGTAAAGAATGCTTATTCGGTTATGCTATAAAATGAAACAACCATATTTACACAATAAAATTTGACACCTAATGCTTCACATATTAAAATGCCTTTGACATACTTGACGTGAGCTCAGAAAACCACCAGAGCATCATGTGTTTTACTGGTGACCCAGGTTAAAGTGCACAAAGAGCTATAAGACTTGAAACCACAAAGGTATAGGTGAGTAACGACTCTGAGGGCCGAATCTCCCAGCTAGAGAGTAGGGCTGGGACAACGTCTCGACGTAATCGATTACGTCGACACCGGCGTTTGCAGTCTTTGGTATTATGACCTTGTTTGAGACAACCATAATAAAGTTTGTTCTCCTTTGCATACTTTTTTCTGTTTTCTAGAGACAGTTTTAAGAAATCTGGACACTGGTGGAGTGGATGTGCAATTTGACACAGAGAACATGAAAAATAATTTGATGTTTTTATTATTGACTGTGTGTTACTTTGTTCAGTTGAATTTCTCTTAAAAACATTTGCTTCCCTTTTGGTTCTCTTGTGTTTATTTTGTCACTGTTAGTTTCAGAGTAACGACGAGAATGAATGGAGGTGACTGGGTTACATGCAACTTCAGCTTCAACAGAGCGAAAGGATGCAAAGTCACTAAAACTTGGAAACTCACCACCTTCCATTAAAGTCATTGTTACCTGTCTGTTCCATCTTGCGTTTATCCAATATGGTAGTTTATGCAGTAAATTTTGATTTTCCTCGAAGTCGTTAAGTATTTGCAAACCCTTTACGTGAGGCATAGCGAGCATGCATGCATTTAGGAAGTCCACAAAAGTTCTTAATCCATCAGCATCTCTGGACTGCACCTTTGGCCAGTTTGATAGCTTCTCTCTGAATGATTTCTGTATCATAAAGGGCTGGCCATATCTTTGGTTTAACTTGTCCCAAGCATCCTTATATGCGACTTCATCACTCCTGAAGAAAGTCCCTTCAATGCATTTGCGAGCCGACCGTGTTACATATATTTTTAAATAGTACAGTTTATCTGCTGCTGAGATGCCCTTTTGATCAATCAGTGATGTAAATGTGGATTTCCATTCAATAAAATGTACTGGGTCGCCAATGAAAACTGTAGGTTCTGGTGTAGGAAGTTTGTTTAATCTTATACTGTCTTGAACTGCCTGTAATAGCTGGGTAACACTAGGGAGAGCTGTCTGCACAGAATCAAAGGCGAGGTAAAGCTGTTTGGGTGTGATATTTGGGCTCACCTGTTCATCTGTAATTGACTGTATATACATCACCCGCTTGTAGTAAATGCCTGTCATATGCTTTAGCTGGCTTGGGCCGCTTTCGCATCCTTTTGTGCACTCAGGCGTTCTAACTCTGCATTTTGAACTGCCACCTGTTTTTTATGCTCTTAGAGTTTATTTTATTTTTTTCTTGTCTTTGTTGCTCCAGCGCGACCTCATATTAAACTTCTTTTGCTGCTAGTTCTGCTGCTGCTTCAGCTCGTTTTGCTGTAAGATGGGAGGCTGAGGATCGCTGGCTGCGATTTGATGCTGCAGTTGATACGTATATGGAAATGTCGAAGTCATGCTCTAGAAGTTCACGTAAATGAGCTAACATTTGTTATTTGCATTTGATTGAATCTTTAATGCCCTGTTTCTCAGTACTTTCATCATGAAGTGAGTCCTTTAAGTCTTGAATTTCCTTTTGCAGAGTTGTAATCTGTTCATTTAGGGCCGTTTCACTTACTGTTGCAGCCTGCAAGTCTTCCATTTTACTTTGCCTTTTTTCTCAAAACTTTATTGAACAAGGTGATAAGTATACTAACAAATTGCATACAAAATTGAACAAAGAAGATGAAACATATGCCAGGGGGTGCACTACAGAAATGTTACACACATCCAAACAACTACAGAAATGTTACACACATCCAAACAAATTATAGGTGTGCAAATAATTATAGTTTTTAAAGCTTTTTTGTTTAGTGATCCACTAATCAATTTTATGTAAGATAGAGTGTATTTTACTTTGCCGTTATCCGTTCTATTTCGTCTAGTCTTAGCCCTTAAGCGAGCTGCTATTGGAAGGGTGATCTCAGCATCAGCCAATCATGAAGAGCTTAAATGTATGCCCACCACGTGGGCACCCCTTGTGGATTATATAAGTGGAACGACCCCATCGCCTCCGTTTTCTCTTCACGCCAAGCTTAAGAGCTTCCTTTAAGAGCAATTATACAAGAAAAATCTACTCACCGACTATGTCCAGCGACGCCAATTCCTGACCAACTTCTACCCTCTGCTGGACGTTACGGGTACTGCCATTGAACATTGAAACCACACCTCGCGGCAGGAGGGGTTTGTCAAGCTCTTACTGCATGGTTCAGTCAATATTGAGAAGGCCAGAACTGATGGTACATGACGATTTATTGAGCCGTCTGTATCATCCACCAACATAAGAGCTAAACATATGTAGCATGGAAAGAAAAATGAGCAATTAATTCCACCAAAAATCCCTAATTTTATTTAATTTACTTATATAATTACTTTTATTTTACTTACCCTAAACAATTGTTTTATTCTCATTTTAAATATATATTTTTAGACATTTAGAGAAAAGTTTGTTTGGGTCATTTATTTTGAATAGCCTCGTTCTATGACGTCACTTCCCCCCACTCCAGTCGGTTCGGAGCTGTAATGGGGTGAGGTAAGTGTTTCACGGAGCTCCTTCTAACTTACTGTTTGAAAGTTGCACTGAAGGACAGGATGTTGTATGACCTTTTAACTAACATGTTGGTAAGATGTTTGACTACTGTTGCACAGTTTGATAGCGAATGGGATGGTTTCATCAAGGTTATATCCTCCAGGGCCGTGCAGAGAACTTTGAAGGGGCGGGTGCCTCTTAGTCGCAGCATACGTGTGAACGAGCCGACTCTGTTTTTCCCGCGCTACGCGGCGGCTCTTCATGTGATTCTTTTATCATTGACAGATGAGCTGAGATCGGCTAGATGATTTTCACTGCTGCTGAACTGTGTGTTAGCCCATTCTGTGCAGCTGGAGAATAAAAACACCATCAGTTGAGCTGAACCTGAACCTCTTGAGTGATTCGTCGTTTACACAATGTAGAACGTTTCTTGTCTGGACAAAGCAGTGCGGCTGAGTCCAGTTACACATAAACAAATAAATAAATAAAACAGCCTCATTGGGCTCTCCAGAAGCCTCTGTGTAATTCCTACCCTGTCCAGGAGTGTTAATTATACAGTTTTTATAAAAACACCTCAGTCATTACTGACATGTTCTAATATTGTCCGACGAAAAACAAAATTGTCGGACATGCCGTCTCATCTGCTTCTTTTCTAAACTCACAAAAATCTGTCAGTTACAAAACCATTTGAAAGCCACTATTTGTGGATTCTCTGAAAGTTTCCATGGAGTCCATGACAAACTTTTTTTTTTATTATTGACTATCGTCTAATCTCACAGCTGAAACAAGCATCCTTAATCTGTGCACAGGAAGCTTACCGATGCTGTAGTAAAACAAAAGGTATAATTTCTTATTAATAAAACGTTGTTGCAGCACTAAAGCAGCAAAAAAATGAGATTTAGCAATAAATATGCAAAACATTTACATATGATTTGTTTTAGAGCCGTTTTGTTGGCAGAATCTGATATTAATTTTAGCTCTTCACCTGGAAAAAAATGGGTCCCAACGTGGTCTGTGTTGTGTTGCCATAGTGTGATGTCACCGGTAGGCACAGATCTCCTGTCCTCTTTTTTTAGAAATAGAAATATGGTTACCCTCTGTTAAATCAACTTTACCATCATAAACGTCCACCAGGAAAGCCCGCAGGTAGGTGACGTAGGCCGGTCAACAGAAGCTTTTCCTTTTTTTTCCAATAAGTGTGCGCTTCGTTAAACTTATGGCTCTGTGTTGTTGGACGCTAAACATAGAGACCAAATTATGTAAGACACCATTCCGTTAGTCAGTGTTTCATTTGTTCCACATTTCAGCTTTCTATTTTGTTGCTAAGACAACAGAGGAGGGACTTATTAAGTCTATTACATCAGTGAGGCAGATAATGTAACTTTACAAAACGCTCTTTCCCAAAATTCTGTAACTTTACAAATTTGGCCTTAGTTTGTGTATTTTATTATTTATTTAGTAGAAAGAACAAAATTCCAAACTGGAGCACAGTTTTTTGGAAAAAAGCAATTATTCTATAAAAAAATTTGACTGCATTTTAATGAATCTATCCATTTACACCTTCCAGCGTGTCCTGGGTCTTCCCTGGGATCTCCTCCCAGTTGAACGTGCCCAGAAAACCTCATGAGGGAGGCATCTAACCATATGCTTGTGCCACCTCAACTGGCTCCTTTCAATGTGGAGGAGCAGCGGGTCTACGCCGAGCCCCTACCGATTGGCGATGCTTCTCACCTTATCGCTAAGGGAGAGCCCAGACACCCTGTGCAGAAAACTAATTTGGGCCGCTTGTGACTATAGATGAAGTTTGGAGCGTAAACCCACCAGTAAAATTAGAGCTTCTCCTTCTGGCTCAGCTCAATTATTAGAGCTTTGTTTTTTTAAGTAAAATGTTATGTAATTGAGCATTTATGAGTGATTATAAATGAACAAAAAGTTTCAAAGCAAATCAAAATTCACTTACAACTAGGGGAAGAAATCGGCTGTGCATATCTGCTGACCATGTATCCTACACATCGGCATCTTGTTCTGCTACAAAATCTATAACTTACAATTGTCTTATAAAATCCTGGGAAGCAGAGACTGAACTTTGCTAGTTAACTGTGCTCACCAACTTCTTAGTTTCGTTTTACTATAATTTAAACTGGGTAGAAACTAGATAAGACAGGACATGTAAAGACGTTCCCTAAATGTAGCCCGTTGATGTGATCTTGAGTTCGTGGTGATGCTGGCTCATCAGAAATGCTTTTGAATGCGCCTCGTTGGGCCTCTTGTTTGGCTCCGTGTTTGTTTTGATGGAGGGATCCATGTAAGTGTTGGAAAGCTTCCCGGTGAATAAGTCATGGAAGTCTTGCGGCTTTCTGTGGATTCAACAACTCTGATCCTGCTGCCCTTTTATTCTAAAACACAACAACCCATCATCGAAAAGTGTTGCAGGGATCTCATGAGGTGCGTGCGTACTTCCTCTTTCATACATACCAGGGGAAGTCCTAAATGTACCCTCATTTTCTGACTTTAATAGCAAAAATTATTTGATAATCATATCCAAAAGCTAGGAGTTATTGTTTTTAACTTGTTTCTTTATTTGGAATGGAACAATTTCTAAGATGTAAATCCTACGACGCATTTAGTAGGTAAGTGGTGATATTTTTCTAAATGTCTCAGTCTTCCTTCCTTCTCTGTTGCAAAGCCCGACAGTGGATGGGTGTGTCACTCTGCATAGTCTCCGTATTTAGTATTGCAGTCTGTTTCCTGCAGTGGGTGGAGTACCTCATACAACCAACTGAAACTTTTTAATGTTTTCATTTCAGGATCTGAGGTGCAGCAGCAGCAACGTCCGTGGCGTGCATGCTAAAGTCTGACTCAAGATGCAGGGAGCCATTGCACGGGTGTGCATGGTGGTGGCCGCTGCCATATTGAACCGCCCCTTGCTATTTCCCAAAGAAAACATCACGCTGCCAGAGCAGGATGAGGAGATGATGGCCCGCATGAGACAACACGAGGAGAGGCTTAAGAAGGAGCAGGCCAAGCTGGAGAGAGAGTTCTCACAGAGGGACTCCAGGCAGGAGGAAACCAGCTCAGAGGAAGGTTATCGGTGGTACTTTTGGAGCACCGTGTCCTTTGTGATATTCTTTGCAATCGAGATGTGCAGGGTGGACCTCGCTGACCCCAAAATCTGTCCTGTTGAGGATGACGATGAGAGTGGATCTGTCCCGCCCAGGATGATGGTACCAGATAAGCAAATTCTGAGGAACTTCTGCGACAAATGCACCTACGCTTCAGGCCACGAAAACTGGAGGGTGAGGGAGTTTGTGGAGGGATTTACCGATGACTTGCTGGAGTCACTCAGGAGCATGTGTGACAGAAACACAGACATGGAAGTTGGGGATTTTGTGGGAATCGGAAGCATGTTTGAGTCTTGGAAGGTGTGTACGCCTCTGATGTGTGACCTTATGGTTCCCTTTTCACCTCCAGATCCTCACTCCTTCCAGTATGATCTGTGGTGCAGCTCCTCCAGGGACATGCCTCCAGACATGCAAGGTTGTGGCAAAATAAGTGTGAGCAGACTTGGGGAGGAGGAAGTGGGCTGTCTCTGTGGCTCTGCAGACTTGGGAGAGGACATGCTTTGTCTGTTGCACGGCAGGAATGATGCAGTCAAAGTTGCACTCGGTCCAGACGAGCTTCTGTGCTCTAAAGGAACGCATTTCTTAGCCAAAGATCAAGTCATGAAGTGGTTCCAGGTCTCTGTTACCAAAGCGTGGGGCCGCATATCTCACAAGTACGACTTTGAGGTCACTTTTCGTAACCTGGATTCTGCTGGTGCTCTGAAGATCCGATTCCGCTCTGGGAAAGTCGTCGTTCTAAACCTCATCCCGGTGGTCCAGTTGGGAGACACCGATGCTTATTTTGTCTCGCATTTTCCATCGGATCGCGACAGCTTACCAGACCCATACTGGCCTCTCTCTTTATCCGTCTACGAGAGAAACTTGATGAAACATTTAGCCAAACACCTCCCACAAACCTCGTGTCACCTACACTGCCTCCAGATCGTTACTTTCCTACACAGGAAGCAATCAAGACTGACGGGACAGAGTGCCCTCACGAGCTACCACCTAAAGACCGCCGTGGTGCACTTGTTGCTGAGCACAAGGACGGCTGCGTGGGGCACCGAGAGTTTGGAGCGCCGCCTTCAGGATGTGTTCAGCTTCTTGCAGAGGAGCCTGCAGGAGAAAAAGCTTCATCATGCTCTGATTGGGAACAGCAAATTGCCAGAGGAAGTCCAGGTTCCTGAGATATTTCGCAAAGCAGAGCCTATCAACCTGTTTAGGTCATTGGTGCTGCAGACGGACCTTTACGCTGCAACTTTGAAGCATTTTCAGGAGATGCTGAGAAATGCACCCGTTCTCCTGGAAGAGTACACGCCTTATTCATCGAATGGAAGCTTACGCCACAGCCTACAGGAAGGTTTATGAGTGCTGGCCACTCATCGGTGTTCCGATAAAACGATGGCTTCTTCTGTTGGATGTATTGACTTTTGTATAAGTTAACCAGGTTTTTTAATCATTTGCATTAATATAAATGAAGGATTTCTTAAACAATTGTTTTTAAAGAATGTTTATGTTTATTACCCCTCTTACTTTAACTACTGGACCAATATGACCATTTAACAAACAATACACTTGATTATTTGTTCAGATATTTACAAATTAGATTGCACCTAATAGTAGTTCAACTCTGTTTGGCTATTAGATCTCTATACAGACCTGAGAGGTGAAACGTTTATTTTTTAATTCTTATGAAGTGTGACGTCTTGACAATCAAAAACTACTTTTTAAAAAGTTTTTTTGTGTTTCATCCCCTTTATTTTGATTCAGATGTTTTTTTATTTTAAAAAGTTGCTTCTGTGTTTAGTTACGACGATGTTCAGCGGAGAGAAATTAAAAACCGATCCAAGCTTAAACAGACATATATTTTTTATCTCGACTCGTTTTTCTTTTACACCTTTTCTTTCCAACATGTGCTCTGTTTACCTCCAGCCTGGGGTGCTTCTTCTGAAAACACAAAAGGAGAGAAGTCATAGATGATTGTATTCGAGTTTTGAGGTAAAGACCGCTGAAGACTGTGCAAAAAGCTCCTAAAATGTCTCTTTTTACTTTGGAATTTCACAGTTTGACTGCAACTCAAGTCTTTTTGATGCACAAAGTGCAAAGTGAATATTTGTATTTGTGTAGAACTATTTTGGAACATTACATTTTCTGCTACAAATCAGCTGGGTGTAGCCTATGAGAAATGTATTCTTCATCAGATTTCTGGTTTGGTAGCTGAGTAAAACAAATTTGCACTAAACTTTGCAACTTACTGCACTCAATTTATTAAACATTTTGTTTATAATATGTGATGTCTTAAGATAGGAGCACACAAGAAACCCAAATGTGCAGATTTTCATGCATTTTGGCTATATGTGATCTAAGACTGAATCAGGTCCAAAATGAAAGTTTTTTTTTAGCCTCTTGCATCAGTGATAACTTTGACTAAGTTCAATCACAATTATCAAAGAATGGGAATTTTGTGAAAAACAAAATAATGCCATAATCAAACATTGAATTTTGCAAATCTAAAAGGCTTGGTTAAGTGAATGCGAATTATTTCAAACCTGCAACAAACAATTTGAATTTAAAGTGCTGGCATCATAGGAGTACTCTGTCACTCATTTTTCTACTTTTCAGGGTTGCTGGAAGCTTGTGTTTATCTCCAGCAGTCACCGGGTGAGAGGTGGACCACCAGTTGCATGCTCACTCACTTTTAGAGTGTCCAAGCAACCCAAATATGCTTATTTTTCACTTGTGAGACTAAACACGAGTACTTGAATAAAACCCACATTCGCATGGAGAGAACAGGCAACAGCTGGGTTTTGAACTTACAACATTTTTGTTGTGATACAGCTGAGTTACCAACACCGTAAAATGATCAAGTGTAAAAATACTAAGAAAAAACAACTCCTTTTTGCAAATAAAAAGAGCTTGACAATATTCGTTGATAGCAACACTGATGATGTCACTAATAACTCGCACTTCCTGAATTTTTGCAATTAAATTCTGGGAGGAAAGTTATCAAACAAATAAACCCAAAATATTCCAGAACCTGTCCTGTTTGCTCTTTTCAATAACCTTACTTTTACATAACTTTCTTCAAAATAAAGTAAATGGTTAGCAAATACCTTCGCCTTTTCCAAAACTACCGAATATTATTTTGGTAAGATTGTGCAAAAAGAACCCGGAAATTGCTATTGAAGTGGGTGTGTTCAACAATGAACAGCCAATCACGTAAAACGCATGTTTTCCTAAGAGGACCTGGCACTTTGGTGGTTGCTATGGATACGAATATACTCTTCTGTCGCGTCTCTAAGAATAGTTACACGCATTATTAGTTTTGTCTAGTTTTTTTATTTTATAAAATGGACGAAATTGGAAGTTTAGAAATCAAGTAAGATTCCGCTTTTACTCTTGTTTCAACTTCAATTAAAATAACTTCTCATAATAAGCTAGCGGTCTTGTTTTCCGTGCAGATGGATCCAAGGGTTTACCGACAAGAACCTGGAGTTTGTGGATAACTCAACGGTCTGTTACAGTTCTGGTAATCATATTTGTTTCCTGAACCTGGAGACAAAAGTAAGAGATGTGTTTCAGAGTCCTGGTAGAGGGGTCGCTGCTCTGACCGCTAGCAGCAAAAGTCGCATTTTTGCTTTTTCGGAGCAAAAACTGTCCCCGTCTGTGTTCGTGTACAGCTTCCCTGAGCAACAACTGAAGAATGAATTAAAAGGTACTCAGCTCTAGTTTCACACGTGATTATTTTCTCAAACTCGTGTTTCTTTATAGTGAATATTGATCATTCCTGCAGGTGAAGCACAGCTGGATTACACATCGTTGACATTAAGTGATCTCGGTCCATATTTGGGCAGTTGCTCTTCTTTTCCGGACCACACCATCACAGTGTGGTAAGCATCTAAAAGCAGTGCATCATAATGCTCATGAAGCTATGTTAATTGCCTGTGTGATCCAGGAACTGGGAAGCTGCTGAAGTCATTTGCACACAGTCACAGGCTGGACAGGATGTCATATCTTTGATGTTCAATCCTCTGGATTGGCTCCATCTTTGTGCTCTAGGCACTAGAACCCTCACCGTCTGGACTATAGATAAAGGTGTCAGCCTCACGTCCCTGAAACCAAGGTAATGGAGTAAAAACATGAGATCCAAACACATTTACACAGGTACCTATCAAAAAATCTGAATATTGTGAAATATTTAAATAATCTGTGTCATTCATTACAGAAAGTGTAACTCATATAGTTAAATAGAGTGAAATGTCAAGCCCTAATTATTATATTTTTGACTGAATAAGAAAACTAAAAGTTTTCTGTCTCCTAAATCTAGAAAACTGTGAAAAATTCAACTACTAGAAACTCGTGTCACGCCCTAATCCGTCAGTTAACCCACCTGCAAGGTTTTCTGAGCCTCTAAATCAGGGGTGCCCAATCTGGGTCTGGACAATTCAGCTTGTTTTAGATGTTCTTCCGCTCTAACACACTCGATTCAGTGGCTGAATCATCTGCTGATTTCAACCAGGTATGTTAAAGCAGGGAAACAACTAAAACCTGCTGGATACCAGCAGTTCAGGACCAGGTTTGGGCACCCCTGCTCTAAATGGTCTCAGACCCTGCACACACGTAGCTGGGTACCCCACAAAACAAATATATTTTTCTACGGTTTGACCTTACATCCCAAAGTGAAGCTAAATATCACCAAAGGTGATTCTTTCAAAAACCTCCAACCAAGGTGTAGATTTTTCAATTCTTTGTTGTTAGCATTTGCTTGTGGACGTAAATAACTGAGATTTTAGGTTTTGCACCATCGCTGCCCATGACGAAAATGCTCTGGCCTCACATTTGCTGTGTTTACACTCGCTTGTATTTATATATAAGCTTATAAGCTTAATTACTGCTCTGTGCAGAAGACCACAGATAAAGGACCACATCAAAGGCAGTTATTGCCACCAAGTTATTTCATGTCTAATTAATGTTTTTCAGCAGATACTGCAGATTTGGGGAACTACTGCCATCTACAGGCTTGGCATGCCTATGAATTTGTTTTACAAAGCACTGGAAACTTTTTTGCACAAAACAAGGAATGGACCCAAGGTTTGTTTTTTTACATAGATGGAGGGGGTAGGATATTCTGTTTTGCAAAAACCCTGCTACATGTGACCTAGACTACACAATCATAGTGAAGATGTGGACTGGACAGATGCTCAGAAGGCAGTCACTGACACATTTTACAATGAAGAAAAACCTTCAAAGATCTTGGGTGTGTTCTTGCTGTGTCTTTCTAAATCCATGCTTTCGTTCTTTTTTAAACACAGAAACAGTTTTGTTTACCTGTTAGTAGCTACAGTTTCGCCGACGGCTGCCGGCTTCTTCAGGCTGACGCTGATGGTGGCGCGTCACTTCCTTCGAAACTGTAGCTACTAACAGGTAAACAAAACTGTTTCTGTGTTTAAAAAAGAACGAAAGCATGGATAAAACCTTCAAAGGTCGTTGCTAAAGAAGCCCGTTGGACCTCCCCCCCCCCCCCCCACCCCCACCCACACACACACACGCACACACATGGAGAATCTATAGGCTATTGTTAAGAGTCAGGAGCAGGGGTGGATCTACTAAATTATGTATGGGGTGGCAGAAGAGGGGCAAACATTTTTCTAGGGTGGCAATGCACACGCGCACACACACACACACACACACACACACACACACACACACACACACACACACATATATATATATATATATATATATATATATATATATATATATATATATATATATATATAAAAACATATATATATATATATATATATACATATATATATATATATATATATATATATATATATATATATATATATATATATATATATACATATATATATATATATATATATATATATATATATATATATATACATACATATACATATATGCAACAAGATATTGTACTTTGGTTTAATTGTTCACTCAGAAACATGTTTTCCTTTTTCTTTTCCCAGTATTTACATATTCGTATTTGTTTTGGGTCCTCATTTAATAAGCTTAAAGGCTCATCACAAAAATAAAACACATAATAAAATTATGTCCTTCCTACAACAGCTGAATGCGGCAATTTCCATGTTGTTCAGCAAAACAATTTACACATGCATCAAGATCCAAAGATTTTGCCTGTTTTGATTCAATGCTGAGTACAGCCTAGCTTTTCTCTGTCAAAGCAGACTGCAAATAGGTCTTTTTGAGCCTGAGAGTTGAAAAACTTAGATTTTTCTTGAATTTATAGCTGCCAGCTGGGGTGGCAGCAGGGGTAGCAAGGCTTTCTTTTAGGGTGGCAACTGCCACCCTATGCCACCCTTGTAGATCCGCCCCTGGTCAGGAGGAAGATGAGAGACATCAGAACCAATGATGCAGATGACCTGAAGGCTGCTATCAAAACAACCTGGGCTGAGCCACAGTTTGATGGCCTCCATGCTGCACTGATGCAGAAATGTATGCAAAAGAAAAGCCAACCAACTATTGATGCATATGAAACGTACTTTTCAGAAGCTGGACATTTCTGTTTAAATTATGCTTTTCAAAAACAAACCTATCCCATGTAATATTGTGAAAGCTCTGATCATCTTTCAGTGTAGTGTGTTTGATTTTCTGAAATGAGTGACAGAAAGCATTCATTTGTTTTTTTCTGTATGTTTATTTAGATTGTGTTCAAACATAATCAACATTATTTATGCTTTTTTTGTGCCATGATGCAGAGTCATAGAGCTTCCAGTGACTGATGGCTCATCCACTGAAAAGCTCCAAGCGTCTCATGTCAGTAACAAAGTGTGCCATCACACCTGATCATGAACGAATATTGAACTTTTCCCATGTAATTGGTTTCCCATGTTTCCACAGACTGAGCCGAACAGCAGAGTCCCAGTAACTCCTGCTGCCGTCTGCTGGCCAACAGCATCAGAACTATACGTGGGCTGTGAGGAAGGTCTGCTGCTCTGTGTTGACTTAAAAAGCTACTCTGTCTCAATCCTTTTCAATCCCACATGTAAGTGAACCTAAACAAGATGGGACCCTAGAATATCCTTTGATGTGTTGTCCGACTCCTGGAGTTGTCCTCACCTCCTGTTCTGTATGTGTGCAGCTGCCGATGCTTCCCCCGAACTCAGAAAATTTAACTTTAGAATGTTAATTTGGACAGAAAATGGTGTCATTGCTGCAGGAAAGGTACGTTCTGACCCATCCCCTAACATCAGGCCTCTGGGCAGAACATCAATCATTTCATTTCTTGCAGGAGAAGGTGGTTCACCGTCTGCAGATCAAAAGGAATCAAACAAGCATCACACAAACATGGCAGTTAGAGCGACCTGTAACGAATGCTCTGCTCTCCCCAGACACTGAAACATTACTCCTATCTTCCAACACTGTAAGTACACACAACGTCCAAGCTGTTGACGTGAGGAAAACATTAATGAAAGGAAAATCTTGATCCTCAAGGGGCAGATCTATCTGCTCAACCCATCTCGGTCAAACCAGAGTGTGAAGGTCCTGGATGTTCCCACTGGCAACTTTCTGGCTGCTTCTTTGTTGCACACTGACAGGAACACTTGTGTGGTAAAGCGCTATTGTTACTTTGAGATGACATTACCTTATCAGGACTAACAGAAGTCAGATCAGTGAGCTGTAAGGCTTTTCTTTCTGCAGTCATTGACAGAAAACGGACTCCTGCAGCTGTGGTCCTCGGATGGCACCTTACTTGGCTCCCTGCCTTTGCAAGTTGAGGTGAGACTGACAACAATTAAAGCAAACTTTTAAACCGATTAAATGGATATAAACACAGTTTGCTTCTGTTTAGGTGACAGGTCTTTCCTGCTGTCCTATTGCATATTATGCAGCAGCTGGAACAGCCTCAGGAAGCGTCCTCTTTGTTGATCTGAACATGGAAGAAAAGCCACGCCTGGTGCACCAGGTTCATCTTTTCCACACTGCTGTGGCTCATGTGATGTAAGCATTCTCCATCGCTGCACCTGTGTTCTAGTCTCATCATATCTGCATGTTTTAGTAGACTGTTAGGAAAGTAAATAAAGGCATATCTTTACAGTTTTGATCAAGAGGGACACTACCTTCTGATCAGTGGCTCAGATTCACACCTCTATGTAATTAATGCAAAGCCGTCTGCAAGCTTTACCGTCGTTGGCTACATAGGTAAATACTCATTTGTTCCAAGTTTATACAAATGTTTTAACAGTCCAGCAGGAAGTAAAGCAATGTTTAAGTTAAGTCAAAGGCTAAAACTGGTGCATAGATGCTAATTTATGGGTTTCTTTTTCAGTAATTTCAGGATGCATTTTGTCGCTCTCCACTCAGTGCTTTGGCAATGCTGACAAAGTTGACGTTCTTGCCTTGTGCAGCGACCAGGAAGGCAAACCTGAGGACGGTAGCTTGTTAACAGTGTTCTCGCTTCCTGTTGAGGACATCACAGGTACAAAGTAGAGAAAATAAACAGAGTGACTGTCAAGCGCATGCTACTCTGTTATTAGTGCTTCAGAAAATACAACCACAGGGTTTCCATAACATTTACAGATCTGACTTAATCTGCTTTTAATGTAGATTGTGCTGACCGCCATGGCTGCCTGTCTCCTCAAATGCTCAGACTGAGCAAATACAAAGTTCCTCTTCCCCTCACCTCCTGTGCTCTAGGAGTCGGTGAGGTCCTTGCTTACTGTCAAAGGAATAAATCGCTTCAGCGATTTCAGCTTCCTGAGGTTTGGTGCATCCATCGTTCAACATATAATCTTGACATTGTCAAATATGTCTCTCACACATTAAAGCTCTCCTCAAAGGTGACTGACGATCCCTTCAGCCAACAAGTGGTCCAGATAAAACCGGTGCAGGAGGTTAAACATTACCCGCGGGGCCCGGCCTCTATCCTTTTGTCTCCTAACTGCCTCTGGTTGGCTTCTTTAGGCCGGGATGGTTTCCTGCACATCAGTGAAACTGCCTCCATGGTACACACTCGATTATTATTATTATTATTTTATTATCTCTGGTGTTTCTGATGGCGCTCGTGCTGCACCTGTAGGAGCAATACACCGATCTGTTGTGTCATTCACACCGACTTGGCGGAGGGCGGAGTGTGTTCTTCTCCAGAGATAGCCTCACACTCCTCACTACTGGCTTCAACGATGGCTCTCTTGTGTGCACTGATTTCAGGTATAACAGCCCTCCCTGTTTACATAATGCACAGCTGTGGACAGCAGAGGGAACTGTTGCTCATACTAGTTTGGTGCAGCGTGCAGATTTTCCGCCAGCAGTGGGGAGCAAAAGTAAATAAATACAACTTAGGGCCCAGTGGGTGGTACTTTGTGGTTCCAGGGGAACTCTGACCCCCTCTGCAGGAAAACAAAGATGGACTGTAGTAAAAGTCACATCTTTGTGAAAAACATCCCACTCACATTCCACATTCTCAGCCTGCTCATGCACACGCTCAAGGTTTAAAAATAGCTGCCATCCATTCAGTTTTAATGTTACAGAATTTTTAAGAATCATTTGTTGATTTTTGTGATTGTTTAGCTTGATATGTCAATAGAAATATTGATGTTTTCTTAAGTTTGCATGATTTTATTCAGATGAAGCACAAAAGGCTACAAAACTTCTAAATACATGTTGATAAAATCAAATGAGCATGAGGACTTAGTGGCAGTGATCAGAACAGAAATGATAGAGAACCATACAATTCATGCTGTTGCTTTATGGAACAATAACTAACAAGCACATTCACTTATTCATTATGTTTTTTTCCCAACTGCTCACAGAATTAGAGATGTGGAGGATGAAAAGGTAAAAAACGCTGCCCTGTGTAATGACACTATTGCTCACACACTGAAGATAGTCTTTAAAGGTGAAAACCCCATCCTTATTAACCTTCCCGAGTTGGGCCCGCTGTCTCCTGGTGACAGAGAACAATCATCAGAGAGTGAGGTAAGAGTTGCTTTTTGTTGTTCAAGCCTAAAACGTACGCAAACTTTTAGGAATTAAAGAGATACTGTGCAACCTTTTCATATTTTAAATCATTTTCTTGAGCCAATATGTGCTAAAATGACCCTTTACATGGTTAATGAAAGGCCACCAAGCCCCAAGGGGCCATTTTGGTCTGACTTTTATGAAACCAAGAAAGAGTGGCTACAACTGCAGTTCCACACTCATCCGCTAGGGGCTGGCACCAGAATTGAGCAAATCCTCATTGACTCCCATTATAAAAATGCTAATTTCACAGCAGAAATAAACATGTTTATAGTCTGGTTCAAAAGTCTGTTTAAGGTTTGATAGATCTACTGTCATGACAACTCTGAGGGGAGTGAATTGTTTTTATAACTGCTCCATTTAAATGTAATAAAATGCTTATAATTCTGAATAATTAATGAGCATTAAAGCCACATCAGAGCTAGCGCTAGACGCTAGTGCCTGGGAAAGGTCTCAGCCTGGGCCTCACGTTAACAGATGTTAGGGCATTTCCACTCTCTGAACTTTAATTGTGTCCTCTGTGTGTTCGTGTCCGGATTTGGACAAAGGGGGCAAGTTGTGGTTATTGACTGCACTAACAGATCATCCAATCAGTTTCTGCTTCTTTTTTATCAGTAAGTAAAATTATATTTCTGTACTGAAGTGTATCTTTTTAAGTTAACAATCTATAGTTGAAACTTGAAATAGTGGAATATTTATTTATAATTCAACCTAAAAGGTGAAACTAATTCATGAGATAGACTCATTACATGCAAAGCCAGATATTTCAAGTCTTCATTTGTTATAATTGTGATTAAAATGGTGGCGTTATGGTTGAGGAAGCCACCTCACCTTGGAAAGATCTGCAGTGGGGTGTACCACAGAGTTCTGTCCTTGGGCCCCTCCTCTTTGCTGTATAATTCCTCCTCCTCCAGTCTCCTCCTCCAATTGCCTATTTTTGCTCATTTTAAATATATTTTTAAACATTTTCTAAATGCTTTTTATATTTTCACTTTTTTGTTTTTGTGAAGCCCCTCGTGATTTTTATCTTGAGAGGCGCTATAGAAATGATATTTTCTTCTTCTTCTTCTTCTTCTTCTTCTTCTTCTTCTTCTTCTTCTTCTTCTTCTTCTTCTTCTTCTTCTTCTTCTTCTTCTTCTTCTTCTTCTTCTTCTTCTTCTTCTTCTTCTTCTTCTTCTTCTTCTTCTTCTTCTTCTTCTTCTTCTTCTTCTTCTTCTTCTTCTTCTTCTTCTTCTTCTTCTTCTTCTTCTTCTTCTTCTTCTTCTTCTTCTTCTTCTTCTTCTTCTTCTTCTTCTTCTTCTTCTTCTTCTTCTTCTTCTTCTTCTTCTTCTTCTTCTTCTTCTTCTTCTTCTTCTTCTTCTTCTTCTTCTTCTTCTTCTTCTTCTTCTTCTTCTTCTTCTTCTTCTTCTTCTTCTTCTTCTTCTTCTTCTTCTTCTTCTTCTTCTTCTTCTTCTTCTTCTTCTTCAAGGGCCGGTGTCCAGCACATTTTAATGGTTTCTCTGGTCCAACACACTAGATTCAGTGGTTGAGTCACTTGTGCAGCAGCTCATCAGGCTCTGCAGAAGCCTGTTAATCACCTGCTGAATGAAATCAGGTGTGTTGAAGCAGGGTTAAAACTAAAATGTGCTGGACACCGGCGATCGAGGCCCAGAATTGAATAACCCTGCTTTAGATGGTCTCTCAGTTCAGCAGAAATACTGAAATAAATGGACTTTTGCATACAAATTCAAGCTTTTGAAGTTTGTCCTGTAAGTATTTTTACTGCATGTATGTTTTATTGTTTACATTCTGCAGGTCAGTGGTGGACCCTCTTTGGATGTGGCGATAAAAGATGCTTCCCACTCAACCCTCACATGGCTGGAACGTAGACGAGAAACGGTCGGTTCCAAGGTCTAATATTTGCGGTGACGACATAAAAGATGTAGATAAGATTTTGTAGATTTGTATCTTGTTTCTTGGTTATGTTGTAATCTATGGGTTATGAAAGGGCCCCTTTTACCTGAGTGTGTGTCAGTTGCTTCAGATAAGACCTGAATTGTTTTTGGCTTGTTGCTGCATTGTACAAAAGACTCATTTATCATCATTTACACACGGAGCGAATAATTAGCAACTTGTACAAAATCATAAAGATGACAGATGAGAACTTGTAAGACTTGCTGGTACATTTCCTTCCTCACTATGCCTGTACATAGAGATGAACTGAAACTGAATGTGTGGGAAGTGTTGATGTTCATGTTACCAGCATTACCTGCTGGTTCAACTGGTTTTCCAGCTCTGGTTTAAAGTCTAATTTTACTGGTTGTATATTTCAGATTATAAAAGAAGATAATGAGCAATATTCTGAGGCAAAGGAACATCTGAGGAAAAATGTCAGAGAGCTGTACGACACCGTAAGTGAGCTTTTTGTCATTTATTTACTATTTTACTTGTTGACCTTTATCTGGAGAAGTGTAGAACTTCTCAGAGATTAGTGTAAGTGTAGCAGCGTGTTACCAGTGCTACTGCCTTAAAGTGACGATGTGTATTTTCACTAGCGATAGGGAGCAGCACATACTTAAATCCTTGCAGGCAAGCAGTATTTTTGTGTTTGAGTAAGACCATACCAACGGATGGCCATTAGGGTCAAAAATCCCTGGAAGCACAACCTCCAGCAAAATGAAAAGCACATCAGGCTCCCTTGAAGTCACTGGCCGCAAGTGAAGAGGTAAACAATGTTTATAAGTGGCAAAAGTTTTTTAACCATTTGTTTCTAATCAGTAAATGCATTTTGTCCTCATGGGCTCCTGTAGAAGGAAACATGGTGTCTAATGTGGCGTCGCCCAGAGACTTAGACCCACTTCCATTTATTTTTGACCTGATTTTTATTGTTATATGTTTTATAACTGTGCATTGTTTAATTAATTTTCAAAAACATTTTAATGGATTTTTCCAGGTTAATGGTAAAAACTACACATTGCCTCTTTTGAGAATAACTTCATTGAAAAAACATTTTAGTTATTATTTCTGATTATAATTGGTCATTTGGCTGGCTGAACTTAAGAAATAGTCTCCTACAGCCGTCTCCTGCATTAGCTTCTGATAGAAAATAGACGGTGAAACTCTATTTGAAAAGCCTGACAGATCTACGTCACACTGTCAAATAACATACACGGACTCACCCGTCTTGACTAGCGACGGGAAAGTCTGCTGTTGTGTTAGTGTCCAAAAAACAGCAGATAACATCTCCGCTGGTAAGCTAACCATTAGCATTAGCAACTTCACCACCCAGCAGAACTCTTCCAGGCTTGTGTTATTTGTGAAGGTAAAACATCAACATTGCAAAACAAACCGAGTCATTGGTGGTCACATTGCTGTTAGCCAGTCAGAGGTGAGATGTCCAAATATCAGGAAATAAGACTCTAAATTCTGCCATCTGAAGCTCAACTCTGATGTGGCGTACTCCTGGTTCCTGAAACAGACGCACAAGAGCTTTTTCCCCAGAGTACGACTCACAAGACATTCGTTCTTACCAGAGACCACTGCAATGTATTAATAATATGAGTAAAGTTGATCTTTAAAAATAAATACAAATTGAGGCAATTGGTTATACATCTCTGTGAATATATATTAAAAATGCTACTTTCAACATAAAAGTAGCACTTTTTATTTTTAACTGATTAAACAAGTTGTCTTTTCTCATCAAAGGTACACGTGTTAAAATATTATCTCCTTTGTGACACAGTTTCAGAAAATGCATCGAGAAAATGAGAGCATCCCTCCGGAACAGTTCTGCTTAGATGTTAAGGAGCAGAGGAGACTCCAGGACGTGGTGGAGCAAGAAATTGAGAAGGTTCTGCTAAATCCAACAACCCTTAAGGCAATAAGTTTGAAGATGTGTTTGATGTCTACCTGTAATGCCTTCTCCACATTTATCAGGTGAGAGCTGACATTGAGCAGGGTATTGCAGAGAAATGTTACCTCTACGATGTCCTGAAGAGAGAAAGCTGGGAACCTTGGATGGTAAAACGTAGAGCTTTGAAGGTATGATGTCTTGAAGAAATGTAAGATTTGTATTTCATTTTTTTTTTTACATTTGTCAGCTCTGACTCATTTTCTGCTGTCTACCACAGGCCTTCCTCTCTGATCAGGTCATATGGAACTATCCTGTTGAAGGGCGAACACAAAAAGAGTTGGAGGACCTCCGCTGGGTTCAGAACATTAGAAAATTTGAAGAGGCAGCCTTCACTGTAAGCCAGATTTAAATTGTGATTGACACAGCGAAGTACAGCACGTGTGATGAGTTAGAGGCAATTCAATCCATGCTTGATGTTGCAACATATTCTAAAAGCCTCACTGCAGCCGTTTTTTCTTTTCTCATTTCCCCTGTACGTATATTTTATGGCTAAATCATTCAAGTCAAAACAAGTTTACTGTGGAGAATTAGTTTGACGCTTTGAGTCACAGAGCTGAATCTGACCTTTTGCTGCTGTAACTTTTTTAAGTACTTGAAAATGAGCCAGTCCATTAGTGTTGATGCTCTAGATTTATAGCCATGCAAGCTGCAATGATTCTTTTCTTTGTATTTAGTTGATGAGCTTCTGGTTGTGCTGTTGACCTCCATCTTTAACCTGCAGCTTCACAGTGAGCAGAAAAGTTCCAGCGCACAGGAACAGCAGGACGACAGTCACAAGCTGCAGACCACTGCTCTGACAGAAAGCACCGCAGCTCACTTAGGATTTTCAAACCCTCACGTCTACGACCATCTCAGCTTGCTGACAGCAGACCAGAGAGTTAACCAGGTCATTCTGCTACAGGTAGGGACGCGCTGGATCTCAGTGGGAGTGTGATTAATGTGTATTTAAATGCAGCAACATATGGAAGCCTCGAGAGGCCAGAGAAGATGTTGGAACAAAGTATTTATTTCCTAATGACTTTTATAGACTAATAAGAACAATTCAAAGCTTTTGTATAAATTCTTGTGAAAATTTTTAATTTTTTTGACACAAAAGAGGTTTTTTTAAAAGGGGCCATTTCATGGAAACTCTACTTTTTTGAGCTTTTTACCATGTGATGTTGTTATTTCCTCATGAAAACAACCCTAAACCTGTTTGTGGCTGCATTTATGCATTTTCCTGTATCAGCTGCAAATTGAGACTTTTACTTTGAAAATTCTGAAAACGGCTGAATGGGAACTACTTCTCTCCCTGAAGCTGGTGGTCTCAGTTATTCTGGATATTCTGACAAATTACTTCTGCATCGGGGGACAAAACACCACCATAAAACCATGCATCCGGCCTACAAAAACACATGTGATGGCCAGCACAGGATATGAATGTTAGGCGACTTTTGTTTTGTAAGAAACTTGGTAGTTCAGTGTGCCAAGGCGGGTGCTTAAACTACCTGAACTACCAATGCCAATCCAACAGCAGGCTGGCCTATGATGCTCTTGTGAGTGTGTTTTTCTGAGCAGGACTGGGCAAAGTTTCACTGAAACAACCCATTTCATTTGTAAATTCAGGCTGACGAAAATAACTCATTTTTAGGATAAATGACATCTCAATAGTGCCAACGGTGATATTTGACCATTTATTGTGCCTACCTTTGCTCTCAACGTTTTAAAATAGCATGATATTGAACTTTAAAGCTAAAACTACAAGGTGCTTCAAGCAGTAAAATATTAATAAATTATCAAAAAAAAGATAATTAAGTTTAAAAAAGATAAAAGAAGAGCATAAGATTTTTATTTTGCCCTCAAATGTATGCAAAAGTGGAATTCAAAAATGTTTTTTTTTAATTATACAATGTGTTTATTATTGTTTTAGGGCTTTTTTGTTACTTTTGAAAATAACCCTTTATAAAGCCTTTACACACCTACTTTTTTCATTTTTATATTACTCAGTCATAATATTAATAATAATAACAATCAAATTTTTAAATGGGAGAGCCAATTTAGCTTCAGTGGTACCAGCCCCTCTCTTACTGCCATCATCATCTCCAAATGCAGGATTTGATTTATCACATCAAGATGTCTTTCAACTCCGAATTTGAAGCCCTGCACAGCCAGAAAGAGCTGGAGCTCAAACGTGTGAGGAGCGAGAATAACCAGATGAGGGAATGGATGCTGGACCTGGACCTGGACCAGGAGCTGTGGGAGCCCGAGCAGACCGACAGCGAGTGGCCAGAGAGGCTGCTCACTGTGGACCAGTCTGAGGTCTGGATGTGGACACAGTTCACCTAAAGTTCAACAAACAAAACACGTTGAGCTACTTTGTGGTTTGTTTGTTTGTTTGTGTTCATGCTGAATGTGAGCTATATCTGTGATTATCATCATCACCTTTGACCCGTTTTAGATTAAAGCAGAGAAGTACCTCCCCCCGGAGTGTCTGGAAAAGAAGGGGAGGAGGAAGCTGGAGGAGGAAAAGCATCTCGCTGCTAAAGTATTTATTTCTGGTCAACATGTTTAAAATACTTTAACACATAAATCTTTTCTACTTTTGTTTTCATACAAGATGTTATTTATCAGACAGTTTGAGCCTCATTAGCGGCAATAAAAGCAGGCCTCTCTTTCAGAGTGACACCAAAGAAAGGGCTCTTCGTGAAATGATGGACGGAGTTATCGAAAAGCAGAAAAAGGACATTTTTAAAGTGGTAAAATATTATAACATTCAGTTTTTATGTTGACATATATAAATATTACAATAGATGAATCAGTTGCCGCTGTTGTGATAATATGCTTTTACTAGTTTGATCATTGAATTTTGAAAATATTTAACAGCAAGCCCAGTTAAAATCTATTGATTCAGAATATAAAATCTCTTCTTGATAAACGTTTTATTGTAAATATTTAAATTACATTTTCAATGTATAACTATCATTTATTGTGAAATAGACCACATATTAAATAAGAAAATCAATGGAAGAACCTGTGTTTAGTGTTTATCAAATGCTTTATTCTAAATCACGCTGTAGCAGTAATCAATAACCAATAATATGATTTTTATAGGAGTTTTCTTTAAGCTAATGGCATTAAATCAACTGTTTTTAGGCTGTGTCATTTAAATTGGACAAATCAACAACGACTATATAGTTTATTTAGATTTTCTTCCACAGGAAATCTGTCAGCCTGAGTTTGTTCTGACTAAACCTGACGCTGACTGGACCGAGGAGGAGAAACAACGCTACAAAGAGCATGAAGAGAAGATCAGAGAAACCAACCAGCAGAAGGAGAAATACAGACAGGTGTTACACAAGATGCACTCATGACTAATATTATTATTTATTTCTTCTTGGTGATCAGCATAAATGAGCTGTTAGCTGATGTTTTGCAGTCTTTGGAAGCTGAAATAAAACAACTGCAGGAATCCAATCAAAATGCCGCCAGAAAGTTTGACGAAGCCCTGGTGAAGCTGTTCAAGAAGAAGTTTCTGTTTACAGCAGCTATATACCAGGTGAGCCGCTTCGTGTGCAGTAGAAAAAAGGGTTCTTCTCCCTTTGAATTTAGCTCTTCCATGATTATTTGATGTGTTTTACAGGAAGAGCTAAGGGTTTACTACCTAATGGACTCGCTGTTCACTGAAGACCAGATGAGGAACCAAGAGCAGGAGCTCAAGCTCCAACATGAAAGAACATTGGCACACAAGGTCGGAGAAATGTTGTAGGCCACTGTGAAAACATTGCTGCAGTGTTTTAGTGAATTCCAGTCTGCTGCAGAAACATCTTTATCTTCATCTTTACATCGTCGCCTGCGTTTCTCTGACAGAACGAATGTTGTGAGGAGGTGAACAGATACCAACGTGAGGTGGAACGGCTCAGGGAGGAATCCGAGCACTTGGTAAAAACCAACCAGGTAAGCTGGTTAAAATACTGAAAATGTCACAGCTTGAAGTGACGGATGTGATTTAATGCCATCACTGTCTCTGCAGGCGTTTGAAAAAGACTTCAAGAAGGAGTTTAAAGACGTGTCTCATCATTTGGTTGATGTACTTTACAAGCTCTTCAAGCATAGACCGAGGTTCGGGATCCTGTCGGCGTAACTTCTATTTCAAACGCGTCTTAGGTACACCTCAGCTTATCCAGACTGCTTCCTGCCTCAGGGTTCAACAGATGAGAGCCCAGACTGAAAACAGGGAGCCTCTTCCTTCTCCAGTCCAAATGCAGACGGCTATGGAGGAGCTGGATGCTCCAGGAAACATGCCAAAGGGTTTGAAACCATCCGTCTGGAGGAGGTTTTGCCAAATGCGCAGAAAAAAAGTAGAAACCGAGTTGAAGGTAAAACAAGAATGAACGAGTTTGGGTCGTTGCTTCTGTCCGACAGTTTAACTGAAATAATGAAGCAAACGTTTACGCTGTTGTGTTTCACAGATAAAAACAACAATCTCCACTCTTGCTGAGATGCAGGCCGTCATTGTGAAGAGAAAAGACAAGGAGAAAGCTTTTCAGGGGGAGTTGGAGAAGCTTTCAGAAGCGCTCAAGAGGTTTGACTGATTCATAATCTGATAATCAGCAGCTGGATTAGAACTCCAAAGCTGACAGGTACTGGCACAACACGTGGGTTTGAAGAAAGCTCATTTCTTTTGTTGCTTCTTCGTTGAAGTTTGCACAAAGAGAGGAACAAACACCCGCTGAACGGGGCGGTCCTAGTTAGACTCAAACAGGGACAGGTGGTGTCCCCCTTCAACAGGACAGCTGACAGCACAGGCACCGACTTCATCCTCTGTCACAGGAGTGTGAGAGACAGCAAGAGACACACAATCACGGTTCGCATTGATCCCATTTCATTGCTTTCATTTTCTATCGACTATATCTAATAAACAGTTTTTACTGTCAGGATCTTGCAACAGCGAAGATCGCCTCTACGGAGCGTCTCCAAAGTATTCGTGAACAGATAGTCCAGCTGGAGTGGGAGCACAGGGTGTTAAATAAGACGGCAGAAGACCTCAAAGACAACAAGAAGGACATCAAGATGTTTCGACTCTCAAAGGAGCAAAAAGAGATGAATGTAATTTCATAAAAACATGCAACTGTCTGGACTCACAACTCCTGCTGTACCTTTTGCTTTTTCTCCTCCTGGCAGGGGTTTTCTTGCTGTTTTGGTGAAATGCTAATCCTGTTAGCATGTCTGGCCAAACGCCTGTCTGTGATTTCAAGGCAGGTATTTTGGTTTTGGCAGCGTCGGGTGTTTTTTTCGTGCACAAAATTGTTACCATCTCTCCGCACAGATGGATCATCTTTTATAGAAGACTCACACCCATTTTTCATAGAGCCTCCCCACCCTTTCTCTCCAGCATTTAAACCTCTTACCCAATAGAAAGATTCCTGTGAAAATCGTTGCTCTTTGCTTTGTTTATTGCATTTTTGTGTTTAACTTTTTAAGGAAAACTTTTTTTCCGACTGGATAATATTTAGCTCCTGGCCAGAAAACATGCTCTGTCTTATGGATGTTTTAAAAATAAACAGAGCACATTTAGGTGGTTCAGAAATGAAAAAGCACAAGCTGAGCCATCTGTTAAAATTTATTAACCAACTAAAGAACACGGATGTGTTTTGAGGCGGTGGTGCCAGTTTCCTCTGGCAAAGGGTTCAGGTAATGTTTGTGTTGTGCGGCTCTTAACTTCCTGACATTGTTAAAACCCCTGAAACCATGCAAGAGGAAAGTTTTGATAAGTAGGTTTATTAAAATATTTAGAGCAGACACAAATTAACTTGTAAAACTTTGCAGGTGCTCCTTTTTTTTTTTACAAGTCAACTTCTATTCCTTCCAGTTTTGCAGCAAAGAGGAGCGAGAGCATCGCATATCTGAGCAAATTGCCAGTTTGGAGAAAACTTTGGCAAAAAAGGTAACAGTGAAGTAATACTTTGTACTGTGCTCTGTGTACTTTTTAATATTCATCAGTGAAATAATACACATTTATTCTCAATTTCAGACTCTTCAGCAGAGTGCTCAGCAGATGTTTAAAAAGATTGCACTACTTAAGAAAAAAGCGGAGGAAAAAGCAAAGAACAGCCTCAGCTTAGAGCAGCAGATTCCTGACTTGCAGGCGACTTTGGCAGAGCTTGTGAACGACAAGGGAACAGGTAATAAGAAAAACGATCATTTCAGATACAGAGTGCACACACTGGAGCGGCCTTCTAATGATGATGTGGCTCTTTAGTTATAGCTGCAGACGAAAATGCTGAGAGAAATGCCTGCTACCAGGAAACCGTTCAAAGGAGTAACTTGGAGAGCCTTGCCAGGGAACAGGCAGAGGAACTGCAGTTCCTCTGGGAAGAAGTTGAACATCTGAGGAGGAGGAATTTCCCGTGTTTTGATCTGCCGAAACACTACTGATTAAAAACTTTTCTTCAAAACTTAGAACATGAAATGTACTTTTATTGTGAACGGGAATTATAGAAACACCAAATAAAACTTGCAGTTGTGCTGACTTCTCTTCAGTGTGTTTGTGGTTAATTATGTAGTGAAGTCCTCTTCAGTGCGATCAAAGTGCAGAATGCTGTCCTCCAGCCTGAACAGGTCCATGAGCTCTGACAGGCTTGCCTTGCGTCCATCCACAGGGACCTCTGACTGCAGCTCACACAGAGCAGCCTGAGCACCGCTCCGCCACTTGTCGATCAAGGTTTGCAGCTGTGTTAAATCGTTCTAAAAAAACAATGACTCGTATTAATTCTCAGCCTTGGTGATCACAAATAAAGAGGATGGGGTTAGAAGTAGCTGATACCTTGCTTCTGTACATTTGGACCATCTTGAGTCGGCGCAGAGTCTCTGTTTTTTCTTTCACCTCCTTTCTGAGTTGTGCAACGTCTCCAGAGGAGACAAGTGTGGGTCCGGATAGCCTTTCGCTTCCTGCGTTATCCCTGTTGTGTACCGAGACCGGAGGATCGCTGCCCGTTTCCACTGAAGCTTGATGGCCACCCTGCTCTCCGCTGTCCACGCAGAGGCGTTTGGCCACCGAGAGGGGCGATGTGAAGGAGCGCCTGGTTCTCTTCAGCCTCTCCCTCAGAGAGGAACTCGGCTTCGGATGCTATCAGAGAAACCCGACATGAATCAAGCCTGAAACGTGTTTTAGATTATGATGTTAGCTAATAGTTTACGCACCACTTTAGCTAACAGTACTCACCTTTTCCTTTCTAAACTCCTCCGATGGGCTTGACTCGGCTGAACTGTACGATAAACACCGATCAGTCTTTAATTTGTCTCCTTTGGGAGTGACATCCATCGGTAAAACAGACTTACACTCGTAAAAAATGACTTTGTAGCGCGTTCACAACACAAAATTCTGGTTTTCCGTATTTCCGCGGGTCATGGCCTCCTGCGTGTGTGATTGGTCAGAATTTGATTACGTAAAGCCGAACGGAATTCTGGGAGTTGAAGCCTTTAGGGTAAAATGCATTTAGGCTAGACTTTTATCTTTGAAACCTTTTTATGTGACAGACACAAATAAAAAAACGTTCATACGTTTCAATTTAATTGAAAGATTGAAGGCAGTGCTTAGGGGACATAGGAGGACTATTTTTTTTGCTAAATTTAGTATTTGTTTTATTTAAATATGTCATATATTTGTATACTCTTGTGTATTCGTTCTGTATGTAACTTCAATATCCATTACTTTGTGTTTTTTAACAAGGCTTAGTTTAAATAAATTTAATTTTTATTCCCATAGGTAAAAAACTTTTTTTTACTAACTTGTGTAAAAAAATAACGAAGTAATGGGTCCTATTTTGTGTTCTTTTTTATGCTAGAAATCGGCATTAAAAATGTTAACTAAAACACAAAACACACACACGTTGTGATCGCTCACTTCATAAAAAATTATCACAGGACTGCCCTTCAGCATTTAATGTGTTTTAAAACTCGAGCATACACTGAAGCCACACGATCCTCCTTATGTTTAACTATAATATTTCTTTTCAGTTTGAGTTAATTTCAGAACAAATTGAGATTTTCCATTAAACCCGATGCGAGACAGGACCGCTCCTGCGGGATTAAATGGATAACCTTTTGCACTCAAGCAAAGCACAAAGTAAAAGTGATTTCTAAGGGCCGGCGGACATGCCTGGTACATGCTGCTCTTACTAAAGTTGAGTCATAATTTGATTCACCCCTTCCCATTAGCTGATTCATCTCTTTTACAGCTACCTATTTATAACTCTTCAAGCCCTTTAAGAGTTTTTTTCCCCACTTGTATATGATAACTCACTTTTTTGTGTGTGTCTATGCGGCCACGGGGTGTGTGAAAATGTAAATTATGATGCTGCCTGGACTTGAACATCAGTTCTTGGCAGGGCGATATTACACACCCAAGGGAGCTGGGGATTTTTTTACATTTTATATGGATGATTCTCAGAGGGCTGAGGGCTGAAGATAATTACTGTGTGTTAGTCAGTAGACTGTTTGCAGTGGGTTTTTTTTATCTTACCAAGTTGACATAAAATACTTTGCTCTATTCCCAGAAACAAACATGGAGTAACTGGTGGGGGTTTATTGAATCTAGAGGCGATGTGAGACTTTGAGGATGCCAGAACCTTCATCACATTCTAAATAGGCCACTTATTAGTGCAAATGTGTGCTTTATTTTTAATTTTTTTGGTGTGTTTTTATTCTGTACAGTGTCCTTGAGTGACCAGAAAGGCGCTTTTAAATAAAATGTATTATTAGTAGTAGTAGTACAAATGTGATGTACGTATGCCATGTTTTAGCAAGCTATCAGTTCCTGATGATGTTTTTTTTTACTCTTTGGGAGACATTTTCAGGCTTTTCCAGTGGAAGAAACATGACACAATATGCAGTTTTTCCCTGCAGAAATGAATTTCCCTTTTGTGGGATTAATAAATTCTATTCTATTCTATTCTATTCTAATGCTACACCAGTCATCTCAATACTTTTCAGGCTTTCACATCGGCATCAAGACGTGTCAACTGGAAACGTGGTGAAAGAATCCTTCATAAGACAAAGACAATGTTTCTTGGTGGTGCTGATTAATAATGGATGAAAAGAGACATGACATGTTTAATCTTGCTAAGATCTGTCATGTGTTCCCTTATCACTGGTTCCTCCTTTAAATTACAAGAGTCTGTTTATGTCGGAATATTTAAGACATGCATGTCCAAAGAGTGGCCTGGGGGCCATTTATGGCCCTCAGGTTAACTTAGTGCTTTTTTAGAACGATGAATTTATTCTCTACAGCAGGTTGTGAAACTGGAGTTATACTTTTATGCTTTTATGTTTAGATTTTTACTAATATACTTATTATACAATAGATCTACTGTCAGGATTTAAAAAAATCACCAAAAATGTATTTAAAGAGCAAGTCACCCCCTACCAGAGTATTACTCCACTCCCACTTCCTGTTTGAAAAATGCAACAAATGCTGTTGCCTATAGCAGAACGAGAGGGCGGAGCCACTAACAAACACACACACAGGCTCACAACGACATTGTGACATCATATGGTACCAGCTAACACTCTAGGGTACCTCTTAGCCAATAGCGATGGCAGATTTAAATTCAAATGCAGTGCAGAGTTTTTACCTGACAACAGCACAACACTGACAGTTTCAGGCAGAAAATTAAAGTTTTAACTAAAATGCACTAAAGTGCAAAACTAATGACTTACATGTGTCTGCAGCGCGATTAAACACACATTTCTATAGTTTATCAGAAAAAAAGGTAGATTTGGGGGTGTCTTGCTCTTTAAGCATTTTTTAAGGGTAAAGGAAGTAAGAACTTTACTGTGAAATAATCACAAAGCAGTCTAATGTCTCAGTCATGTTGGAAGGAAGGTTACATTGAAACAGACTTCTTTCTCAAGAAAAAATTTCTCCCCGCCCCCCCTCTCCTTGCAGTCACCGCCTCTAAACTCACGATTCCTGTCGTTTCCTGACAAGAATAATAAGTTTGCTGCATGTCTTTGAACTCCTTCAGTCAAGAGTGTATTAAAGTGTCTGCTCCATGTCTGTCACTAGATATGTTCAGCTCTCGCTTTGTTTATTTGAGGGGGGAAGATGATGCTGCTGATGCCGTTAAAGGAAGCAGCATACTAACCAATCACAGGCTCGTGGTCTTTGTCGCTTTTGATGGATATTTAGAAAAGGGTTAGAGAGAGGTCTCGTTTGTTTTCATAAATAGACTGCAGTACCCAACAGGATGTCATATTTACTTCATGCACCTTTAACTTAGAACAATCATATCCTCGAGGCCTGCAATAATTAAATAGACAGTTTTGGCCTTTGTCTTAAAAAGTTTGGACACCGTTGATTTAATGGATCAAGTGAACAAATACAAATCTGAAAATGGAACCAAAACCAAAGTAAAAAGAAAGAAAACATTAAAAACTCTTAAAAAAACACTGACCAAGAAAAAGTAAAAAAAAAAACATGTTGTTTTTTATATATCATAAAGAGACAAAATAGTCCTTAAAATGATGTTTTCTTCCTATGTGAAGCTTCTTTAAACACTTTCCCTTTGCTTGTTAGATGGCAGCAACTGAAAGGGTTTAAATTGGGACTAAAAACAGAAGTAATTTAGAAATAGCAGCTTGACATTCAGCCTACTGACTGTTGTGCCAGCTGGATGGTTGGGTTACAGCTACATACTTTCAAAATAAACCCTCATAATGCGTTTCATACTGACCATAAATTCTACTTTACACTTTGTTCTGTTGAGCCCTTTTGTGTGCATGTTGCCTTAAAGCTATACTGCTGATTGTTGTCATTTAAATTTCAGTGATTTACGGTTTTATAATATTTATTAAAATTCAGAAAAGTTGCCATAATTCATGTGAAATTGCATTTTGGCGGGGGGGGGGGGGTCAAATTGATTAGCAAACAATAAAAAAATAAACTTTAATTTGTCTTTATTTCTTCATTGGAAAAATAAGATTAACATAGAAACACTGATGACACCAGTTTATTTCTGAAGCACATTTAAAAACAGCATGGCAGCTGACCAATCTGCAGTACGGCTACAAATTAAAACACAATATAAAAGCAAAAACACAGTCAATCCTAACAATATATAGCAAAGCAGGTAATCACAGTCATCAGTAAGAATACATAATGACAATAAAAAGTCAGGGGTTTGGAAACGCCAGGTCATAAAAGTAGGTCTTAAGCTATGACTTAAACCAGGGAAGGGATGGTACCTGCCTCACTGAGAGAGGAAGAGCATTCCAGAAGGACGGAGCAGCATGCACAAAAACACGCTCCCCCCACACGTTATATTTCATAGTCAGAACGTGAAGCAGCAAATGATCGGCGGATCTCAATGCCCAGTTTGGCCATGAGGATTACCTCACACTTGGAGTCATTCAGCTTCAGATTATGGTCAGCCAGCCAGTCCCTCACTTTAGTCAAAATGGTCCAGAAGGGAGAGAGCACCTGGTTTATTCAAAGCCAGGTATCTGGCAATCATCTGCAGAGGTGGTAGTGCAGGCCATATTTTCTCAAGCTAGAACCCAAGGGAAGGATGGAAATGGAAAACAGGAGATGCCTGAGCACAGATCCCTGCGGCACTCCGCAGTGGAGTGGGAGGCATGGAGAAGGGCAGTTACAAAACAGAACCTTAAAAACTCTTTGACACGTAAGAGCCAAACCACAGAAGTGGGGTACCCCTAAGACCCACCCAAGTCTCAATTTAATTGTCCAGCTAAAGAAAAATAAACAAGAACAAAGTTTAAAATTAATCCATGTGCCTTTCTTTCAGAATGTGGCCTTTACGGTCCCTAAGCCAAGCCTCCACCGCAGGAAAGTGTTTATTATACCAGAGAGGTTTTACCAGCTTAATTGGGAACAAAATGTGAGATCCACAAAAAGCTGGAGTCAGTTTTTATCTCTTCCAGCGCGCACAAAGTTCCTCCACGTGAGTTCAGATGTACACCTCTCTGACTGATTCATTTTATAAGTATTTTCTAGTTTTTATGAGAGGAATTTCTGCAGCAACTCTGGTGAATTTCCTTTCCAAACACCCAATGGAAAACCAGTTTTTGACCATGAAGGCTTTGTTTCACCATGCCAGAAAATGGATCAGTGTGTGTGTGTGTGTGTGTGTATGTGTGTGTGTGTGTGTGTGTGTGTGTGTGTGTGTGTGTGTGTGTGTGTGTGTGTGTGTGTGTGTGTGTGTGTGTGTGTGTGTGTGTGTGTGTGTCACATTATCTTGAGGGCTGAGCCGAGACTTAACCCATCACAAATTCCCTGGAAGCTGCTGCCCCTATACTCTACAGATTTATCAAACAGGAGAGCATTGCTGGACAATCACTTCCTGTTTCTACTTCACCATCCTGGAATCTGTTGCTGAGATTTTTCTACCTCACACATGGATGAGAGCGGAGCAGCTTCTCCTCCGTTATTCTATCCTTGGGGCCATTTGTTTTCCATGATTTGTGCAGATTAGACTCAAACTGGCTGTGAGTCATTGCAGGGTGGGTGGATGTCTCCACTGGGTGTGGTGTGGTGCGGGTGAAGGGAACCTGAGGACGCCTGTGGCTCACAGCGGAGGAATAAAACGTCTAATTTGTCTCACGTTGCATAAATGTAAATGAGCAGATTGGGCACATTTTTTACAATTATAGAGTTATAAACAGCCCTCGTTCCCTCTCATTTGGGAGTGCATGTGGTGGAAAGTGTTTCATGCTGCAGCTTCTGCAGAATCACAATTGTCACATGAAAATTATGAGAATCCGAATGGCAAACAGGGCGATGGACGCTGATCATGCTGCAGCTGCAAAAGCAATATTTCTGTCAGGAAAAGTTGCTCTGATTATACTTTTAAACCTAAAAATGTGATTTTTGCATTGCGAGACAGTTGCGTTTGACATGGAAACCTGTAGCTCAAAGGTTCAGCTCCTTCTTCCAATATGCACACCAGATGTGCACCAACTGCGCCAGATTTACTGCAAAACTAAGCCCCCCCCCCCCCCCCCGAAAAATGAAAGGTAAAAAACAAAGAAAAGAAAAAAATCTTTCCTTTTTCTCCTCCTCCACAAAACTTGACCAGTTTGAAAAGTGGTGACTGAAACAGAGAAGCAGCAGCAAGAGGAGGAGTTTAGCGCATTTCTTTTGCACACTGGACTATCTGTGTCTGCAGAGGAAGACAACCTAATGCGCCCCCCCAGGCGCTGATTTCTTTTTTATATTCTTCTTTTCTGCCACACCTGCCTGCCAAGCTGCAGCCCTGATGGGCGCGGCTAGGACCGGAGCCCAAATCTTTGTTTTGACTCGCCTGGGAAAGTTGAGCGAAAAGGCACAAAAGGACCGAGGAGTTTGAGAACATCCTCCGCACGCTCTGCGCCTCAGCTGCGCATTTAGCGCATTGTTCCTCCTGCGGATAGAGGTCTTTCCCATCCTGGGAGGATTTTGATTCTCCGTGTTGACAGAAGGTATGGTTTCTAAAACTTGTTTAAAAGTTTGAGGGCTTTTGTCTAAAACCGCGCTGGATGTTGCGGATGTTTCCTCGCACCTGGTCTCTCTGCATCTCTTTTTGCTCTTCTCGTTTGCGCTCCTGGAGTTTGGTGATGGGCTGTCAAGTTAAATATATAAGCTGCAACTGCTTAAAACTCACTTTGCATCCGAGCTAAATGCTTCTGGGCTTGTTAGTGAAGTCCACCAGGGGGTTTTTGGAGATCACTTTCCTGTTGTGGTAATCTCATCCATCTAAATATACAGCAGCAGGATCCTGCCTCGCTGTTGGAGTTTTTTTTATATCAACCCCTGATAATTGCTGCTCAGATCACTTACAGGCAGTAAACGACAGACTCAAGGCCCCTTTAACGAGATGATGAGCAGAATTTAATTTATGAACGCTTTTATTGTCCTCAATAACAGGAAAAATACTCATTACTGATGTTTATTATCTGTTTTGAACATAAATAAGGGACTTAAATAAACCAGAATGGGCTTCCTGTGGATGGAGCAGCTAAACGCCCTTATCTTCCAGGGTGTGGCAAAAGGATGGCTCCTTTGTTTCTTTGTTATTTTGGTCTCTAAAGACTCAAAAGTAAATAAAAAGTCTAAGGATGAATCATCGCGGCTTTATTGTAGCGCTGGGATGTCAACAGAACAGTGATGGAATGTATCGAAGTACAAGTACTTAGTTACTTTACTTGAGCAGATTTTTTTTATATCTGTACTTTACGTAATACTTTTATTGAGGCAACTTTTTACTTTTACTCCTCTTTAAAGCAATTATCTGTACTTTCTAAGTTTTCTAAAAGTTTGAGCTTCCATTTGAGTTTTACATCATATTAAATTTACTGTAGTGTCCGCCGTAAACGAGCATTACTCAGACAAAGCTGCAAAAGGCAAGATTATAGAGTACTGTTGCTAATCTGGATATTTTTTCAGTGTATTCACCTTAACCCACACACTTAAAAAACAGCACATAACTGTAGGGTGAGTACATACATTTTTTACTTAAGTACATTTGAAAATACATACTTTAAGACTTTTACTTTCGTCAGACAGTTCTGGATCCTTTCACTTTTATTTAAGTTATTTTGATAACACTTTACAATAAGGGTCCTTTTATTAATGCTACTTAGTGCTTTATTAAGCATTATCAAACAAAGGGTCCTTTTATTAATGCTACTTAGTGCTTCATTAAGCATTATCAAACAAAGGGTCCATTTATTAATGTTACTTAGTGCTTTATTAAGTGATAATAAACAAAGGGCTCCTTTATTAATGTTACTTAGTGTTTTATTAAGCATTAATAGTAACAAAGGGTCCCTTTGTTACTATTAATGTTATTGTTAAGGTCAAAGAGCACAGTATTAAGCCATTTTAATACTTTATTTAATAGCTTATTAATGCCTAATAATGTACTAAGTAACCTTAATAAAGGGACCCTTATTGCAAAGTGTCACCATTGTTTTTCACACACCCTTTCCTGTCCTTTTCCTTGAGTAAAAATATAAAAAACCTCTTCCACCACTGGAATTGAAAGTGTTTGTTGGAGGAGTTGTTGCGTAACTATTCTCTGTTGATTACCACCACTGAGGGAATTTGTCCAAAGAGAGTTCTGTGAACTTGAGTATTAAATTGTGGTTTAGAAAATATGATCATGGGACTGATGTGGTTTTCAGTTCAGCGAAGTAAACAAGCTTCTGGGTATTTGTCCTGGAACGTTCGACCACAGTTCTTCACTTGTTCCTCATCAAACGGATCCTAAAATCAAAATTTTCCTCATTTAAAATGTGAACAACTTCTATAAAACGTGCACGACCCTGGTCAAGGTTTTTATTCTTTCTATCATCGCCTCACCAGATAAGATGGGATGGACGAGTTAACGAGGCAGATGGAGATCTCAGGAGAGAAGGGTGAGAACTTTGCAGAATTTGAATCTTTTTGTCTAAATAGCAGATGAATTGTGGAGTTTGTTTACCTAAAAGTTACCCAGTATTCAGATTTCTAGGAGATATCAGCTCTGAGACATCCCTGGAAACAATTATAGGGCCAAAAAAAAAAACAAAAAAACAAAAAAATGAGAAGGTTCCTGCATAAACCTTACATAACAAGCTCACAGTTTCTACATCTGTAAGTCCTTTACCTTGATGATGTTTAATCTCTTTTTTAGAGGGGGGCTTACTAATATCATGCATGCCTCTCGTTCATCTCTTCTCATGGGTTTTCCTCAAAGTGCATCTCACGTGGTCCTAAAGGGGTCAAGCACAGCTTGATTATATGTTAGATGCACGCTTTGAGAAACATATAATCTGCCTGTTGCATGCGTCGCCTCTAAGAGAAAGCTGGGAAGCTTAATTTTTGAGGCACTTTTCAAACCCGCAGTTAGGGTTTAGAGAAGTGACGGATAAGATAATGAGGTTTGGAGGGAGCGCTTAGATCTTTTTGGTTTATTGACTGCAGCACGAGTTTGCTGGAGACTTTTCTAGTCGAGGAACAGCAGATGCTGAAAGATGGTGAGATTGGACTCAGAGAAGGAGAGACAGAGAGAGAAATCCCTAAAAGGAAGGAGGGAAGCAGAGGTGGAGGAGGACATCAGGAGTGAAGAGGCATCATGAAATTGAAATGGAATGTGTGTCATCTATAACTGAAGCCAATGAAGCTCAACAAGCTGCAGCAGGACAACAGAATACCTCGAGGGACAGAGGGTTTGGTGTAGAAATTCAGCGAGGACAGCGAGTTGTTCTGCGATGTTTAGAGCCAGTGACATGCTGTGATTTAAGAGCTGTACACCAGTGTGGAGTCAACATACCGAGGTCGTGGACGTCCAAACAGAGCCACGCTCACATCCAGTGATGACGCCTTAAATGTCACACCAACCCGGCTGGACACACTCACAGATCCTGTCCCGCAGGGAAAGTGCAGATCAGATGTTGGAGGAGACCCAAAACAGGAGATCAGACGAAATTCAGTTTCAGCACAAAAGTTTAAAACACAAGGTTGTTAAAATTACGCAGTTTGGTTTAAATATTTGATTAGAATAGATTTTCTAATGATCTGTTCATCACTTTTACAGGATCTAAAGTTAAAGGTTGAATATGGAACAATTTAATGTAACGCTATATTTCTATCAACGGGGCATTTCGAGGAGTGCAGAACGAGGGCACAGTATTTCTTTTAAAAGCTACATTTTAATAAAAAAGAATCAAATGTTTATTTTGACGGGCACGACGCTGGGTTGATGTTTACATCTACCAGCCAATAGAGGGCGCCATTGTAGGTTGCCAAACAGTACGCTCGGCACAGCGAGGCTGGTCTTGTGGAAAATGGCGGATTCTGCAAGTCAAAAATCTGCTTCTGAGCCCAGAAGATGTCATCCTCAGAAGAGGAGCGACCATAAAACATCTAAAACCAGAGTGAGTTTAGGTTTACAACAGATGGACCCAAATTAAACATTTCACATATCGGCAGCGAACCTGGCATCCCGACGGCTGGAAACCTTGTTCTACTGATGCAACTACAACCTCTACGCACTAGATGTCACTTTTGTGTTCGTGTTCCATATTCCACCTTTAAATCAACAAACTAAGATGACTAAATCTCCCTCCTAACTCAGCGCTTCACCTGCTTTCTGTCGTCTGAACATCATGGAAACAACACAATAAATGAAATTGAAGGAAATAAACTATTAACATAGAATTAATGACAACACAGTCAGGAAAGGGCTGCATGTTTTCCTATTAAAAGGCACATAACCAAATAAAATGCTCTAATTCACCAGATGTATCTTATAAACTAACAACCATAACATGAAGCAGCTCAGATTGTTCTCCAGAGGACCGTTCTGCTGGAGGTCAACAACCTCTAGAACACTGGTTAATGGTCTCAGAGACGGGATGTAGTTACGATGGTGGTAAAAAGGAAAGGTCAGATATAAATTAGTGAAAACAAGTCTGAGATGTGGGACTTAAAGCTGCAGAATGAGCAAAGACACAGTCATGATGATTTCTCTCCTCCAGTGGTGACAGAAACAGTAACCTCCACATCCAGGCTGACTACTCTCCCACCCAGTGAGTCTTTTTGTCTCCTGTCATTTTCACTGACTCAGTTCAAACAAAAAGTATAATAATTAGAGTTCTTGAGGAAGTACCCGATGAGTAACGGCTTCTTTTTGTTTTGGTGTGTGTCTTGTTGCTAGAGGGAACCGGTGGATCAAATCACAGGAACATGTCCAGCAGCGCCGGGGGGCTGGGCTTGGAGAAGAATGTCTTAACTCAGAACAGCAGTGGAACCTACTTCTCTTCATGTGAGACCAACTTTCCTCTCGTGCACCAAAACTGGGAAGTTGTGGGTTTATTGTTGCACAAAATTTTAGGGATTTTTTTTGTATTTATTTTTAAACCCCAGAAGAAGAAAAAAGATGCTTGTAGGTTTATGTAAAGAAGAACTTCCATGCAAGTTCTGCAACTTAGAAATGTTCTGCACAAATCTGCATTTAATGAATTTTAAATTATGAATTAAAGTCAAAATTTGACAAGTGACAGCGTTGAGATGTGCGCTCAAATCATATTTTTAAAACTTTTAATCTATACTTTTGTGGCAAGGTGGAGAGATGAGGGCCCGGGGCAGGATTTGATCCCCAGACCCTCGGGTGAGGGTCACGTGTGCTTACCAGTCAGCCAAAGGGACATCCCCTTGGCCAAGTAGCCAGAGCGCATGAACAATCGGACACTGTGACAGGACGCTCACACTGCCACACTTTTATATAACAATTCACACTTTTACTATATCTTTTTAGGAGAAACTAACTTGATGTTTTCATTGCAAATTTGAGAATTTATTTGCAAAAATTGTAGTTTTTACTGTTAATCTCTGGAAATATGTTTATGTTTATTCATTTAGGAGACGCTTTTATCCAAATCAACTTACAATTTATAACCTATAGGGCATGTTGTGATCTGTTGGGGAAACTGGAGTACCCGGAGGAAACCCACGCATGCATGAGGAGAGCACGCAACTCCACGCAGAAAGGCCACAGCTGAGCTTCGAACTTGCAACCTTCGTGCTGCGAGGCAACAGTGCTAACCACTGCGCCACCATGCAGCCCAAATAATAACCATCAAAATGTTGTGGACAATAAAATAAATAATGCCCAGTTGTTAAAAGATATTGGCGGCTTCGTAACGTATAACCTAAAATATCGGGTCTGAAATACACGGGAGTGGGTCTACGGCCCGATCCAAATACTCACACTTTCACACTTGCACATTTCAATTGCGCTATCCCGGCCAGGGGTGAAAGTGCGTAGGGTGTCCCGATTCCCAAGTGCGGAAGTTGATCACGCCCCTTTCGCACCCTTGATCCACACTCTGAAGGGTTTGACCCACAGTCCATTGCTGTTGGAGAAAAGGCTCAAGTGCCTTTTCTGAAAATATGTATTTCCAAATGAAAGTAGTCCATTTTAGGACAATTAGTTGATTCTCTGAATGTTTTAGACAAAGCAGCAATGACTGTAAATTTATATCAAACAATTGTTTGGTTATTTTAAAATTGTTGATAAAGGTTTTTTTTAAGTTGCACAGCGACCAGCATCCCGGTGTGCATTGCAGTCGGTGACGCAATGCTCCCTGTCCCAATTCGGCAATTATTTGCACACATGTGTACCACGCACTCAAAGCCTTACTGCACACTTCCTCCAAGTGCACTTCACAGAAGACTGCAGGGCGCAGTGCGAGTATTGGGGTTGGGTCTAAGGATGTTTCTCAATGCCAAGGAACCTCGCCTTGATGTCTTGGTCCCGCCCCGGTTATCCAGAAGATACGTCATCAAGAACCACCAAGTCGTGTTTTTCCATGCTTTTAGCATCCCCTAGTGTCCGTTAGTAGAACCGAAAGTAAAGCGTATCTACTCGCTGTGCATTCGTCTTAATCTAACAGCTGAAATGTCTTCCAAGCCTTCCTTAGTGTCTACAGGAGTGATTCATCACTAAATAAAACAAATCAGATGTGTTCATGATCTAAAACAAGCAGAAATTTTGGCCACAGGGGGCGCCAGCAGCTGGGTGGCATTTCATTAACCCTGTAAAGGGTCATTTTAGCAAATCCTGGCTCAATAAAGTGATTTAAAAATATCAAAAAGTTGCAAAGTCTCACTTGAATTATCTAAAGCCAACAAGTTACTAGTGTTAAAACTTAGACTGATACTGGAACCAAAATGTTAATGTTTCAAAAGCACATCGTTCTTTATGAGATTAAGAGATTTAATTTCACATAAATATCTCTTCATATATTTTTGCTAAACAAATGAAAATGATTACTAATAGACTATTTATATTTAAAAGTTAAATGTTCCTAATAGTACATTTTGTGCATCTTTGGTTTAGAAATCTTAAAAAAAAACATGTTAACCAACAGGAAGGGTTTATTTTTATTTATTTATTTTTGTTCTTTTAGCAAAAATGTTATTTAATTTTAAAGTATTTTGTCCTATTCTATATTTTACAGTCATTTTAATACTTCACGCAGTAAAATATACCACAATAATCTAACATCTAGTTGTTTTATGACCTAATGAAATTCCTGATTTATGTCTGCAGCCTCCGTAGGTGTGACCACCAGCAGCTACAGCTCCTCCTCAGGGATCTACCTTGGAGGAGACTCCTCAGGGGGAGGTGAAGGAGGGGGGAGCTACATAGATGGAGAGGGTTATGGAAGTGGAGGAGGACGAGGCGGTGGGGGAGGTTATCTGGTGAGCTCTGTGTCAAAGGTCCGGTCCAGCTCCTCCGGGGGTGGCAGGAGAGCACAGATTGCTGGCCCCTCAGGAGGACTGTCGCCATCCTTCCGGGAGAGGAAGACCATAACCAGTCGCTCAGGAGGCTACGATGGTAGGATCCTGTTATTCAGACAACTCGTGGGTGCTTTTTATCACTCTTTAACAATTGTGTTTTCTCTCAGGGAGTTCCAGTGCAAATTCCTCTCCAGAATTTACACGCAAAGACTATGGGAACTATTGTGAGTGAGAATAAAAGCTGTGAAGTTTTATTAGTCTTATGTGTTTTTATTTTTTGACACTTCCTTTATGTTTCTTTTCAGGCTCCAGCACCTCAAGAGGGAGGAGTGAAAGCAGAGGTATTTGATGATCTCTCCCTCCTCCAGTTGTTATTTATGCACCATTTCATTCCGAAATGTCCAGGGTTACATTTTTTTTTTCTTTTGTCCAATGTGTGCTCTGATTTTTTTCCAGAGAGTGAGATCAGAGCCAGACTGCAGAGTGCCTCCCCCTCTGCCGGAAGATGTAAGACAACTGGAGACACGGATCCTTTTGCAGTTGTTATGCAATTCCTCATAACAGAGCAGGAAAAAAGGGCTTTGGAGCTTTTTAAAAAGCTCTTGGATTGAGGAAGATTTTTCCCTGAGGGGCGTGATTTTTTAGAGTTATGATGCTGTCAGATGTTTTGGCTCAAAACTCACATACTTCTCACTTCTTCACATGCCTTGAAATTTCAATTAGTAACACATGTACAGTTAGAGAAGCTGAGAGTGAATTCGTCTGACCATGTGGGGAAGATGTTAGGGAAACTGAGCTGGGGTGGCAGCAGTGGCACGCATGAGTCATTCCTGGTTTCAAACCCAACAGTTTAGACCATGGTTGAGACCTAAAGCTGCAGACTTGAGCTCATTCTGCCCCCTGTTGGTCAGACATAGGAGTTGCTGTTACTTTATGTAAGGTTATTTTAGCCTGGCCCCAGACTCGCCCTCTGTTTAATTCTGCACACTTTCTCTGTGCAGAATTAAACAGAGAAGGAGTCTGGCAAGCCAGGCTAAGGTTACTCTGCTATTATACACTTTCTGGGTCATCTTGTTTGTTTATTTAACATTTTCCCCTAAACAAATATCACTAGTAAAATAATAGGTGAACAACATAAAGATATAACATAGTGCACATAAATGGAGTATAAAAATGTATAATTAACACAAAAATCAAACTTAAAATCACACAAAGTAAGTTAACCTAAAAAACTCAAAGAGATTACATATTAAAACTGACCACTTTTGTACTTTTTGTGATTATACTTTAGTATTTTTGTAGCTCCACCAATACTTGGCTTGGGCCAACAAGCCTTAATTATATTATATTATATTATATTATATTATATTATATTATATTATATTATATTATATTATATTATATTATATTATATTATTATATTATATTATATTATATTACATTATATTATATTATATTATATAAAAATAATTTAGTAATGCTTTCAAAATTTTCATTCAAACTTTTGAGTAAAATTTGTTATTTGCATAAATCGAGTCAAATCTCAAATGTAAAAGTCCAATGAAATTATTTGAAATCTAATTTAATATAAATATACACGTATTGTCAAAGATAATAAATAATACGTTTATTAAATAATTTAATCTATAAAAAACAAAACTGACTTTAGCAGAACACAGCCTCCATGTTATTTATTTACTTACTTATTTATTTATTTATTTATTTATTTATTTATTTATTTATTTATTTATTTATGTATTTATTTATTTATTTTTGTTTTGGGCATCAACCAATCCAGAGAAAGATCAACCTAGCACATAAGCTTGAGTTTATGTGATGACTCCCAAAGAAAATAACATTTTTGTGGCTTTGTAGGGGCTGAGCTGGATGACGTGAAGAAGCTGCTAAAGGGACGCTCCAGCAGCGTCAGCCCCACCCGCTCCTCCAGCGCCTCCATCACGCTGCCCGTCCCTAAGAAGGCCACCGCGGAGACTAAAACCGTCTCAGTGGCCACTCAGTCAGGTAGATTCTGTTACTGGAAACACACGTGCTGCAAATTCTCAGACGTGTTGTCTCCGTTCCGTCTATTCCAAGATGGACTCAGACTCTTGCTTCTTGTTGCTATCTTGTTTTTAATAGTTGAGAATGAGCTTGTGCTGGTGCGTGGACCTAAACGTATTATTATCATGATTACCGTACTTCCTGTGGATATTTTAGTGTCTGGACAAACAGGACAAGAGGGATCTGAGTTTAAAAAATGTTCAAGTGTGTTTTTATTTAAAGAAAAAGCTGCAAATTCAAGAAATATAATTAAAAATTGAGAAAAAGGTGGTTAATTTGCATCTTGCCAAAGTCGTGCTCTTTTAAATTTATCATTACTATTATTTAGAATGTATGCAGGACTTTAAAGGTAGATCATGTTGTGTGTGTGTGTGTGTGTGTGTGTGTGTGTGTGTGTGTGTGTGTGTGTGTGTGTGTGTGTGTGTGTGTGTGTGTGTGCGTGCGTGTGCATGTGTGTGTGTGTGTGTGTGTGTGTGTGTTATCTCCAACAGCTTCGTCCTTTGGTTCTGGTTTGCGTTCAGCTGGTTTCAACACCATAGACGTAGCTGGTCTCTATGACAACACTCAGACGACTGGGCAGCGTGATTCCGGTGTTCAGACCGGCCATTATGATGTCACCATCACATCCAGCCTCTATGATACTGGTGTCAGATCAAACCAGTATGATGCTAGTCTGAGGTCAGGGCAGTATGATACTAGTTTGAAGTCAGGACAATATGATGCGAGCCTGAAATCTGGCCAGTATGATACTGGTTTGAAAACAGGACAGTATGATGTGAGTTTAAAATCTGGCCAGTATGACACCAGTGTGAGAACAGGCCAGTACGACACGCTGGATTCTGCATTTCCTACTTTCTCCTGGTCCACCTCCACGCTGCCCAGCTCCTCCGCCGCTGCAGTCGTCGCTGGCAACAGCAGCAGCTACACCTACCAGACCACCCAGATCGGCACCAACAACATGTCCGGGGGGTCTGTCCCCATCAGCCCCACCTCACACCCATCTCTCTCAGGTAACACACGTTTTAACATCACCCGTACATAAATAATAAATAAAATGAACACGTGAAACCTTCAAACCGTTTACAGTCTACGGCTTCCAGAACAACCTGGCACCCACCTCAGCGGGCGTGCTCACCACAGGTGGCACCAACATAAACGCACACCTGGCAGGTACTGCAGCACGTCTGGACGTCACCAAGTACTTTTAAAGCTGTAGTAAAACAGCAGTTTGATTATAAACGTTGTGTTTGTATTTGCAGGATACGGGGTGCAGAAGAACGTGTCCAACGGTGGAGGTGTCATCAGCTCTGGAGTCTCTACAAGTATGGAAAGTTTCTTCTCTTTTCTGGAGGAAAAAAACAGTCAAATCTTGTAACAATCGTCAAACTTAAACACCTCCTGTCTGGATCTCCTATCATCAGTGACGAGATCCCAAACTGATGACGTCTATAAGAGGGACTACAGGTACGCGGCTTCTGAAAAGGAGAACGCTCCAGCGAGGAGAGATGGAGAGATGCTCATTCTGGCCAAAGACAGCGGAAAGCAGTTCACCACCAGCAGCGGTGTTCATGTCGGAGGAGGTGAGTTGTTAGGTTTGTACGTCCCTCGGTGGTAAACCCACCTGTTGTGGACTGTACCTGCTGCATGGAGAATTGTCGTTTCCCACTGCAGGCTCACTGTCAGGAGATTCCCTAAAGAAGGAGAAACTTATTTCCAGCTACATCGACACGGGCACACTGAAGACAGACACCGGCAACGCGTACTGTGAGCGACCGTGAAGCCTTTTGTTTTGTTTTGATTTAAACAATGAAGGGTGACATTTTTCTGTTTTTCTATCAGATGGATCATCTGGTGTTCTGATGAAAGACAAAGCGACCTATGCAGGTACTTTTTTTTGTGCTTTTATGAACAAATCACCCTTTTTTTCCACTAAAACACCAATAAAGACCCAGATTTGCTGTTTTTCTTTAAAAACTGAACATTTTGAGGAATTTTTTTTTGGAACTTCTGATCAAACCATGAAATAAAAAGTTTTAGATTCGTTTGAGAATGATTGAGAACATTTTAGTAATTGAGCGAGGGGATTTGACTTTCCCCTCTGTTCCTCAGAGATTCACCGGGACAGCGGCGTCTGTGGAGGCGGGGGATTCTGCTGCTGCTCCGACTCGTGCTGCTCCTGGTGGAAGTGGCTGCTGGGGTTGCTCCTCCTCTCTCTGCTTCTGCTGGGGCTCCTGTTTGGCCTCATTGCACTGGGTAAGGCCGATTAATACGACGTTAAAAGATTTGCAAAGACAGGAGGGATATAAAGTTCTCCCCAAAGATAACACCTCAGCAGTCCCTGCGGGTTGGAAGCAGGAGTCTGGGAGTTATTGTTTCTTAAATCATCAAACTGCATTTCAGCTTTTTCAAGCTACTGAGAATTACTTCGCTGTGATTTGAGACAGTGCATGCAGTCGTTTCCCTGGAAATATGATCTCTGCAGGCTCTCTCACTCCCATAAAGTCTGGCTTTCATTGTCTGTGGAGCAGCCTGGCAAATTGTTGCCTGATGACATCAGATAAATCTAGTTTTTTACTCCCTGCAGAGCGAGACTTGTTGATATGAAGCGTGTTTGTAAATGCACGGAAGAAGATCTGTAATACAGATGTAGCAGTGAATTTATTATTTATTATTTTAAGGATACTTTTTAGTGAAATAGGTTTCTCTACGGACATAAAAATCATTTCAGATCATTACTTTTGGTACCTTTTGGTCTGTTTTTCCTGTGAAGAATTAATGTTCCCTAATATTAGAGCTTTAAAGTTTGCAGAAAGCGAAGCATACCAGAGTTTATAGGATTAAGAGAGCAACAAGCCATAAAACAAAAGTCTCTTTCAGAATCACACACGAAAACAAAATGTTCTAGAACACCATAAATTCTACTCAAAACAGAGTTTTCTCAAAGAGTCTATTTCATTAGTTGCATTAAAAACATCATGTTATAAATATTCCCCAATGGGAAAGTTTTCCACCGATACTAAATAAGCGATGGTTAAGTTGCAAACAGAAACTCTAAAAAAGTCAAAGTGTAGCTAAAGCAGGAGAATGGGTTTTGAATTTGACAGAAAGGATCCCACGGGCCCTTTGGTACCAGTGTCATCACACATCCACATCTCAAATTATTATTTTTGAGTGAAGTGTCTTGAAAAAAAAAGATTAATTCTACTATTTTGACATTTAAACTTACTGTTTTTTAGCTACGGTAGAGACAGCATTGAAGAAGGTTAAAAAACCAGTAGTCAGTTTGACTTTAGAAAGAAAATATTATTTAAATTTTGTTAGAAATGTCCAAATTAAATGCTAAAATATACATTGGGAGCAGTGCCCCCCCCCCCCAACCTGAACCCGAATCTCCTTTTGTTTTCGGACGTGTCTCCGTCGTTGCAGTGGCTTTCAGGAGCTTTGGCTGCCGGGTGGTCGAGCCTTTCACAGCGGAAAGCCCTACACTTGCCGGTGGACAAAATTTTGTCCCCTGCACTTTTTATCATCCAAAACAATATTACGCTAAATTAAATAGTCACTGGTTGAGCATTGTGTTGAAGCCTGTTTCCCATTAGAACCATCCACAAGCTCATCTATTGGCTCTGCTGATACGTGCTTTTTACGTCCATGCCTGTGGGACTCCAGAGACAGCTGATAGATACCGGCAGTCTTAGCTGAATGAGGTGACTTAGGTATCTGGTTAGGATGCCCTTGGACCCATCTTTGGTGCAGTTTTCCGGGCATGTCCAACTGGGAGGAGACCTAAAGGAAGACCAAGGACATGCTGGAGGCACAATGTTTCCCAGCTGGCCAGGGAATGCCTTATTCCCCCAGAGGATCTGGCCCAAGTGGCTGGTGAGAGGCAAGTCGGGATCTCTTTGCTTAGGCTGCTGCCCCCGCGACCTAACCCCGCATAAGCGGATGAAAGTGGATTAAAAAAATGAAAATGGGTAGATGGATAAATGCTAAAAATTGTTTTATTTTCCTCGCTGTTCACGGGAGCCTAATGACACGATGCCGTACATTCTATAAACGCCATGCGTAATTTATTTCATCCTGTTAAAACAAACATATTTGTATGTATTTGTAGATATTTTTATGGTTTGTTTGCAGCCAAAAATTGTTTTGATGAATATTTATAAAACAAGATGATGCAGGACAAGAAGGTGCAGGCCCGAGTGAAACAGGACAAAAGAGAATGTCAATGAAGATTAACGTTTAAGTAAAAAGCAAGGGTTTAAGACAACATTTATAGTTTGTTTTGTGTGAAATTGTCCAATAAAATTTTTTTTTTTCCAGCTGAGGATGTGAGGAAGCTGAAGAGCCGAGTGGCGACGTTGGAGTCCTCAGCCGCTGCTGCTCACACCAGTCGTCTGTCAGGAACCACTAATGATATCACTTATGTTGGTGGTGGGGGGGCTGGTGGTACTGGAACAGACAACACACTCATCCTGGGACTGGGAGGTGGAGGTGGAGGCTCAGGCTCGAACACACGAATCATTGCTGTTGGTGGCGGTGGCTCCTCCGGTGGGAACAGGGTCGATGATGGCACAATTCTTGTAGGAGGTGTTGGAGGGGCTTCAGGAACGGGTACCAGTGTGGGTGGTGGTACTGGTACCAGTGTGGGTGGTGGTACTGGTACCAGTGTGGGTGGTGGAGCTGGTGGTGCTGGAACCAGTTGGAGCGGCAGTGCTGGTGGTACTGGTACCAGTGTGGGTGGCGGTGCTGGAACCAGTTGGAGCGGCAGTGCTGGTACCAGTGTGGGTGGTAGTGCTGGCGGTGCTGGAACCAGTGTGGGTGGCGGTGCTGGTACCAGTGTGGGTGGCGGTGCTGGAACCAGTTGGAGCGGCAGTGCTGGTACCAGTGTGGGTGGTGGAGCTGGCGGTGCTGGAACCAGCTGGAGCGACGGTGCTGGTGGTACCCGTTTTGGTGTCGGAACCGGCCTGGGGACCAGTGTAGGCGAGAGATACATCGATGATGCCGTTCTTATGATGACCATGAGGCGTTTGTTAAGATCTGAGATGCACTCACAGGAATTCAGAGGTACTGCATTAACACACACACACACACACACACACACACACACACACACACACACACACACACACACACACGTTAGGTTTACTAAGAAATCCCGTTTTCTCTTTCAGCCATCCTCACATCCTCGGTGCAGGGAGAGAGAGGACTGCCTGGACCCAAAGGTAAATCAAAACAGCATTTTTATGAAAACCAAACACATGATTGATTGTTACTGTGAAAGAAAAGTGTTTCATTTGTTCATCTCTCTGCCTTTTCTCAGGTGACTCTGGATCTAGAGGTTTGAATACGCAATAATTCACCGTTTTAAAACTAAGTTTGCAGTCAGATTAAAAGAAATCGTCACAATGAAATTATCTCATGTTTGTCTTATTGCAGGAGATCCTGGCATTCCTGGAATTCCAGGTGGGCGCTTTCTTTAAGTCACCAGACACATTTAATGATTTATATATTCGTCATCACCAGCATCCCTTTCCTGACTTTAACCTTTGACCTCATGTACAACAGGTTTGATGGGTCCTGAGGGTGCTAAAGGACAAAAGGGAAGTCAAGGTAGCGGGAGTTCTTCAGTTCAGATTCTGTGATGTCATGTGTCCGTTGATGGGTCGTGTGTAAAAGGTGTTTGTGCTAACTGATCAGGTGAGCATGGGCTGGAGGGTCCACCAGGTGTCAGGGGTCGTGAGGGTCCACCCGGGCCTAGAGGTGACCCGGGACCTTCAGGTTCTGCACTTAAAGGAGAAAGAGGTAAAGTCGGACTTTAAGTAGTTTTCTGAGAAGAGAGTAACCTTGATCGGAAAACAAATATGGAATCTCTTGTCTTTTTTTTTTTTTTTTTTTCAGGCGCTCAAGGAGAACCTGGACCTCCTGGACCCTTGGGACTTGGTGGTGCTCCCGGGCCAAAAGGTGACCCTAACGGCCCGATCAATGAATGAATAAATAAACTAAAACATTTATTAATGGGAGGTGTAAACCCTAAAATTAACACCAGATGGCAGTGTTGCATCAGTGAGCGTGGAGTCCAGAAGGTGGAATCAAATGACAGCATGTATCCACTTGTTCCCCACTTGTTTTAAAAATGTAAACTGTTTTAATAATGTTTAAAGGTGTGGAACACTGATAAACCTTTTTTAAATAAACAAAAAAAAAACATTCATAGTCTCCCCCATCTTGGGTCACGACAACGAGGAAGGCTGTTGTTGGTTTAGCGTCCAGGAAACAGCAGAGAACGTGTTGACTAATACAGCTGCTGGCCAGTAAATTAGAATATCATCAAAAGGTTGAAAATATTTCAGTAATTCCATTCAAAACGTGAAACTTGTACATTATATTCATGCAATGCACACAGACCAATGTATTTCCAATGTTCATTACATTTAAATTTGATATTCATAAGTGACAACTAATGAAAACTCCAAATTTGGTATCTCAAAAAATTAGAATATTCTGAAAAGGCTGAATATAGAAGACACCTGCTGCCACTCTAATCAGCTGATTTACTCAAAACACCTGCAAAGGCCTTTAAAAGGTCCCTCAGTCTTGTTTTGAAGGCACCACAATCATGGGGAAGACTTCTGACTTAACAGCTGTCCAAAAGACAATCATTGACACCTTGCACAAGGAGGGCAAGACACAAAAGGTGATTGCTAAAGAAGCTGGCTGTTCGCAGAGCTCTGTGTCCAAGCACATTAACAGACAGGCGAAGGGACGGAAAAAATGTGGTAGAAAAAAGTGTACAAGCTCTAGGGATAACCGCACCCTGCAGAGAATTGTGACGACAAACCCATTCAAAAATGTGGGGGAGATCCACAAAGAGTGGACTGCAGCTGGAGTCAGCGCTTCAAGAACCACCACGAGGAGACTCATGAAGGACATGGGATTCAGGTGTCGCATTCCGTGTGTCAAGCCACTCTTGAACAAGAAACAGCGCAAGAAGCGTCTCGCCTGGGCCAAGGACAAAAAGGACTGGACTGATGCTGAGTGGTCCAAAGTTATGTTTTCTGATGAAAGCAAGTTCTGCATTTCCTTTGGAAATCAAGGACCCAGAGTCTGGAGGAAGAGCGGAGAAGCACAGAATCCACGTTGCATGAGGTCCAGTGTAAAGTTTCCACCGTCAGTGATGGTGTGGGGTGCCATGTCATCTGCCGGTGTTGGCCCACTCTGTTTCCTGAGGTCCAGGGTCAATGCAGCCGTCTACCAGGAAGTTTTAGAGCACTTCATGCTTCCTGCTGCTGACCAACTTTATGGGGATGCAGACTTCACCTTTCAACAGGACTTGGCACCTGCACACAGTGCCAAAACCACCAGCACCTGGTTCAAGGACCATGGTATCCCTGTCCTTGATTGGCCAGCAAACTCGCCTGACCTTAACCCCATAGAAAATCTATGGGGTATTGTGAAGCGGAGGATGCAATACGCTAGACCCAACAATGCAGAGGAGCTGAAGACGACTATCAGAGCAACCTGGGCTCTCATAACACCTGAGCAGTGCCACAGACTGATCGAGTCCATGCCACGCCGCATTACTGCAGTTATTGGGGCAAAAGGAGCCCCGACTAAGTATTGAGTGCTATACATGCACATTCTTTTCATGTTCATTCTTTTCAGTTGGCCAACATTAGAGAAACAAACATTTTTTCATTGGCCTTTAGAATATTCTAATTTTCTGAGATACCAGATTTGATGTTTTCATTGGTTGTCACCTATAAATATCAAAATTAAACGTAATGAACATTGGAAATACATTGGTCTGTGTGCATTGCATGAATATAATGTACAAGTTTCACGTTTTGAATGGAATTACTGAAATATTTTCAACCTTTTGATGATATTCTAATTTACTGGCCAGCACCTGTAGAAGCTAGCCATTAGCATTAGCAACCCCACCACACCACAGAACTCCTCCAGGCTTGTGTTATTTGTGGAGATAAAACACCAATGTTGCAGAGCAAATGGAGTCAGTCTAACAGAGTGGGATGCTTCCAAACCACGGCAGCATAAAATAAAGATGCATTTCATAATTTAGAATGTTCTTGTGGTAAAAAAAAACTCATTTTAGGGCCTAAAGGAATTAAAAGCATTCTCAGTTAGCCTTTTGAAATACATTTTATTTCATAACTATTAGAAGTGTATAAAATACAGTGATTAATGTTTGATTATTATTATTTTTTTAGGTGCACAAGGACTTCCTGGACTTTCAGGGCCACCTGGTCTGTTTATTTGATTTTAATTTTTTTTTTAAAGATTTCTGTTCATTTTAATTAATTAATTAATTTATTTATTTATTTTATAAACAAGCTAAAATACTAATATTTGTGTTGGTTTTCCAGGTCAGCCAGGTCCTCAGGGTTTCCGTGGTGAAGCAGGACTTCCTGGGCCTAAAGGTGGGTTGTACACAGACTTTGGTGACCTGCTAAAGTAGTTTGATGTTTTGAGTCACTCACAAGAACCCATCTTTACAGGCGACAGGGGGCTTGCAGGATTTCAAGGCCTTAAAGGTTTGTTTTAGTTCCATCCAGTTCTCATGAGGATTTGGGGTTCAAAGTGTTTGTTGACCAGATTTATAATATTAATACTTGTTTTAGGCGAATCTGGTTTTCCAGGTCTACCAGGACAAGCAGGAGAGAAAGGCTCTAAAGGATCAATGGGTGAGTCCCTTTATTATAAATGTTTTTAAATGATAATAATATCATCGTGACAGAATATTTCCTGGATCTTATGAGTTCATTGGAAGCATTAAGATGGCGATGACCAAACATCCTTCAGTAGCTTTTTTGTTTTTCATCATCAGGACTTTCTGGGCAAGATGGTGAAAAAGGATCTCGAGGTAAATGACTCTAACAAGCCTAACTTTAAAAATAAGAACACATAATTCAAAGATGTGTTATTTTAGTGCTAAACCAAGTTTACTGTTAACATTATTTTAATCCCAAAGTATTATTCTCAAATAATTTATACTGAAGTTACTTTTGAACCTCAGGTGATCAAGGACCTCCTGGACCTCCAGGACTCAGAGGTCCTACTGGGCCTCCTGGAGATGCTGGGCTTCCAGGTAATCCAGCTTTTAGCCAATGGTATTGTTTGACCCTAACAATGAAATCAAATACGTGATTAAACGTATTGACACCTCTCCTCAGGTACAGCCGGGATTCAAGGACCACCAGGTGAATGTTCATTCATAATTGACCCTCATATTTCACTTTTCACTGATTCCTTTCTCTTTTTTGGTTCTTCTCAAACTGATGACGTTCTTTCTGTCTGTTATTAGGAATTCCAGGGAATCCGGGTCAACCAGGGGTCAAAGGTACAGCTGCTGTCCACATGTGCTTTTTTTTTTACATGAAGCATTCTTATTGGTGTGTTCTGCTGCTCTGGATCTGACATCTGCTTGTGTGTTCAAGGTGATCCAGGCCAGCCAGGAAGAATCATCAATGCAGGTGAGTGAATGTTGTAAAATGTGTGTTTTGACACAACTTTGAAATGATAACTCATGAATTTCCTCCTCTCAGCTGGTTCCACCTCCATTGGTATCCCGGGACCACCTGGGCCCTCTGGTCCACCTGGCCCTGCGGGACCTCCAGGATTATCAGGTCTGACTCTTTATTAGGAACCTCAAATATTCATTTTGCATCATATTCCTATTAGAAGTACATCATTGCATTACATTTGAAGCTATGATTTTTATAAATGACCTCCTCAGGTCCTATTGGCCCTGCTGGTCTGCCTGGCCCAGCTGGTAGGTTTCTTAGATTCTTTAAACTTTAAACTTTGATTTACATATTTTTATCTGAGAGGCTGATTGATGCTGTGTCTTGTTTGGGTCTTTGTAGGACCTAAAGGAGACAGGGGGTATAAGGGAGACCAAGGAGAGTCTGGAATAACCGTGAGAACTAGTGGAAGTATAACCTCGTCCACAGCAGAGAGTGAGTCCTTTTTTAAAGACCTATTTTTTACTTGAAATGTACTTGATCGGTCACTCTGAGTTTCACATACAGGCTAAATGTGAAAATAGTCTTCGATCCCTTTTTCCTACATTAGCCGCTAATAGAAAATAGATGGGGAAACATTCACATACCAGTTGTTTGTAAAATGAGCTCACCCATCTTGACTTGCCACGGGCAAGGCTGTCCAGAACACAGCAGAAAACGTCTCTACCATAGACATAATACTCTTGGACCTAGCACCACCCATGTCTCTCTTAAAGTCTAAATGAAGCCAAATGGGCGAGCTATTTCCGCCATCTTGGCCGTGTCACACGTCTCGTCACACCCAGACAATCCAAAAATGGGAAAAGATGGGGAGGTAAGAGTGGGGCTGTGAGGGTGGGAGCAAATGATTGACACCTAAAAGCTCTGAACCAATGTAGCTACGAGCTAACTGAGCTAACCCTCAAAGCTAACACAGAGCTAGGAGCTAATATTGACTGTTAAGTTACAAGCACAGCCACCGCGATCAGAGCCGGGTGCCCTGGCTGCATACACAAGCTCATGTTCAACTCCTTCGCCATGGTCAAAGATCAGCGAAGGATTAGCTACATGTTAACCCAAAGCTAACGGAGGTTTTTGGGTGCAATTAGCGAGAAAAGCATGGTTGAGCTACTCTAAAGTGAAGCAGCATCAACTCAAAGAGCTGCAGTGTTTCTGTGGTCTGTTTCAGAGAGCTCCACAGGCAACCACTACAACTTCAACCTTGCAAGGAAGCCCCGCAGTTTGGATGCCCTGGGAGACGGGAGCAGGCGGCCGGCTGTGCTTAGCAGCTGTTCCCGGCTGGGAGACAGGGGAAGCTGGGCACTTGCGTAGCTAGGCTGCCTCCAGGAGGCTGGAGTGGCATATTCACAGATCTCAGATCACAGGATTGATGATGCCAAAGGGACAAAAACATTACCAAATCTCAGCAAACCTCCCTTATGTAGCGGCGACCTCGCAGATCTTTGATCGCATTGGCTCAGCGAAGCCAGGAAGCCCCCATTAGCCTGTCCAATCAACACTTTATATTTTAACCCATCTTTGACCAAGCAGGGCTATGTTACATGCAAATGAATAAACAGCATTTTCCCCTTTTCAACCAGAGAAATAAAGTACAGATGTGCAATTTTACTTACTGATGAAAATGTAGCAGACTTCTTGTCTGACTCCATTCTTCTTCCGGCTCTCGGAGGGTGCAGACACCTTTTTCCTCCTCTCCGCCATATCTTACACTCAAGGCCCTTTGTCTGTCTCTGTGTGCTGGGTGCATGGCTGCTTCTGCATTTTTTCTGGAAACTGGAAACTGAAATCACTAAAATGGATCTCGTCAGTAGGTCATTCAATGCGATTGATAACATTTTTTCAACGATGAGAACGGGAGAAGGGGCTCCCGGATGCCCCTCCGGGACAGACCCAGTTGTACACATCATGGACTCCTGGAAACAGTGAAACTTGATTTGTTTATCTCAGCTGTCTGTGGAGGACTCTGAAGACGTGTGGATATTCATGGTGTTGGTGTCAGGTTTCTTGCTCATTGGCCTTGGAGGCTACCTGGCTTACCGGAAAATTAACGAGCTGTCGAGGAATATTGGCCTGCTCCCGGAGCTTAGAGATGGTTTGCACCGCGCTGTGAATTCACAGACTCACATAATTGTTGAGATGAATCGTAAGCTTGGAACTTTGGCCGAGATTCATTCAGTGGCACAAAAGATGGATGCCATCAAGGATAGAGTGGACGAATCAGCACGGATTGGGATAGCTTAATGTCCATTATTGGGATTTCGAGAGGTTGAGGACCAAGGAACTTTAAGAAAGAGAGGAAATTATCTCTGTCTGGCCCCAAAACAATTTCTAATCAGAATCTGGTGCCCTTGAGCCTGCAAGGCTCCAACGAAAACTCCCCCATCAGAAAATATGTGGAATGTGCCATTGCTATGGCAACTCAACTCTGTCTCCTATCCCAGCCTGGGCGGGACTGCAGGAAGGCCACTGAATCGTTCCAGGGTCACTGCAACCCTCCAACCCTCAATGCTCCTCCCCCTGTTCAGACTGGGGTGACAGGCACTTCTTGTAGTGGCTGCAGGAACTGAAGTGTGGATAGTCCCAAACCCACCACCCCTTCTAGTGGACACATATGTTGTGTGATGTCTGAAGTCTGTTGCATATTTGTCTGAGGTGGGTTTTTTGCAGAGCAAAGCCGCTCTCCCGGTGGAGGGTAACTCTGAAGTGCCTTTTTTTCCTCCTCCTGAACCAATCCTCATTTACAGCTGGGCGGACACTGTGCAAATTTTTCACTTTTTTGAGCCGATTTTCCACTCGTGCGAGAATCCACAAGATCGGGGCGAGTTTTGTGCTGAGCGTCGTGTAGTATACAGGGGGTTATGAGAAGTGATTAACACCACGTGAGCAGCTACCGATCAGCAATCGTGAGCTCGCATGGACTTCTGGAGTGTTTGATATTTTGCTCATTCCTCGTAAGGGCGCAACTAAAGTTCAGAGAGTGAAAATAGCCAAACAGCTTTTAACGTGAGGCCCAGACTGAGGCCTTTCCCTGAGCTAGCCGCTAGTGCTAGCTCTGACACTCATGCTACCTATCAATCAAATCTAATTATTCAAAATTTCAAGCATTTAATTACACTTAAACAGAAGAGTTACAAATAAACTCACCTCCTGCAGAGTTGAAATTAGATCTAATAAACCTAAAATTTTATTTTGAGCCAGGCTGTAAACATGTTTATTTCTGCTGTGAAGTTGGCATTTTTAACATGGGAATCAATGAGAATTAGCTTGCTTCTGGTGCCAGCCTGTAGAAGATGAGGGTGGAACTGCAATTTCATCACTTCCGTGTTGGGATCAGGTCTGGGTCTTTGTAGTTCTCCCTGGGTCTTGACTAGTAGAAGCTAACTGTGAGCATTAGCATCTCCACCACACAGCAGAGCTCCTCCAGGCTTGTGTTATTTGTGGAGATAAAACATCAATGTTTCAAAGAATACAGAGTAGAGTTGTGTTGCCGTTGTCCAAACTTCAGGAAATAAGACTACAAAGCCTGTCGTCTGGTAACTTCTAGCTCCCAAAACAAGAGTGCCAAAGCCGTTCCCAGCATAAAAATCACCTCATAAGGCATTAATTTGTACTGAACTGAGATCACTTTAGATGAATTGAAAAAAAATTAGTGAACTTGGTCTTTAAGGATTTTCACAAGTGTGCAATTTTTGAAATATCTATTTTGCACAACATGATCTGATACTACTACTTAAAGCAGATGTGATTTGGAACAACTGACCCCAAACTAAAATACTGGTTTCCAGGTACTCCTAAATGTCTTGTCCACAAAGAAACCATCTAGTAGTTTTTTTTTTCAGGAATACAACCAGTCACTCTGTATATGCATGCAGCTCGTCAGCAGCAGAAAGGAAATAGATGGGAAAACGATCGGGTCAGCAAAAGCCAGAAAGCTCTTTGTCACAGGGAGAATTAGTATTCATGACTTAATCTACCTTGGCTTGTGACCACCCATGGGATGTTTTTTAATTCATTTAGGAGCCAAAAGAGAACAGAGGCCATCTAAGCTAGTATGAGCTAACCATAAATAACGGTACTGCATGTTATCAGTAGAGATAATCCATCAACGTTGCATTTTTTACCCAAGAAAATATATTTTACAGTAGTCACATTGCTGTTAGCCAATCAGAAGTGAGATGTTTTTTATATCATTAATTTTAATGAGTAAAACTTGTAATCCTGTCGTTTATTCCCACTCCTAAAACAAACTTTAATCCCCTGAAACAGGAGTGCCAGGGCTTCTTACAGTCAGACATCATCTCACAAGACATTCCTTCATAATTGAGACCACAGGAAAATACTGAATGAGACCTTTAAACTGGCATCAAGACGTGTAAAACCAAAGAAAATCAAAACTCACACCATGTGGGTTACAAGACATTTAAATTAATTGAATAAATTTGACTTCTTCTAGAGTTCCTCAGTGGAACTGATGTGTCTTATTGTTGTTTATCTGCTTTAGGACAGCTCAGCTCTAGTGGAGGCTCATTGTTGCTCGGCCCACCTGGCCCACCCGGTCCACCTGGGCCTCCAGGACGTCCAGGTGAGAAAGACATAACCCTCTTTTTAAAGCCTGCTTAATCAAATAAGACAATTATTTGAGACAGTAGAAATAACCCACTCACTTATAAGATCATTTCAATATTTAGTTGGGTGTGTTTCTGAAAATGCATTTATTAGGTGATTCGAGGCAAGGACCTCCAGGACCACCTGGGCCTCCAGGCAAGTGTCAGTTTCAAAAACAAATTCATAGTATTTTATGACAAGAAGCTCATTCTTTGACATTTTGATCCTTAGGTTATGGAATACCTGGACCTAAGGGAGAAAAAGGAGATTCAGGCTTTGCATCCAACTCTGGTAAGATCTAAAGACGTGATCTGTTCTGGGTCAAGCTTAGAACATGGTCACAGAATGGACTTTAACTCCACTTTTGTTATAGGTACAGCTTATCCTGGACCACCAGGACCACCAGGACCACCTGGGCCTAAAGGATCAACAGGTTATTGAGATTGACGTTTATGCATTGTCATCAGTGAGAGTGACACACATTTGACTGTCTTCACACACTTTCACAGCACACATCCAGTTTCTCTCTCTACAAAGAAAAAAAATGTTTGTCTATTTGAGTTACACTTTGCATTGTCCCACTGCAGCTCATTCATAAGGAACACAGGGGTGCCGCCCTCCCCGACTTAAAAGGAAGAGAAAAAATTCTAAAAAGTAAATAAAACTAAAATATTTATTTATATATTTACTATAAATGAGCCTGATACTTTTACTGTGCATGCCCACATGCAATCTGAATTATTTACATAAAATTTTCACCAGCTGTTTTTCATTAGACACTCAAGTTTCTTTCCTAGGGTGCTGGAAAAAGCGCCCCTTAAATGCAGCTAAACAGCAAATCACATTTGTTTGCTAGAGACGACTGGTGAATTTTAGGCTAATCAGTGCTGATAGAGTGGCATATGAGTGCACGTGTTATAAGATCAAAAACCAATAAATACCCATCTAGTAAACATACACAGACATTGATACACATATAATTTTTTTCAAAAATTATACACTTTGCTTCAAACAACACAACACAACAAATGCCAATACCGGTATATATATTTTTTGATCTATCTATCTATCTATCTATCTATCTATCTATCTATCTATCTATCTATCTATCTATCTATCTATCTATCTATCTATCTATCTATCTATCTATCTATCTATCTATCTATCTATCTATCTATCTATATCTATATATATATCTATATCTATATATATATATATATATATATATATATATATATATATATATATATATATATATATAAACAAAATTCAATTAAAGTAACCAGTAAGAAAATAGAAATGCAGATCTTGTCATGACTCGAGGTAAGTGCTTAACCCAAGACATGCAGAATCATCACACATAGTCCAAAGCAGTAAAGTAAAAGGTCTTTATTATAAAAACGGGAACTGAAACCACACAGGGAAGTCCTGTGGGATGAGCAATACGGCTCGAGTCTCTGAAATGCTCAGGTTGATGAGGAGATGAGGAAGCCAGGAAGGACGCTGGGCAGAGGGTGAGAGGTCCAGGAGAGGCGAGGTAGCAGAGGGAAGCCAAATAGGAGCAGCGGAGGAGGATGGGACGTGATGTGTGTTATCCAGGGAACAAAGACAGCGAAGGTGAGTAGATGAGGAGAGGATCCTGAGTGGAACAAAAACTAGGCGTGAGGGATAATCCAAATCGTAATCCAAAAACACAATCCGAGGTCATAAATCCAATGGTCAAACACGAGTCAAAACACGAACAAACTAGATCAAGGTCAAAGGCTGGTGCTACCTAAACTGGTGCAATCATCCGGCAAAGTGATGTGTCTCCATCCTCCTTTTGAACCCGCGTCCCTGATTGGAAAATCTCCTGCAGCTGCCGCTCCCCGTGCTCCTCACCTGTGGAGAATTAGCTTAGAGTCTGGTGAGAGGAGAGGGTGTGACTCACCTCTGCCCAGGAACATGACAGTGCTCCCCCCGCAACCCAACCCAACCCCCCCCCCCCCCCCCCCCCCCCCCCCCAACGGACGCCCCCGGCGTCCTAGCACCGGATCTGGAGGCCTCGAAGTCCGAGATGAGAGAGGGGTCCTCGATGTTGGACCGAGGAAACCAGGAGCGTTCCTCCGGGCCGTACCCCTCCCAGTCCACCAAATATTGAAGACCCCGACCACAGGGGCGAGAGTCGAGGATGCGCCGAACCTTGTATACCAGCCCCCCTTTGTAGAGCTGAGCAGGAGGAGGCGGAGCCGGAACCGGGCACAGAGGGCTGGAAACGACAGGTTTAACCAGGGAGACATGGAACACGGGATGGATCCGAAGAGACGACGGGAGTTCCAACCGCACGGTCGTCGGGCTAGGGACCGCCGCGACCTTGAAGGTACCAAGGAACCTAGGAGAGAACTTCCTGGTGGCCGCCTTCAGCGGGACATCTTTGGACGACAGCCAGACCATTTGACCGGGAGAGTAGGTGAGAGCAGGACAACGGTGTTGGTCAGCCAGTCGCTGATTCCTTTCTGCGGTCCGCTGAAGAGCCGACCTCGTGGTGATCCAGGTGCGGCGGGCCCGACAAAGGAACTGAGGAGTGGTGATGGTGGCATCTGTATGAAGGGGGAACAGAGAGGGCTGATATCTGAGGGAGACTCGAAGGGAGACTGACCTGTGACGGAGGAGACATGGCTATTATGGGCATACTCGACCCAAGCCAAATGCTCACTCCAGGTGGACGGGTTGGTGGCACAGACGCAGCGAAGCATGGCGCCCAACTCTTGGTTCATCCGCTCGCATTGTCCGTTGGTCTGTGGATGAAACCCCGAGGTCAGAGCCACCTGGACTCCCAAGGCGGTGGCAAACTCCCTTCAGACATGAGACACGAACTGGGGGCCTCGGTCAGAGAGGATCTCTGTTGGGATCCCATGCAGATGAAAGACATGTTTAATTAAAAGCTGGGCCATGATGGCAGATGTAGGGAGGGCCTTTAATGGCACCAGATGACAGGCCTTGGAGAACCTGTCCACAACAGTTAAAATGACACTAAAACCATGCAAAGGTTGCAACCCACAAACAAAGTCCAAGGCAATATGGGACCAAGGACGGGACGGCACTGGTAGGGAACAGAGTAGGCCTGCTGGAGACTGATTGGTACCTTTCTGTTGGGCACAGACGTGGCAGGCCGACACATACTCCTTCACATCTCTGTAGAGGGAGGGCCACCAGAAAGATCGCCTGATCAGAGCCACAGTACGTCCTACTCCAGGGTGGATTGAAAACCTCCTGGTGTGAGCCCAGTGAATAACCTTTCCTCGTAGTGCCTGGGGAACAAACAGTCTGTTGGAGGGTCCGTTACCTGGGCCAGGATCCACCTAAGGGCCTCCAGGACCTGGTCTCTTATGGGCCAGGTTACTCCAGCAACGGTGCAGGAGGCAGGCAAGATGGTGCTAGGAGCCATCTCATCTTCAGAGGAGTGCTGGCGAGACAGAGCGTCAGGCTTTGTGTTCTTTGATCCCGGTCTATAGGACAAAACAAAGTTAAAGCGGGAGAAGAACAAAGACCACCTATACTGTCGAGGGTTCTGTCTCTTTGCCTCCTTGAGATAGATCAGGTTTTTATGATCAGTCCAAATGATAAATGGTAGTTCAGCCCCCGCCAGCCAATGTCTCCACTCCTCCAAAGCCAGTTTTACTGCCAGTAACTCCCTGTCCCCCACGTCATACCTGCTCTCGGTGGGTGTCAAGCGCCGTGAGAAGAAGGCACACGGATGAAGTTTGTGGTCTTCTGGGGATACCTGAGAGAGGACTGCACCAACCCCGGTGTCAGAGGCGTCCACCTCCACAGTGAACTGCTACTTGGGGTCTGGTCTGGAGAGGACTGGGGCCTCGGTGAACCTCCTCTTCAGAGTCCTAAATGCGGCTTCGGCTTCTGGAGACAAGGAAAAGGGCTTAACAACAGAGGTTAGAGCTGTCAGAGGGGCTGCGGTCTGGCTATAATTGCAGATAAACCGTCTGTAAAAGTTTGCAAAGCCAAGAAATCGCTGCAGTTGTTTCCTGGTGGCAGGGGTAGGCCACTCCGTCACTGCTTGGACCTTGCCTGGGTCCGCCCTCAGCCATCCACTTTCTAAAACAAAACCAAGAAACTTAACTACTGAAACATGAAATTCACATTTCTCGGCTTTTACAAATAGTCTGTTCTCCAACAGCCGTTGGAGTACCATCCGAACTTGTTTCTGGTGTTGATCAATGGACCTAGAAAAAAATCAAGATATCATCAAGATATACAGATACAAAGTCATTAATGTAGTCCCCCAACACTGAGTTCACGAGTCTCTGAAACACCGCTGGAGCATTAGTGAGGCCAAAGGGCATCACCAAATATTCAAAGTGCCCCAGGGGCGTCTTAAAAGCTGTCTTCCATTTGTCACCTTGGCGGACTCTGACCAGGTGATATGCATTGCGGAGATCCATCCGCGTAAAAACGGTGGCATCTTGCACAGGTTCAAAGTTAGACGAAAGTAGAGGGAGCGGGTACTTGTCCTTCACCGTTATTTGATTTAAACCCCTGTAATCAATACAAGGGCGAAGCCACCCGTCCTTTTTGGCCACGAAGAAAAAAACAGCTCCCAGAGGCGAGGTGGATGGCCTGATTATGCCATTGGCCAAGGCCTCGGTAATGTATTTCCTCATACTGTCCTGTTCAGGTTTGGACAGACCGTAGAGGCGGCTGGTTGGGAGCGGAGCTTCTGGCAACAGGTCGATTCCAATGTCAAATGGACAGTGAGGTGGCAACGTGGCTGCTTGATCTCTACTGAACACTTACTGTAAGTCATGGTACTCACTTGGTATCTGGGTGAGATCGGGCAGCTCCACATGAGTCTTTTCAGAGTCCTTAGATCCAGAGGAAGCAGAGGTCAGGCAGGTAAGATGACACTCCGGACTCCAGATCTCCACACGGCTTGATCTCCAGTCCAAACACGGGTTTTGTACCCTAAGCCAGGAATGGCCTAGAACTACTTGGTTCTGCGGGGAGGGAAACACAAATAATGAGATCATCTCCGTGTGGTTACCTGAGACCTGGAGCTGGAGCGGTTGGTTCCGGTGGGTGATTGTGGCCAGGGGCCTCCCATCCAGGGATGACACCGTTAAAGGTTCCGGCAGTGGATCAGTAGACAGTCCCCAATCCCGCACCAGTTATGGGTCCACCAATGACTGTTCACATCCTGAGTCTACTAGAGCAGTCGTCTGGTGGCGACGACTGTTAACAGTCAAAGCACAGTCAAGAAAACGGGAGGTTTCTTTACCTGAATGACTGCCCACCAGAACTCCCGGAACTACTGGTGGGCACGCCCTTTTGACGCCGCAGGGCAGGTGTGCACCATGTGTCCCGGTTTTCCACAGTAAAGGCACAAACCTTTACTGTAACGATGTTGGCGCTCCTCCGGAGTAAGGTGGGTACGTCTCA